GACCATAACAGATTTGGATGGTCACATTTACTATGCACATGGCAATGAACAAACAGCCGCAAAACTTCTTGACGCTTTCAAGACTACAAAGAGAGAACAAATGGTTGACTCCGACTCAGACATTTTGAATGCAATTGAAGGAATTGCAAGTGTCAAGTTCGAATGGTACCAACCTAACCCTCAAGCAGTCAGACAACATGCTGGATACTTCCCGTTCATAAATAAGTCTGACATTGACTTGACAAGGTATGGAATTTACAATTCAATTGAAACAATTGTCAACGAACCTTGCATTCTTACATGTCTCAGGAACTCTGGTCTTGTTACAGATGAGAAGATGAAGTATTTGAGTCATGTGTGAAGACAAGGTACATTCTCAGAGGTCAATTGGCAAAAATTGCACCGTTGGCAAATGTCAATATCCGAGTCAACATACCTACAGCTAAAGGTTCTTCACATGACGACTATGTTGTTGACAAAGACTTACCATGGTTGAAGATTGCAATTGTCCACAACCACTTCATGTTGAACGAAAGTCTTACAAACCCATTCTTTGGTAAAAGTAAGTGCAACATTGTCAGAGCTGTAAAACATTCTTTCGAGAAAGGTTTGTTGGAACCAATTCAGATGACAAGCTGACAGAAACTTTTGTACCAAAAGACGAAACAAACTTTTCATTGTTAGCAAGACCAAAAGTTGTTCCAGACAAAGTTCTAGTACAAAAGAAGTACACGGTTCCACAAGGGTTGGTATGTTCGGATACCAACCTGAACCAGAAGAACTTCCAATGAGGTTGCAAGAACTTCAAGATGCTATAAACAAACTTCCATCGAGACATCCAATTGACGTCAAATTGTATTGGAGAGCATCTGAGTTAGGTCAGAAGGTTTTATATGAAACAGGTTGCTTCGACGATGTTTATGAGATAACAGGAGAAGTTTCTCAGAAGATAAGAGACTCACTTGAATTTCCACAAACGACCAATTGGTTGCGACAAGTTCGACTCAGATGAAAAAGATATACTATGTCGACCTTAACGCTGCATACATGAGGTTTGTCCAATATATTCCGACTGGAATTCCAAACGAAGATGGTGAGTTCCCGGGAAGGAACTATACAGTTGGAAAAGTCATACAACAACTGTATGATATTAGGAAAGCTTCAAACCCCAAACTTGCAATGACACTCAAATTGCTTATGAATTCGACATGGGGATATTCCATTAAGAAACCTCAAGAGATGAAGAGTAAACATTATGAGAAGGTCGACAACTTTGTTGAAAGGTTTCTCCTTTTGTTTTGAAGTACGAATTCACTCAAGGTCAAAGTGGCTTAGTAACCACATTAAAACCTATTGTCGAACATTGGTCTTACCCTCAGTTCGCAAAGGCAGTCCTTGACAACTACAATGAGTTCTTCTCCGAAGTCAAATCCAAAGTGAAGGTTTACTATGAGAACATTGACGCACTCATGACGAACGAAGAAGGATACAACAAACTCATTGAAATGGGTTTAGTCGGTGAGAAGATGGGTCAATTCAAATTGGACAAAATTTTCACCGAAGTTCATGTAATATCGAAAAGGAAATATTGGGGCATACTTGAAGACGGCACAGAAATAAAACATTGCATGAAATAAAAAATTTTTATTCGAATTTGAATTTAAATGTGGGAATTCTTGGGAAAGGGTTCTCTCTGTTTTGGAAGTAGTATCCAAGGACGCTTGGCAAAGAACTTTATAATGGCTTCCTTCTTTGCTTGCTTTATGTCGTCGAAAGGAGTGTTTTCTGGTATTTGAATTGGAATTCCGGTCGAAGTCTCGAGATTCAAGGCAGCCCTTCCCGTTATCCAACCGTTAACAAGCTTGCCTTTTACATTCTGCCTGAGGAAGTCTTTAACAAGCTCGTTAATTTCAATTAGGTAAATTGCCTCGTCGGTAGGTTCGACCTCGACCATTGCTACTGTCAGTAAAAGTACTGCTACTGTCAGTAAAAGTACTGCTACTGTCAGTAAAAGTACTGCTACTGTCAGTAAAAGTACTGCTACTGTCAGTAAAAGTACTGCTACTGTCAGTAAAAGTACTGCTACTGTCAGTAAAAAGGAAAATTTGAGAGGGTTTTCGACGATAAAGTACTGCTACTGTCAGTAAAAGTACTGCTACTGTCAGTAAAAGTACTGCTACTGTCAGTAAAAGTACTGCTACTGTCAGAAAAAGTACTGCTACTGTCAGTAAAAGTACTGCTACTGTCAGTAGCAGTACTGCTAGTAGCAGAGATTTTTATCGTTGTGGTCCGACGGTTAAGCCACAAACGAATGTCCCACGTCCCACCAACCCAGTCCATTCCCAAACCAGAGGAACCTAAAGAACCACAACAGTCTCCTCAGCAACCTCAGTTCCAGCAAGTACCTCCGAATTACTACCAATTTCCACCTCAAGGTTACTACCCACCACAAGGCTTCCCGAACTACCCTCCTCAGCCTATGCCTTACTTCCCCAACCCTTGGTTGTTCCAGCAAGCTCCACCCCAACAATTCCAATTCCAATCTCAGTCCAAGAGAGACCAAGACTTCGAAGAAGGTCTGAACCGCTTACGCAAAGAGTATGCTACAGCTCCAATTGAGAGAAAGTTGTTCCCGGACCAAAAAATATAATTTAGGTGAAGAGGTGAGATTTCACCTCTTTTTTCACCTGTTTTTTCACCCTCTTGAATTTTCATGAATTTTATATATTAATGTTTTCGCTAAGCCACTTTGTGCCGTCAGTCAGTCAGTCAGTCAATGAAATTTACACCAAAAATATAATTTAGGTGAAGAGGTTAGATCTAACCTCATTTCTAACCTGTTTTTTCACCCTCTTGAATTTTCATGAATTTCCTTAAGATAGAAAAAATAAAGTTAGTTTTATTTTTATTTATTTTTTTATTTTGTATAAAAGATATGATTTCAGGGATTTTTTTGACGAAGTGCAAATCTTCACTTCGTCAAAAATAACAGTTATATAATGAAAAAGTGAAAGTTATTCTTCATTTTTTTGTATAAAAGATATGATTTCAGGGATTTTTTTGACGAAGTGTAAATCTTCACTTCGTCAAAAATAACAGTTATATAATGAAAAAGTGAAAGTTATTCTTCATTTTTTTGTATTTGACGAGAATGTCGGGTAGATGGTTAGATCTAACACGTTTTCTAACCACTTTTCTACCCTCGTGAATTTTCATGAATTTCCTTAAGAAAAAAAAAAAAGTTAGTTTTATTTTTATTATTTTTTTATTTTGTATAAAAGATATGATTTCAACAATCGCACAACAACAATTCAAAACAACAGCACCAAACTTCGTTAGTCATGAATCCAACATCTATGTTAGTAGAAATGAAAAGCTTCATTCCTTCTTCATATACTTTTGAAACAGAAATCCAGAGAGATAAAGCAAGAACTTTTAACAAGTAATTTAGACTGTAGTGCGAAAGATGAAACAAATGAAGAATATCTTTATGAAATGCAGGACATTATTGACCATTTGCCTAAACTACCTGAAATCCAACAACAAAAACTCACTATTCCTGAATTCGACGAAATTGAAGTTGAAACCAACTGACTCAGTAGAAATTAAAGAAATTCATACGTAAAGTAAATTATGAATTCCTGTTTTCATTGCAACCATAAAGTTATGGACAAAGATTGCGACATGGTTATAAAAAATATTTCTGACATATATAAATCTGAAGAATTTAAGACCTACGACAACTTTGTTTCATTAGTTGCAAAATGTGTATGGCAGATAAGAGATAAAGATAGAAGAGGCAAAGTATGGAACAAACAAATAAGACCCGCTATGTTTGAGATGAAGAGAGCAATTGACGCTTTAGTTGTTTTAGCTGGTTTTATTTCAATGTATAACGCAAAAATGAACCCGCAATGTTCAAAATGTAAGGCAGCAATTAGGAAATATAACTACTCCGTCAAAGAGATAGAAGAATGAGAAACGACTATGCAGACTTAAAGAAAGAAGCAGAAAAGCCAGCAGAATAAAATGGACATGTTAGCATTTCTGAACAAAAACTATCCAACTGCTGACGATTTCCTATTATCTGACGTCAGAAGAAGTATAAAGAAACCTTCGGCATAGTTAAAACATTCGATGTACTAAAAAGAAGAAATAGAAGCTACAAAACTGTTTAAAGTCATGAACCATCGCAACATATACCATGTTAAAACGCTTGTAAATAGTTATGTTAGAAAAGATGTTAGAAAACGTGTTAGATCTAACATGTTAACATAAACATTATTTTTGCTGAATTCAGCACAAAATTCTGAGTAAAATGGCATATGGCATGTGTCAAACCGTTGAGAGTTTTCACAAAATTCCAAAAATAACGCTAATTTTTTATAAAATTTGACGAAGTGCAAATCTTCACTTCGTGTCATAATGTAAAAATAACGCTAATTTTTTATAAAATTTGACGAAGTGCAAATCTTCACTTCGTGTCATAATGTAAAAATAACGCTAATTTTTTATAAAATTTGACGAAGTGCAAATCTTCACTTCGTGTCATAATGTAAAAATAACGCTAATTTTTTATAAAATTTGACGAAGTGCAAATCTTCACTTCGTGTCATAATGTAAAAATAACGTTTACCATGTAAAACGCTTATAAAATAACTGAGGTGAAAAATTAGGTGAAAAAACAGGTGAAATCTCACCTCTTCACCTAAACATTATTTTTGATGAAAAATGACCAAATTTCATGTATTTCCTCATATGCTTGCTTCCCTCGGAAAACCGAGAGAAGAGATTCCGTATGAAAATCGTGAAAAATTGCCAAACGGTTTGAGAGGATATTATGTACATAGACTTCTTGTAAATGCTGTAGCAATGTGGGCTTCACATAAAATATATTTTTATTGAAAAATGACCAAATTTCATGAATTTTCATAAGATAGAAAAAATAAAGTTAGTTTTATTTTTATTTATTTTTTTTTATTTTGTATGTAAAGACAGTAATGTCAACAACAGAGAACACAACAACAGTTATAGTCCATGAAGCTATAAATGAAGAATATGAGTACATACAGTTTAACAAACAACTCCGTCTCATTTGTTCGGTCAAAGACGATATGTACCAAATGCAAAGTATTTTGACAGCATGTTATGCTCCAGATACTAAGCTTCCTAAAGACTGGTTTAGGAACCAAAGCACACAAGAACTTTTGAGCGAAGCACAGCGAGACATACTTTTTTCTGAAAACAGTGAAGAACAGCGAGTAGGTAAAAAACCCCAGTCGCCAAAACTCTATGAAAATCGTGAAAAATTGCCAAACGGTTTGAGAGGATATTATGTACATAGACTTCTTGTAAATGCTGTTGCAATGTGGGCTTCGCCTCGTTATGCTTGGTATATTTACAGACTTCTTGACGAAATTCATAGACAAGAACGTGAAGAGATGGAAAACAAGCTTGAAGCAAAAGACAAAAGCATTCAGAAAAGAATACCACGTTCGGTACCAAAAGGAAAGGAAAAGAACTATAAGTATATGATTTATACTGAAGAGTTGGAAAATGAAGAAGATAAAGATATGGTTATGTTGCATTTAGTCAGAAGAAACAACAAAAGCTTTTACGACCTTGCTAAGATTTACAAATCTGACAGAAATTGGTTCTATCGCGAAAACTTACCGATTTCAATGACCCCAAATGAAGATGTGAAACAAATAGTTCAAGATACGTTACCTCAAACACACTATGATATGAAAGGTTGTACAATACTTACCTTCAAAGAAGACTTACCGCTACTGAAGGAAAAAATAACAGAGTATTTTGACAACTTCAAACAAGCAGAGTAAATGAACTCTTTATTTTTCAAGCTTGACTTTTTACAATTTGAACTTTGTTTGCGTAGATATGAATTCTGAAAGAAGTATGAGGGTCTTGTATGACTTTATACTTCTCCCAGAGTTCATGTCTGTCAAACTTACCTGCCATGGACTCTTTCATAAGTTCCATGAAATCGTCTTCGGACAATCCGGGGAAAAGTATAATGTCAGTAAGTATTCTTTTAACATCCTTACTTAAACTCTTTGCTGTCTGTACACAAATGACAACTGAGATGTTAAAGTGTCTGAGCTTCTTAAGAATTCGACACATATCTTGTTCTCTGTTCTTTAACAAAGGATGAGAGGCGAAATCATCTAAGATAAGAAGACATCTATGAGGGTACGTTTTCCAATCGTAAGATTGCAATTTCTTCGAAATGTATTCTATCTCTTTCTGTTTGTTTCTGAAGTGTTTCTTCTCTAATATTCTCTGCATTTCCTCATTTGGGTCTTGAACTTAGAATTTATATACTCATTTATAGCATTATACTTCAAAACTCTTCTTTGGTACTTCTTTATCCAATCTAACAACTCAGAGTCTTTTATACATACTAACTTAGACTTCTTTATAATATCTTTGAACGAATTGACGGTTTGGTCAAATTGACCAGAAGTACTACAAATGACTACTAACTCATAGAATGGGTTCTTCTCATCTAGTTCTTGTTGTTGTGCAGCCATTTAAGATAAGTGAAAGTCTTACCCGACCCAGGTGGTGCAATTAGACCTGTTATACCATTCTGAGCAAATAAGAACTTGTCATGTATAGGCTTTATCTGAGCATTTTCTAACTTCCTCTTGTTCTTGTTTAAAACATTCTCAAATTTCTTGTCAATGTCAGCAAACTTTTTTTCTAACATATTTTTAGAAAAATTAAAATTTTATCTTTTAGAAAATGTCTAGCGATTTCGCTATCTATATTCGAGACAAACTTTTTGACAGCAAAACATCTGTCGACCATAAAATCTTACATAGTGTAAACAAGAAAGGTGAATTTGTTCTAAAGTTCTGTTTCTGGGAATATGACAAGAACCATAAAACATTAAGCAGAGCAGTCTTAAAATTTGTCAATGACAGACTTGTTGACAGAGATGACGCCGATTGGAAAGATGAAGTCCAACAAAAGTTCTTAGAATGCAAAGAAGACACATGCGCTGTTCTTGAAGATGAAATAGAAAACAGAATAGAAGAGCTATTAAAGGACAAAGAACTTTTACATAAATATGGTTGCGCCAAATTTGACATAACTCCACCAGAAAAGAAGAAGAGAGAAAAGAAAGAAAGAAAGTAGAAGAAGAGAAGAAAGAACCTGAACCAGTTCCAGAGAAAAAGAAATTTGACATGTAAAAATAAAATTTTATTTTTAGAACATTTCTGGGTCAATGTCAATCTCTTCCTCTTTAGGAGTAAACACTGGCTTAGACTCTAAAATCTTTTTACCCAATTTACCTTGAACTTCAACTATCTTAGACTCATAATATTCATAGTCGTCTGCTTTCTTTGGTTCATAAGGTATAAACAAGTTTGTATGCTTTGCCTTCTTTAAGGTTTGAGAACCTTCTGTCAAAACTTTCTTTGACTGTTAACAAACCTTCTATGTCTAAGTCTTCAAATTTCGCACCATTTTTAGTCACAATAGCAAACTTAACTGGTTCGATGTTCCAAACTTTGCTGAATGAAGACTTTTCAAAATGGTAGAAGTAAACATTCAAATATGTGAATGGGTCTAGTTCTTCTTTAAGTCCTGACATGTACTTGTTTACTGAGATGAATTTCGTCATCTTTTCTATCGGATAAAAAAATATTTTTTTTAAAATTTACTCAGAAAAATTTTTCTTTGTATATACACCATTCTGTACGTCTAAAAGACTTTTGACATTTGCCAAGAATGTACGTTTAGACGCTGCCATATAACCATATTCTTGACAATATTGTTTATACGAATCGTACAATGACCTTTCATCTAATGACACAAAGTCAGTTTCATCTATGAACAGTTCATATACACTCTTGTTTGCTTCTAACAATGTTTGTCTCTCTTCGGTATGTGGAATTTGTCTTGGATTGAACTTAAATATCTAATGTCATGAAATATGAGAACAAGTGGTTGTAAAAGTCAGATGTCAAAGTTTCTGCTAAGTCGTCAAAATATTCTGTATCTTGCATATGAGAATCTGACGTTCTGACAACTACATATCTTCTGTCAGAACTTTCTAACTTCATCGGAACAACATTGTTTGAAACCATAATGAAGTTTGCAACATTTTCACAAACTCTTTGGTCTTTATACTTCTTTCAACAACCCAACTTTGTCTGTTATAAGACTCTTCAAAGCATCTGAGTTCAAAACTTTTGTTGTATCTATACTTTGAAGTTCATTGCAAACTATAAGTTTCATATTCTCAATTGAAGAGTTAAATTTACCGCAGATGTTTTCTAAGTTTGTCATATTCGGATTCGAATAACCTTCTAACAGTTTGCACAAGATATCTGTAAAGAAAGTATTCTTACCTGTTCCTTGTTTTCCAATTATAATGAGAGCAGTTTCATTTTTAGCACTTGGATGTTGTAAGATATTTGCAAACCAACATAAGATATACTCATAAACCTTTTCGTTTCCATTGCATATAATTTCTTTGACATGGTCTAACCAAGCTTCTATAATATTTTCTTTCCATTCTACTTGTTCATATTTATATCCAATGAAGATAGAATAGAAGTTTGGAGAAGGTGTATAAAACTTTATACCACGAACTGAAAAATCTTCAAGTTTTGACAATAAGATATCCCAAGCATCTAACATCTTCATGCCAACTTGTACGACTTTTATTTTCTTAAGTTTCTGTCTACATTCTTGTTCTGAAACTATTGTCGCTTTAGGTTTGTTAAAGACTACATCCCATTCTTTCATAACATAACATTCTGGGGCAGAGTCGACATAAATGACTAAACGTTTCAAATTCTCGACTGCTTTGTTATAGTCTCGAAATGGACACATATTTCTGAATGCTTGGAAGTCATAAAAATCTGAAACATCTATTCTGTACATTTTTATAAGAATAAAAAAAATATTATTTTTTTATTCTTGACTTTGTTGTTCCATTTGTGCATTTGTTGTTCTTGAGCTATTTGTTGTTGAAGTTGTTCTTGTAATACAATACTTTCACCAGTTGCATCTTCCAATTCGAAACTTTCTGCCGTCATTGACAAATACATAGGACATAAAAGTTTTACAGGAACAAAGTTTGCGTCAACTAATGTCAACGTTATACTTGGCAAAGTGTTTGAGTTCACTAAGGTTTGAAAATTCTGCATTCGAATGAACAATAGGCAAACCAGCAGAGAAAGTATTGTTTATACGCATAAGTATCTTTTGGTCATAATAGTTTCTGTCGACATTCGAATAACACTTTGAACCTAAGTTTGAAACAATATATAAGTTGGTGTGCTTAATGTCAATGAATAGACATTCCTTGTATGACACCTTTCCTGTTATAGGAAACTGTTGGTAGTAAAAACCAGAAATAAGTTTTGTATTATAGCTCATATCGTTTATAGTAAACTCAGTCGGACATCCAAACATAATGAAACCTGCTCTAGTTGCAGCACATGTTACACCGTACTTAAAGTATTAAAAGTCAACAAAACCTGTTGGTGGTATATCTGAGTAAGTATCTTCAAAGGAGTATTTTTACCATTCACAACATATAAAGTCTTCTGGTGTTCAAAAGAGCAAAACAGGCTTTAGTCTCATGTGTTTAAGGTTATTACATATCGTCCTTGAGGACTTTGTAAGTTTGTTGTTATAGAATTATATGACCCAGGGTTTTTAGTCGTAATAGTAAACCATTATGTCTTCTGCCATTTATATATATTTAAAAGTTTTTCTGAAAGTGGAGAAGAACTTCATCTAAACTTTCACATGGCGTTTCTTGAAGTTCTCTGTCTAAGAAGTTCAAATATTTTGTAAAACATAGAACTTTCCTTTGTCTACACGAACAAACAAAACAGGGTCTTTCATATCGTTCAAAAGTGTGTAAAGTCCTTTACATGAAATAAAGTCTATATTATTTTTCTTCAAACATCTTTCAAGAAGTTTTGACATTTTTACTTAGCAAATAAACTTTAATGAAATGTTGTGGTCGTCAAATATTTTTATAACGTCTGGGAAACTATACTTTAAGTTCAACGTTTCACCTCCTTTCATAACGTATATCTTGTCAATGACATTATATGAAACACCACAGCAACTAATGTCGGGTTCTATTTCTTTGATGTTTATATCGTCTGCCTCTGTCAAAAGTTTCAATAGTTCTTTCAAGACTTCATGAGGTGCAATGACATATGAGTTCACTTTTACAGGGTTGTGTTCGACCAAGTTTAACATATACTTAAAGCTTGACAAATCTTCTCCTGAGTTTGAAGTTTGTCTTTCAGTTGTTGGTAGTCGTTTCGAATATCTGCAACAGAACTTAAGTCTCTGCTAACTTCAGGATATGTTGGTTGTTCTTTACAGGAACAATTGTTATACCATCTTTGTCTTCGTATGGTTTCCCCACTTCAACATCTCTGTCTTTGACATTGACAATAACACTTTGACTGTTTGTTTGAGTTGGTGAATTTAACTTCACATCTGCCACCGCCATTAAACCTTTGAAACACTTACGCTTCTATTTTTCGGAAATGACATTTTACTTAGAATAAAAAGATGGACGTATTCGAGTATCTCTTCGAATTGAAGCAGAACAAAGTTTACACACACAAACAATACAAATACATTGACAGAATAGTTCTTTATACAAACAATGGTAAATGTTATAGAATAGCAGTCTTGCTGAACTAAATATTTTCATAAAGCAAAGAAAGTTGGTATAACTGAAAATGGTGAAAGTTCTTGAAGCAGACAAAAATATAACTTCAAAACTTACAGATATTTCTAAAGGTAAGTTTATCTTACAATATTATGTCAAAACTGGCGTACTGTCAATATTTGACGGAGAGAAGTCAGTTCAAGAACAAACTTACTGACCTGCTGCCAAAATCTGCTCGATGGAAGCTGTCGTTATGCCAATCTGAGGAGCCCCAGCAGGTTTCATCGAACGAATCTTCAAAAGAGCATCTTCCGTGAAAAGTGCTATTGGTTTTGTAAACTTCTTTGCTTTCAATTCATCTGGACCGTCTCTGTCACCAGTATATTGTATTTGTACAGTACCAACAGTTGAAATACCACCCATAAAGTCTTCTGAGTCAGCAAATGGAATGCCAAGCCAAAAGTTTGAACGGTCTCCATTTGTATATTGAGTTTTTTGACCTCCTGTATGAGTCCATACTTTCACATATGGCATAATAGAACTTTGCATTTCAGGGTTAATGGTTGTTGTGAAGTTGTTGTTAAAGTTCATAGCATCTAATGTCAAGTTGTATGACCTCATATCCTCAACTGTAGAATATTCTTCTCTTGGATAATATTTGCCATCTATGTTTATATGATATTTAATACCAGGGTTGTAGAAACAAGAATAGTCATTTATAGTTCGTCTGAACAGTACAAACATAGTATCTGCATGTTTCATTGCAGTTGTTAAAGCAATATCTGTTCTTGCACCTGGGTCAGCACTTTGGTTTCCAACTTCACCTGCAAAGTCTTTGACAGATATTTGGTGTATAGGGAACATAAGTGGAACTGCAATATATTTGGCAGCTAAAGCATTTGAAATATCTGGGTCCAACATATAAACGGCAAGTCTGCTTTCTATTCTCTTGCATTCAAACTTTTCGCATGTGAACTTAACTGGGTCCCAAGCATCTCCAGCAGCATTGAAATAATAGTTTACTTCATTGTTGAAGTTTGAGAAACCAAAGTCTAAGTCAACTTTGTCTTTGCAAAATTCGGCGAATGATGTTTTATTTGTTCCCTTTACGTCTGTAATAGTGAATGGGTCTTGTGTTGGTGCAATGACTAAGTTATTTTTGCTTGGAGTAAGTTCGATAGAAATTTTTCCTGCCCAGTTTGGCAAGTATCTTAAAAACCTGAAGATGAGGAAAGATGACAAAGGAACTCTAAGTTTCAGTTTTACTTTAGTGGCAGCATTTCCATCTGAACCAGAAAGGTTAACATAAACTCCTGGAACGTTAGGGTCAAGTCTTCTTATTTTCTCAATATTTGCATACTGGTCTGTTTGTTCTCTAGCTTGTGGTGGTACTGAGTTTCTCAAAGCGAACCATTCATAGTTTGCCCATGTTACTGTTTGAACTAAGTCAGAGTTAGAATATATCTTATATCCCATGAAAACTTCTGGAGCATATTGGTATCCGACATAGAAAATTCCATTGCAACCTTTCTTGTCAGACAACTTGGCAGAAGGTTTTATTTCAATGTCTTGTTCCACGTATAAGAATGAGTTGTCAATAGAAATAATATGAAACCTGTCACAAGCAATATCTACTGTTGTTGAAGAACCTTCTCCAAACTCACCTACGTTTCCATAAGAAACAGCAGTTGTATATTCGTAAGTTCCAGGAACTATTTCTGACCTTCTAATGGCATTGTCGCATTCGTTATACCATTCGGAAACATTTCCGTTCATGGCATCCAAAACTGTTGGCGTTATATTCTGAGCGGCGTACATTTCATATGGGTAAAAATATAGAATAGTTGGATTTATGTGTCATAATAGAACCCACTCGTACCAAGCTTTACTTTCTTCCTGACTGAGTTTTTAACTCTTCTTTTTCCTTCATTGCCACTACTTTCACTAGATGAAGTTACTTCTTCACTACTTTCACTTTGTTCTTCTCTTCTTCTTTGGTGTCGCTTTTGGTAACTTGCCCTCTGCTTCAAGTTGTTGCATCTTTGCCTCATGTTCACCTAGTATGTTGTAAATTTCCCATGTCCTTTTTGCCTTTGGGCTCTGGTCGCCCAACTCAGGTAACCTATATCCTAGAAAGATTTTGTCATAGTTTGTATTTGAGTCTTCGCGTATTGTTTGCATGACTCTTTCCTGAGTTTCCGGTTCAAGCTCTTCAAACAGAGCTTGTCCATATGGAATAAGCTCGTTTCCAAATATATGTTTTTGTAGCCATTCTGGTTTTCTTTCCATGTTACCAATAATATCTTTTGTGAATGGGAAAGCTTTTACCCAATGTTTCAGTCTTGCGTCATTTATTTCTGTAGTTGGTTTTATTTTGTCAAGGAACATGTTTTTCAATACTAACATTTCATTTGGTACTGTCCATTTGAGTTTTCTTAAATATTCATCCATTCTCGGTTCATTGTCTGCAAAGTAAGTTTTTATGACATTTTGCAAACTTTCGTTTGCAAGGTCATGTACAATAGGTTCTCTTCCTTCTCTCTCCCTAACTTTCTTTCTAAACTCTTCACCAAATATACCATCTCTATGGTTCTGTGTAGTTCTTTGAGATAAATGTTCTAGAACGTCAGGTGTTATATTTCCCTCAGCCATGTTCATTTCATACTGGTCCAAAATATCTGCATCTTTCATATCTTTCAATGGCATTAAAGCCGCGCTGAAAATACCAGCTATATCTGGTTCACCATTCACTTCCATTGCGTCTACAACTTCTTGGAATTGTGGTTGTAAGTTTATGAACCACCTATCCGGATTAGCTTTATGACCCCATCTCATTGTAGTTCCATAGTCTGCAGAAACAAAAGTAGGTTTGTTTCCATATTGGCTAGGTTCTGAATGAACTTTAAACAATGTTTCATTTCTATATGTTTTGTTGAAATTTAACCTTTTATTTTCACCGAGTTCAGCCAAAGATTGAACGTTATATGGTCGTAAGTAAAAAGGATTATTGTATTTGCGTACATTTTCTTTCAGTACTTCCATTCTATGCTGAATATTTTCATCTGATGTTGGAGTCTTTTGTATGTCGGTGAACATTTTTCGATATTCTTCTACTCTGTCAGCCGAATTTTTCTTAGACTCTTGGAAAGATTCCATATTCACCTCATAGTCTTGTTGAGGGTCAAGATTTTTCGGCTGTTCCAAATCTTCATCTAGTTCTGTGAAGTTAGTTTCCAAAGGAGGAACTTGTTCGTTTCCTTCAGGCTCTTCTAGCTGTTGTTGCTGAACTATTTCTTCCATGTCTGGTTGTATCTGAACTTCTTCCTGTTGAGTTTCTTGTACCTCATCTGGTGGCATTTCATATATTCCGAGACCGTTTTTAAAAAGTTCCCTATCTAAGTCATCCGGACTCATAAACCTTTCTTCTTTCGTTCCGTCTCTATTTTTTACGCGTTTCATGAAGAGAGTTGAATTATCATTTAGCTCTGACATCAAATATCTCGGAGTAAATTCATTCATGTCATTTGGATGATATGCTATTAAATCATATCCCTTAGCGAGCTTGTATTTTCCAGGTTTGAAATTATATCCCATTTGGTGCTGAACCATAAAGCTAAATAGGTTCGGGTCAGTATTTCCTTCCTTGAACTTTTTAATAGCTTCTTTATATCTGTCACTAAAGTCAAGAGTATCTGGGTAACCATAATCTTCCTTAAGCATTTTTAAGAATTCTTGGTTTCCTTGTTCTCTACTTCTTTTATGTCCTTGCTCTGTTTGTGGTTGTTGTTGTGCAGGGTTTTGAACTGTTGGTTGTGTGTGTTTTGAACTGTTGGTTGTGGTGCTGGATTTTGAACTGTTGGTTGTTGTTGTTGTTTTGGTGCATGCCTGTGTCTGTGTCCATGTGACGATGTAAATGTTTTAGGTAGTCCTGGTGCAGGTGCTTCTCTTGGAGGGTTTGGTGGTATATAAGTTCCACTAGCTAGTATATAAGTTCCACCAGCTGGTATATAAGTTCCACCAGCTGGCACATATGTTCCATCTGCAGCATAATGTCCTACCTGACTTTTCGTTCTTAAGAAAGCATTTACTAGGTCTGTTTTGGTCTGTTGTAACTCTTTTTCTTGACTTTCCACAACAGTTGCTCTAACGGCGTCATAGGCACTTTGAACTGCCTGTCTCGTTGCTGCATCTGTTATTTTCGTCATATTTTGTGCTACTTCTCTTAACTCTTTGTCGAAACCTTCAGACTTCAGTTTCTTTCCAGATGAGAAGTCGTTCACTAGTTTCACCTTACTATGAAGAGCTTCGAAGGCATTCTTAAAGTCAGCATTCATTAAAGCTTCATTTGAACTGTCTTCATCCGCTTGTATTTTGTCCTTATTGACCCTATAAGTTGGGCTGCTTTGGCGTTGGCTTGGGCATCTAACCAGTCATTATTAGCTTTTATATATTCTGCGCTTTTCATTGCCTTTTGCATGGCTGCGTCGTTATTTTTACTTTCTTGTGCTAAGTTTTCATACTGTACGGTTTGGTTTTGCAACTGTAAAAGTTTTTCTGCCTTTACATTTGCTTCAACTTCTTTTTTATACTCATCGCTATCCATATATGTCTTCAGGGCTTTTTGTTTTATCTCTTCATCTTTCAGTACTTTATATTGAGTAGTATGGTTTTTCAAATTTATAACATCTTGTTCCATTTTTGCTACTTCTGCTGCTTTTTCTGACACTTTTTTCGCATATTCCTCTGTACTTAGTTCTTTCAGTTGTTCTTCTTTCTTCTTTTTCTCTACGTTTAACTCATTGAGTTTCTTTGTGTGTCTGTCATATTCTAGTTTCTTTTCGTTTTCACTTATTTGTTTCTGTATGTCTATGTTTGACTTTTTGACATCTGTTATTTGATTTTTGAGTGAACTCAAATTCATTTGACTTTGAGGGTTATAAGCTGTTCCGTCTGCAGCTCCACCATAGCCTGCCATTTTCGCTAAAAGTGCCGCTCTTAAACCTCCACTCTGTGCACCAATAACTCGGTTTAAAAGCATAGGGTTGCTTGACATTTGTTGCAACATAGTGGGGTCATTCATCATTTGTTGTTGCAACTGTTGTTGTGGTGTCAGTTTTACTATTGGATGTTTCAATGCTCCCTTCCTCTTACGTATATTCTTACGTAGCTTACGTGGCATTTTAAGTGAAGTAAAAAAGCGATTTTTGACAGATGTTTATATGACACTTTTTGTTCAGCACAAAAAACTACTCGGTCAAAGTGTTGTCAGTATTGTAAAATAACCGTCCTATCTCATTCTATAAGGGGGAAAAGGCTTCTCAAAGTATACTTCCTTGGAACGCCGGTAACTTTTCCTGTAGTGACGATAGACCCTTACTTGTCCGGACAAAGTTATACTATTTTGAGTGCTCTACAAAAAGTGTCACCGGCTGGTCGGCTGGGGTTCGGTCCTCCTCTTGGGTCTTGGGCAAAATTTCTTATGGGCTAGAGGGCGCAACGCGCCTGGAAGCCCCACATACCTGACCTATAGCATATTTGTTTTTGTAGAACAAGAATTTTAGGAAACATAGAGAAAGAAATAAAATTGAAAGCAATAAGAACTTATCGCGAATTAAATTTCTATAGCATCATTCATATTTATGGCTTTCCAAAACTCTCTTATTCAAATATGCCACAAAAAAAATAGATAATTTTATATTGGTTCGCCTAATCCAAGAATTTTCTGATAATTTTCTCAATTTTACGTTCGATTGAATTTGATTATGATAATGTTACTTAGTATCAATAGTTCATTATTTTCTAGTGATAAAATTTTATTCATATTCAATTAATTGAAAAAATGAAAAATTTTAGAGGCATGTATTTAAATATAATATAAATCATTTATAAAAATTGGATTATATTAATCAATTGAATGAGATTTTTGATTGAATTTTGCAAATTACCTCAGACTTTTCAGAGGATTGAGTGGCAACTCAATCCTCTGAAATAGTCTGTGGTAATTTTTAGTCTCTACACTATTTCAATATAAGCTCCATTTTTAAACAGTTTTTAAAAATCGAGCATTGAAAAGTGTGATGAGACTATTGAATTAACGCACACAAATTTCATCAATTGGAATTAGCTATTTCTTAAATCTGAGTTAATAAGGTAGTAAAATATATAAAATAAACATCACCGGAAATTTCCACATTACTCATTTCCAAGTAATTTCATATTCAATAGTTTACAGAGATTTTAATTGCATTCATTAATTTTAAGAATGTCTGAAGTTGTCTTCTTTAGTAACATCATTGAATACATGGCTAGTCACGGAAGGAATGGTCTTTTACCTCGTAAGCTGAAGTGTATCTTCAACTTTAAAGGAACAAATGGAATTCCAACATTTAACGTCATGAAGTACAAAAATGAACGCTATATTTGGGTTAAAGGTACAAACTTTGCAAGCCACAATGATCTATCGATTGATTTACACACAGTTGAAACACCATTTTTGAATGGCTATGCCCATTCTGGTTTCTTAAATGCAGCTAGAATGGTACTTTCACTTGTTACAGGACTCATTGAGAACCATGAGCGTGTTGTCTGCCTCGGACACAGCTTAGGAGGTGCAGTCGCAACAATGATTGCTATGATCCTCAAATATGAAAATAAATGGGATAATGTTCAAGCATTTACTTTCGGAACACCAGGAATCTTAAGTGCTGATCTCCAAGAGAAGTCAAAATTGATTTGCACAACATTTGTTCGTTCTAAGGATCCAATCCCAAGAATTTTCAAGATTAAGAAAGGAATTTATAATTTCTTCAAGTTCAATGTTGGAAAGTATTGCAGAGAGTTGTTCATGAACAAATACGAAACTTTAGAAGAATCCAACGAATCAAGAATCGGTGATATTGTTCCAGGAAGAGTCATAATCATTGAGAAGAAAGACGATGAGCCAATTTGTCGCAGACCAGTCCCAGCAGACTTTGAGCTCAGAAAGAAACTCAGAATGATGTCTCATTCCCATAAGAAGTATCACAGAGATCTTTTACACATTTACCATGACGATGAACTTGACAAAGCGTTTCATTATAGAAAAATCAAACTCTCAGCTTTCCTGAACAAGTCAATGACTGTTCTTAATTCCAGAATTGTCGGAGTAGGAGTTACTGGAGCTGTTTCGACTGTTCTCTTAACGATCTTTCTCGGTCCTGTTGGGGCAATTGTAGGATTTTGCCTTACAACAACACTTGTTCTTACATACGCTGGAATAAAGAAGCCAATCAAAATTCATAATTCCAGCCAATAAATACCATGCAGATAATGTTATTTATGATTTTTATCACTCATTTTGTTTGTTTTTTGTTATAAATACTGTTTATTTTGCTTAAAATGTTAAAACTTTATTTTCATTTGATTCAGCAGATATTTGGTCAAATTTGAATTGACTCAAAATCATAATCGCTAATGCGATTAAAATTCAAACAACAATTATGGAATATTTTGCCTACATTTTGTTAATACTTATTGTTAAAAGTCATTCTTTGGGTCAAAAAGTTCAATGACCCAAGTCATAAAATTTGGTTGAAAATTTAGTGTTCTATGGTCTCAAGAATATGAAAACTACGTAAATTTATAAATAAATAAGAATATTTATGCATGTAAAACTATTATGAACATTTTCAGAAAAACAATAAAGCGTCAGAATCTATTTCTGGCGTTTTCTCGAAGTGAATCTTTTCTCTCTTCCACTCAGGAAGCTTAAAATCAGCTTTCTTGCGCTCTGGTCTTTCAACTTTGAAAATATCAATTTTCTTTCCGCCGTTTAGATCGAAATCATCATCCTTATCGCCTTCTTTAGCACCCTTTTCTGCTGGTTTCTCTTCTTCTTTAGGCTTTTCTTCAACAATCTTTTCTTCTTCTTTTTCTGGAGCCATTTCCTCTTCTTTGGCTGGCTCTGGTGCTGGTTCTGGAGTTGGTTCTGGTTTCTTTACTGGTTCTGGTTCCTCGTCCATTAAAATGTTATTATCTTCATCAGAAGCATCATCAATAATTGGGAGGCCTTCTTCGTCCTCATCTTCTTCTGGGACTGGTTCGAGTTCATCCTTCTTCGGAGTTTCTTCAACAGTGGCTTCACCGATAAGTTTTGGAATATGAATACAGAGTTCTAACGATTTTCTAGCTTCTGTGCTATTAATATCTATAGATTTCGTCTTTTCTTCTTCGACTTCCTTCTTTTCTTCCACTTTTTCTTCTTCCTCTTCAACCTTTGGAATTTCTTCCTTTGGCTTCTCAATTTCTTCATTGGCAAGCTTGGAATCTTCCTTTGGAGTTGTTTCTTCTTTGCTTTCCTCGTTTTCGACTTTAATTCTTTGATCATCTTCTTCGTTTACGTTTGAAGTAACAAGGAACGAGTTGACCAATTCGCGGCTTTCTTCGTCGCTATTATCTTTAGTAACTCTGTGTGGAGGAATGAGAGAATCCAAAGAAGTACTGATTTCGAGATCTTTTTCAAGGCGAATTCCTTCTTCCTTACTTCCTGCTTTGGTAACCTTTCTGATTGGAGGAACAATGTTCATTGCTTCGCTGTAAGCTGTTTGTGTCAAAATTTCGTTGAGGTCTTCTTCGTAGTAATACTCGTACTCATCCTCTTCTTCCTTAGCGGAAGTATTAACTGTAGTTTGTGGAGCAATAGATGACTTGCGTTGAGCTTGTTTGTCGGTTGAATTATTATTTTCTTTGTTATTGTTGTGGTCTTCTGGTAAACCGAGTCTGCGTCTGACCATATGTGGATCATCGTCATCATCATCGCTGTCTAACTTGAGAACAGGAGCTGTAACAAGATTAATCGAACCTCTCCTCTTTCTGCCTGAAGATGGTGCACTTCCTGAGTGATCTTCAGTATCCTTTTTGTCTTCGTCATCAGTGACAACTAAGATTTCTTTATCTTCGGTCAATGATGTAATTTCGGTGCTGAATGGAAGATCTCTTGTCTTTACGTCGCCTTCTTCGGCTCCGGATGATTTCCTTGGCTTCTTCTCAAGGCTCTCCTTCTCAAATTGGACTTGAGCTTTTTTGATGTATTCTGAGTTATCAAGCTTAACTTGAGAAGCAGATTCAGCTTTGGTTATGCCTGGTGATCCCAAATCCGATGCGGGATCGGTAGTATCTGATGTTCTTGTAGATTTTCCTCTGGCAGAAAATGCTTTTGGAGAACCAAATGAGAATTTCTTTAATGGGACTTGAAGAGCAATTCTGTCTGGGCTAAATGATTCGTTCTCTGCTCCCTTCTCCTTGTAGAATGTCTTCCTTTCTTTAGTCTTTGGATTATGGATACGGAGAGGGTTCATTGATGTGATAACAAATCCAGACTGAATGTATGTCCTGATAGTATCTGCATACTGGTCAGCAAATTGCCTCTCTTTTTCTGGAATTGGGACATTGTTAACGACAATCAAAGATTTTCCAAAAGCAATTATTGCCATGATGCGTAAGTAATTGATCTTTTCAAGAGGGGCTTGATAGCATGTGAACTTTTGCAGATGAGGTATCTCTACAGCTCCCTCAAATGTCTCAATCTTAGTTTTATTTACACTTAACTCGTGTAAATTTTCATATGAATTGAGTCCATTAAAAGTTTTGAGAGGATTACTTGCTAGTACAAGCATCGTGAAATCATCATTTGGAATTTCTGGGATTTTATGAAGTTTCTTGTTTTCATATGAAAGCTTAGATGCTTGAAATGTATGAAGTGGGTTTGGAATTTTTCCAGATATTCTCCAAGATCCACCTCTCATTACAAAATGATTTATATAAAAAAAATTTTTTTTACTGGGGAATAAAATAAAGAAAATCAAATTGAATTAAATGTGTTATTTAAAACACCAGAATTAATAATTTCGAAAAATAAAATCAGTGATAAAGTGCTCAAAAGATCAATGATTGAATTTGAAGGAAAAGTGCTTACAATTTTATTAAAATTGATCAGTCCAAAAATGTGTAATTTCGATTTCACATCCCAAATGTGATATTTTGTTTTATTACTTGAAAAATATAAACAGAGTGATTTGAAAAAGAAAAAATTTGATTGGTGTAAGAATTACCGTCAAGAAATAGACTCATATGAAAATGTAAGCGTAAGTTGGGAATAGTAATGCATTATATCAGCTGAATTGACCATTTTCAGAAGAATTTTTCAGATATTCAACATTCTTCAAATGGTTGACTCCTATTTTGAAGGTAGAGTTTTGTTATAACAACCTTATTAATGTTGGTTCCGCCCCGAACCATGTTTTATTTATGTCATATTTTCCAAAAAAATCTAATTAACTCTAAAAAAACAAACAAACAATATATTTATCTAATACAAATATAACATCAATCACAATATTTTCTTGAAGTCTTTGGAGTAGATGCTCTCCTAAAGTTATTCTGTGGTTGAACTAAAATAGGCATTTTAATTTTCCTTTTTTCAACCTTTGGCGTTTCATCAGGCAGTAAACTCTTGATTGTCATCATGAGTTCATTTGGTCTCGCATGTGGCATCAGCTCAGGAATAGGTTTCAATGGCTGATATCTGATGTTTTCGTTTTCAATCATGTTTGGAAGGCTTTGAGGGATATAGTTTGGTGGATTATCCATGTAGTCATCAATTATTCGTATAATCTTTCCGTAATCGTAGTCAGGATCTGTGATTTTCGGTTCAACTTTCTTTTCTTTTTCTTTTTGTAAATTTTTCTGTTTTTCTTCTTCCTCTTTTTTGTAAAACTCGGCAGCGTATTCAGAAAGTGACTGTTTCTTTGGCTTTTCTGGTGAAGAAACAGCTCCTAACATCGATTTCAAGCTCTGGGAAGACTTAGAATGCAAATCATCTGAACTTAAATCTCCAAATCCAATAACAGAGTTATTCGATTGGCCAAAAATCAAGGCACCTTTCTTAAAGTGTCTTTCGTCTGTAAGGAAAGGTGCTTCGTTAACCCATGTTGTCTTATCTTCATAATTCCATTTAGTTTCATCACTAAAGAATCCAATATACGTGAAATCGGATGCATCGTAAAGTCTTACGCATTTATCTGTACCGCACGTTACCAAAACTTTGTTTTCTTTGACTAATACGATCGCTGTAATTTCATCTCTATGACAACGATGGATATCGACACCTTCAAGGCCAATTGTGTCTCCTATCTTCTTAATCTTCCACTTCTTAACGTATCCAAGTGTATCTCCTGTGAATAAAAATTCGTTTTCATGGTCAATTGTAATTGTTGTCAATGAATGTCTGGCAGTTATCTCATGAGCATGCAGTGTTTTGACGAATTCAAGCCTTGGTAATGTCATAATGTGTAAATTTCCTGTTGAATCACCAATTAACAATGTATTATCAATTGTGCGCATAACTTCTACTCCTGTAGCTGGTTTTAATGCGCAAGCTGCAACTGGAACGTTCGTATCGAATGACCAACATAAGATTTCTCCGTTTACTGTTCCACTGACAACTCCGCCGTTGAATCCTATTGCTTCGCTGATATCGTGTGTGTGTCCTGTGTATGATCTGAGGAGTTCCCAGACTTGGCCGAGTTCGATGTAGAGCCAAATTGTTTTATCCCAGCCAGCTCTTATCAAATAATCTTTTCCTTGGGCAGAGAAGCACTTCATTACTGATACTAATGATTTTGCACCAACTAAATTATGATCTGCGATGCGAGTTCCAGAATTATAATTCCATTGTGCAACTTTATTGGAAAAAGTTGTAGTTATAAGAGTTCTTCCCTTACAATCCAATGTTGCAGCTGATATTTCTGAGTATTTGTCATCCAATGGCTCAATGTGACTCATTTCGCAAGTTCCTGTTGAAATATTCCACGCTTTGATAGCACAGACAGTATCAACAGTCACTACTTGGTCAAATTCCGGTGCCGAGAAAACTCCGACGATAGTACGCGAATGAGTTGTTTTCTCAAATTGGTCGTTTTTGGAAGACATATCTTCAGCCCATTTTACGGGGAATGATGCCGCACTTATCAGCTGATTGCGATGCGGATCGAAAAACAAGGCGGAATAGTGGTTTTCTGGACGTAATACTGCTGGATCTGTCCATTCCTTCATTAATCGATAACTTGAAGCGTCCCAGAGTCTGAATTCCTTTTTATTAGTCATTGATACGATATAATTCTCTTTCGTGGTCGTTGTGTAATTTACAATTTTGACAACTTGGTTGTAGTGTCCTCCAAGCTTTGAAATCTTCTTGCCACTACCGTGTGACCATATATAAGCATCTCTGGAGATTCCACAAGTCGTCAGGCACTTTTGTGTCAAATTGTAAACGAAACAACAGATTGGCTCATTATCTTTGAAAACTTGTGTCTGTTGGATTGTTGCTGAATGTGGTGAATAAGTGAAAAAGACAACTCTCATATCCAAACTTGAAGTTGCGTATGTTGTTGCGTTAATAACGTCAACTTGAGTAATTTTTCCACGATGTAGTTTAACATGAGTTATTCTGTTTATATGGAAGTCGGTCCCTGACCTTCTTTTTGGTAATGAAAGGTTATATACTTCAATCTGTCCTTGATCATCGCCAACAAAGAACGGTACATCGTATTCTGACACAATTGAATTCTCTGCAATGCATAATGCAGATGGAACATTGAACATTGGCATGTCTGAAGATTTCAACGTTCTTAATGTCTGTTTTGACTGATCTTGTGTCATATTCTTAATCATTCTTGCTGTAGGAGATGCACATACTTCTATTGGAAGTCTATTCAAAGTTTCAATGTCATAAAATAATAATCTTCTATTTGTAGTAGCTAAAGCGAGTGTACTTGTGTTATTGAATACAACACCACAACAGAAAAGTGATGTATCATTGATTACACGTTTATACGCAAGATCACTGCAATTCCAAAATCTGACTGAGTCGGAAGATATAGTTATGTATTCGTTTGTCTTATAAGATGCAAGTATTTGGCATACCATTTCGCGATGACTCTGATTTTTGTTCTGAGGAGGTGTTGGCCACTTGCGAATGAATTGAATTGCTTCTCCTGACTTTTTGAAATCGCTACCATTTGTTTCTTTCAGTAAATAGTGTACGAGCTTACCCCATGATATCTTTCCTTCTGCTGTTGCATCGATTCTTTTGAAAAATAAGGAAAATTCTGGTCGATTTAAAGTTCCGTCGTGAATAATTTGTCTTATTCCTGAAGAATCCCATCTAGATTGGTCCAAGTACCCAAGGTTATCAGGATCCGCTTCTTCAAAGGCTTTTCGTAGTTTTTGAAGAAATTGTTGTTGATAAGACTCATTTCTTTGTATATTTCTACGACCAAGCCTTGATTGCGTAGAACTTGGAGGCCGACTCCATTCCGTACGCTGCGGAATGCCTTTTATTCTGTCATCTTCTGGAAAAACGAAATTCATTTTCTTTGCTCAAAAATCTTTGAAAATTTTAACAGACATAAAAGTGACAAAATATTGGACTGAAAAGTGACATTTACAAAAAAGGTGACAATTGTTAGAAAAGAATAAATGTCGAACCTTTCCTTAGAAGAAACAGCCACAATGGCTTACAGAAATGATGATTTCCTCCAAATGAACTTGCTAACAATAGGAAACCTGTTTAATTCCTATTTTAACAACAGTCCATTTTATGATCCAACTTGTTTGAATGAACAAGTCAACAGATATGAAAAATTCACTGATATTTTCGATGAAAATGGTATCACATATAGATTAACATACGTTCAAATCCAAGAACCGAATTTTTTGAAGACACTTGACCCTGCAAACCCTCCTAAAGAGCTAATCTTGGAAACTGAACAGGAGATATATGCTCCTGAAAAAGCCAACTATCCGATTACGACAGGACTTTGCGTAATTTCAAAATACAGAACAAGACTTCAAGATCATGGCGAACCTATCAAGGAATTATTAGCCCAATATTATATGATTGATGCTACTATCTATCAGGCCCCGGATTTGTACTCTTTAGTCACATCCAATTTCAGAACCGCGATTTTCAATTTAAGAGAAGCCATTCGTGATGCTGACTCTGCTTATAAGTGGACACCGGAAATGAGATACCAAAAAGCAAACGTCAACATCCCAACAAAGCCACCTTTCTTATTTGGAGCATATGAAATGGAAAACATCATCGCAGAACACAGCATTGAAAAAGATCTACAAAAATACTTCATTGGCCAAGTAATTGCTCAATTACCTCAATAATTTCTGATTCAACTAATTCTTGTTTATAATAAAGTACTAATATACAATTTGTTATATATTCGACTTCATTTTTTCCAGATCTCAAAAAAAATATTAAAAATAATTTTGATGAATCTTAAGAAAAAGCTTAATTTGGTTGAATTTCATTGTCCGGATTGATTTCATTAAGTAGTTTCTGTGCTAAAGTATTGATTTCTTCGTTTGTTGAATCAATCAAACAATTAAGCATTGAAAGGACAAAATCTACGTCAATAACTTCTGAAAGTTCTTGCATAAAATCTTCAAGTAATATTAGTGTATTTAATTGATATTTTTCGGAAGAATCGTCCGAAGCAAGGTCAAAAACCTCTGTTAGATATTCTACTGTTTTAGGACTATCATCTATTATTAATGCTCTTGATCTTATTAGATTGATAAACATAAAAAGAAAATTTTCTTTCATTGGAAACGTCATTTCATCGTAATGGTCTGAATATTTTTCAAGAATGTCGGAATTGATTATTTCAAGAGCGGATTCTGTATGAACAGCGACGTTTGATAATAAAAATAATATTTTTGCGTGAGGAAGATCAGGATTATCAATTAATTGCTTTGTAACATCTGTAACATGCTTATATAATTTGTTTTGGATGAATTCGTCTGGATATTGAACAATAATTTGGTTCCAAATAGCGCAAATTTCGCCGCAGAAAGGAATCTCCCATTGATTTTGAAATAGGTTGTTCCATATACTTAAAAGCTTTTGAACAAATTTCGAATCAAACAATGTTGCAAAGTTTGAAGTCCAATTCATCATAATGTAATGAAAAATTTTCAAATTAATGTAAATTGAGATATTATTTTCAATTGAATCTTTGGCCGCACCTAATGGATAGCTAATTGCTTCGAAACCATCAACATACGAATGTAATACATAGTTCTTTGAATTCTTCAATGTAATGTAAATAAACGAAAGCATATTGGATTTGTCTTTAACTGTTTTTGTATTAATTAAGAGCGTTGAAACTCTTCTGAGTATGTTATATTTGCAAACTAATAATTCGCAAAAGTTTGGCTCATTAATAATGAGAGAAGCTAATATACTTATAACGTAAGGCATTAAAATCGGATTTGAAATGTTAGGTAGAAAATATTCGGTATATTTGTAATAATTATTAATGTTTGTGGGTGCAACCTGTAAGATTCGAGTTAAAATGCGTAATACTAGCTCTGTTACTGGTGTAATTGCTGATTGAATGAGAATTGCTATCAAAAAATTTATTGTGTTTGTTTCATCGATTAAGGTAGTAATATCATAATGTACAAGAGATAGTTTTTGATCGATTTCCATTAGTAAATTTTGAGGATTATCATCTGAATCAAGATTGATAAGTAATTCATTAAGAATTGAGTTCAATTCTGGATCAACATCATTTTCTGCGAACATTTCTGGTCTGATAATGATGTCTTCTTCTTTTTCCGGACCAAGAATTATTTCAGCATTATCAGTTTTATAAGAAATCATTCATAAAATTGGACTGTTTTTGTATTCCCAAAACTATATTTCAGTAGTTTTCTGATATCACCGAGGATAAAATTGAATTTAATGACTAATAAAATAATTGTAAATTATTATAACGAATTAAAGTGAATTATCAAACAATTTCGATATTTTCAAAATTATTAAATATATCTAAGCATTTAAAATTTTCCAAAATCTCTAAAAAAATTTCAAAATCCAAAAAAGAATAATAAAATCCCTATATTTTTAATTCAAAAAACTTTTTTCAAAGTTTTCTTGGAAAAAATACTATCTATTTCAAGTACATCACTCCAATCATAGTTCATTTTTCTAGAGTCAATTTTGTCTAATAATTCTAATCAAATTTGATTATTTCGATAGACTTAAATTTAAGGCAGTAGGTAGATGGGTTAATCTGGAATTTCTGTGACATGCATTTATGTCTGGAAACAATCATACAAATTCTTTTTGTTTCAATATTTTGTTAGATTATTAGGTTAATTTTAAGTATGTTTATTAACATTTTAACTTTCATTAAGATCTAAGTATTTATTTCAGACAAAGCAATAGAAATAAAGACTACCTGACTTGAATACGTATGCATTATGAAAGATCATCTAACAGTATCCGTTACAACAAATACACTTGAACCATAGGATTTGGCTATTAATATATAATTTACGATGTTTTGCTATTTTTCCAAAATTCATTTTAAATAACGTTTTGATTGAATGAATTCCATGAATTTCTATATCCAAACAATCCATGCTGATATATTTCAATCAATATTTATGATCCCAGTCAATGATTTTGACATGTCGATAGACAAGAAGAAACATGAAATGCTGGATAACAATAATAGTTCTTGAATGAATATCTTATAGTCTACAAATCCACCATTGTTATTGCGTTATTTCACATATATAAATTAAATCAAAATTCATAATTTATATCCGAAATCTTTGCAGTCATTGTTTTCCACATGTATGACATAGTATTATTCTCATAATGAATTTTAAAGATATTTTAGATGGTAAAATATTGATATATGACTTTCAAATTTTTTAATGTCTGAAGAAGACGTTAATCCAAATAGATACAATGAGCTACGAAGCATCTGTAAATACCACATAGATATATACAATGCGTTATACCAGCTGAAAACTGAAAATGATGAAGATTTAAAGTCAATTTACAAACAAATCAAAACAGAACTGATTGAATCAAAGAAACGTCATCCTAAAAGCATTATAAAAGATATTTTAATGATCATTCAGTATAACAATCGCTATACAAAGTCATATTTGACACTTGCCAAATTCGTTTGTGATGATTATCATATAACAGAAGTCAACGATATCCCAATAGTATCAAACTTCCTGTTTTATAAAGAATATGGAATTAAATTAGACAAATCTGATGATTTCGAAGAATTTAAACCTGAAAATCTGGATATTCATACAGAAGACACAATTTACAGAGCAATTATGTATAATAACCTAGAAAGATTCATCTGCTTCACAGAAAGAGAAGCCTTTGATAAAGATCAAAGACTTGAAAGTCATTTATATCCATATTCTGAAGTAGGATATTCATTACTTGAATTATGTTGTTATCATGGAGCAGTGGATTGTTTCAAGTTCTTAAGAACGAAATTTAACTCCGAAATAACTGAAATATGTCTGGAGTTATCATTTTTAGGCGGAAACAAAGATATCATGAGTGAATATTTGAAATATCAAAAACCAGATAAAGAATGCATGGAATATGCAATTATCTCACACAACATTGATTTTGTTACATTCGTAATGAATGAATACAATTTAATAATTAAATTAGATTATTGTAAAGCATTTAACAATGTTGAATCATTTTTAGTTTATTTTGATCAAACTAATGATATTAACAAATGCTTTCTTTATTCAGCAAAGTTTGACATCCCATCTCTTTGTGAATATTTTCTCTCTCATTGTGCAAACGTCAATGAAAAAGATGAATATGGAAAAACTGCTCTTCATTATGCAGCAGAGAATAATAGTAAAGAAACTGCTGAATTTCTTATTTCACATGGTGCAGATATCAATGAAGAAAATAATGATGGAAAAACAGCTCTTCATTGTGCAGCAGAGAATAATAGTGAAGAAACCGCCGAATTTCTTATTTCTCATGGTGCAAACATCAATGAAAAAGATGAATATGGAAAACCGCTCTTCATTATGCAGCAGTGAATAATAGTAAAGAAACTGCTGAATTTCTTATTTCACATGGTGCAGATATCAATGAAGAAAATAATGATGGAAAAACAGCTCTTCATTGTGCAGCAGAGAATAATAGTGAAGAAACCGCCGAATTTCTTATTTCTCATGGTGCAAACATCAATGAAAAAGATAATGATGGAAAAACCGCTCTTCATTATGCAGCAGAGAATAATAGTGAAGAAACCGCCGAATTTCTTATTTCACATGGTGCAAACATCAATGAAAAAGATGAATTTGGAAAAACCGCTCTTCATTATGCAGCAGAGAATAATAGTGAAGAAACCGCCGAACTTCTTATTTCACATGGTTCAAATATCAATGAAAAAGATGAATTAGGATCAACCGCACTTCATTGTGCAGCAGAGACTAATAATAAAGAAACTGCCGAATTTCTTATTTCTCATGGTGCGAATATCAATGAAAAAGGTGGATTTGGATCAACCGCTCTTCATTGTGCAGCAGTGAATAATAGTAAAGAAATAGCTGAACTTCTTATTTCTCATGGTGCAAACATCAATGAAAAAGATAATGATGGAAAAACCGCTCTTCATTATGCAGCAGAGAATAATAGTGAAGAAACCGCCGAATTTCTTATTTCACATGATGCCAAAAATAAAGTTTCTACATAAGACAAGCATGTCATGAAGCTTTTTGTCAGAATGAAATAAATAAAGTTTAATGATCTGTAGCGTGGATGTATATACTTGCAACAATTCTTTAGGTAAAAAAATCAATTTTGATATAATATAATTTCGGGCTTCAGTTGGCTAGGCTTGCCCTTCGGGCAAGCCTAGCCAACTTCAGCAAAATAAATATATTATGATTATAGGAAATGAGTTTATCCAATGAAATTTTAATTTGAGTAATTAATATTATATTTTAAAGATTATTATGTAAAACATATGAGGAATTTTTATATGCATCGAAGTGGTTTAGAGAATACTTTGAGATTTTAGAGATTTTTCCAAAAAATATTGAAAGCAAAGCATTTATTAAGAATTTGTTTAGAAATGAATACAGTTAGATAAGACATTAGATCAGTTTGTTACTTGACAAAATTAGAGCTGAAGTCATTATCATAAATGAAAATCATGTCTTAACTATAGCAAACGGAAGTAACGTATTTGAAACATTAATAGTCTTATCGTAATCTGATATTTATGCGATCATAGATATTATTTTGAGAAACTATTTCGGAATTTATGCAATTTGTAAGGATATTTAGGAGCTCTAAAGTTAACAATTAATAAAGCACATGATAACAAAGAACGTGTTATAGATGAAAATCTAGAATTTTAGAATTTTCAATTTTAATCTGTAACCAAATGTGCAAATTGTGAATCATTTAAGGTATGATGGAACACCAATGATGCATTAGATCAATGTAATACATTAGAAGTTTGTGCGGAATGTCTGGTTAAGAAAATATGAAAATATGAAATGAAAATGAATTATTTCTCTCAATTTTTCATACACTTTTTGTCTATCGTTGACGTAGTGGTGCTTCGCGCCGCTAATCATATTTTGAGAACAACTTTGGTTGTTTGTTCGGCAAAGTTATTTCAACGAATTTTGATTTGTAATCAGATGTAATGTAATAATATCGGATTTTTTTGTTGTAAACAGAAATTCATCAAAAGTGACACCTCAGAAAAGCTAAAATATTGAATTTTTGGAACTTTTGATAGAGCACGTTTTTAAATATTAATTAAAGTAAATGTATATTTTGTAAAGATTCTTTTTAATAAAAAAATAAAATTTTGAAGAAGAACACAAAATCTTCTGAAAAATAATATCACATAAACTCATATTATTTTCTAAATATAACTATTTTATATAAAAATCAAATTCAATGATCTTAAAAGCGAAGGATAAACCTCAAAATTTACGAATATAATGAGTGGGAATATAATGCTTATCTATCATAAAACCATATGAAATATCAATTTTTGATTAAATAAAAACATTTAATCAAAGTCAATTTTATTTTTCATATTCAAATGGACTGAGTGTTAACATTTAACATTTTTTGCTAATTGTCGTCAAAAATTAGGCGTAAAGCAAAAATTGATATTTCATATGGTTTTATGATAGATAAGCATTATATTCCCACTCATTATATTCGTAAATTTTGAGGTTTATCCTTCGCTTTTAAGATCATTGAATTTGATTTTTATATAAAATAGTTATATATTAGAAAATAATATGAGTTTATGTGATATTATTTTTCAGAAGATTTCATTCTATATGCCTATGAAAAGTACTCTCAAAACTAACTTTTTCCTAATTATAATTAAATCTAGAATATTGTATTATGCTTAGTATTATTTCATTTTTCTCATTCAATTTAGAATTTACAAATGTCAAAAAATTGAGAGCTGTCACTTTTGATGAATTTCTGTTTATTACATTTTTTTGACTTTTGATAATAAATAATTAATAAATATTTTGAAAAGTCATTTTATTCGCTATTTAATTGGCGCAAAGCGCCAATCAAATAACTTAAATTAATAACATGATATTATTTCAAATATGATGAAAATTTTTGAGTGAAAACTATCAAAATTAAGTCTTAAAAAATAGATATTTAAAAATGATTTTTGATTGTTACACTACTTGCGAAAAAATGTCGATTAATCTTCTATATATATATCATCTATCGGCGCGCTCCGCGCGCCGATAGATGAATGACAAGGCTGTCATGCATCAGTGTGTTATAACAGATCGATTTTATTTGAAATTTCATAAATTAATAATTATAATAAATTTGATATTCAGAGACGGCGCTACGCGCCTTATAGCATTCTGGGCACTTACATGCCCAGAATGCAAGCTTGAGAAATTTGAAACTTCGTTCCAAATTTCTGCCTTGCTGTTTAGCAAAACGAAAGTCAGTACAAAAAAAAATTTTGAAATTGAGAATAAAAATAATATCATGATTTTTTGTAATATATGGATTTTTTAGAAGATTTTAGAGATTGAAGTCTCAATTTATAAAAATTTTTTAAATTGAGAGGAATTTTAATGATATTATTTTATTTGATATTTGGATTTTTAGAAGATTTTAGAGATTGAAGTCTCAATTTAAAAAAATTTACAAAAAATAATCGTAAAATAATCGTTTTTGTTCAAATCCTTTTCATTTCGGGAAATTGAAGTTAAATATCAAAGAGACAGTCTATGTTTATGTTAAATCAAATCATTAAAAAGCGTTTTGATGACTTTTTCTAACCGCAAATTGTCACTTTTTAATGTTTTAAAATTATTATATATCCTATATGCATATAAGATATAAATTAATATTAAAACTCCAAAATCGATTTTTGAGAGAATCAAATTTATCACATCTCATCGTTGTTCCGAATTAATATTTTATTTGTAATGTATATATCATCACAATTACATTTATCATATTAAAATTCAAAAATAATTTTTGAGTTTCAGATCTCCCTAATTTCCCATATAAATCCATGTTTATTTTATTAAAAATATGTTATTAATATAATTATAATTCAAAAGCCGCGATCGGGGTAACTATTTTGTATATATATAGAACCCATTCATGTCTCTCGCTCTGTCACTTTTTGGCGCACTCGCTTCGCTCGGGGCGCCAAAAAGTGACAGAGCGAGAGACATAATGGACAAGGCTGTCACGCACCAGCGTGTTATAACAGATCGATTTTATTTGAAATTTCATAAATTAATAATTATAATAAATTTGATATTCAGAGACGGCGCTATGCGCCTTTTAGCATTCTGGGCACTTACGTGCCCAGAATGCAAGATTGTCTATTATGTAGAAACATTTCTCCGCGCGCCGATAGATGAATGATAATCGGATTGTCTATTATCGGTTCTCCACACCGATAGTTCTCACAAAATTAACCTTTTTCTTTTTTGTCGTATCTCATAACTTCAAATCTTAAAATGATTAGCAATAAAATACGTCAAGCAATGATATCTTTAAATCGGCAAGAAGGAACCACTCAAATAACAACTTCAGCTATCCAACGAATTAAAACAATAATCCTAATTATACTAAGATATTCAGATACACCGATAATTATTATGAATAATATCGGAATTTCCTTTCAAAACAATGTACTCTTACTTGACTTCAGCAAGATTGGAAAAGTCATGATGATGTCCTTAGGAAGCATTAAGAAATCGTTAGAAAATTCAAATTTTTCGCAACTTGATATTACAGTTCAAAATCATAGTGGGAGTGAATGGAGAGCATTTAAAATTCCACGAAAAGGAGAAGGACAATCTTTTCTTCAAGTAATGGCAAATAAGAAATTTATTTCCGAATTGGATTTTAATAAACAATCAAACAGAGCTGATACAAATGTGAGTCAATCGCCAAAACCTCCTACTTATTGCAATCCTCCTCATCAAAGAGAAATTTTATGTTCATCTACGAAATTATTCGGATCAAATCCAAATGAAAAGCAAGAAAAATCATTTAAATATTTAAGCATGGATACATACACTCTTCCTGTTTTTAATACAAAGAAAATCAGCACAACAACTAATCCAAAAAGTGATTCATTGTGCTTATTGATAAGTAAAACGAGTCCAAATATACTTACGTTTGATTCTTTATATCATGGTGATCAAATTCTTTCTGAATCTATATTTCCAACAGAAGTTGAGTAACTTTCATCCCATGATCCTAAAAAACTGTATCTTAAAGAATACATGTAAATATTATACTTTTGTTTGTAATAAAAATTATATATTTGTAATTTTTAGATACAAGTAGATATTTGAAGATTTTAATAAGTTGGCACGCCTTGAATTTAGTAGTACATCAATATTTATTATATGAAATATTTTACATTACTAAAAAAAAGGAGAAAATCAAATTCATTCAATAAAGATGCTGAATTTCGACATTTATTGTTTCTAAGTTTCTTTGATTTTGGAAATATTATAGATTCATGGACTAATGATTCTGGTTGTTGTTCAAATTTTGAGTAGAATTTTAAATGTGTGTTTAAAAATGAAAATAATAAGAGCTAATCGATAAAGATAATATTTACAATATATATACAAACAAAATATAATAGTGTTATTAATAGATCAGTTGTTGTTTCCATCAGATCCGAAGTAACAAGTTTTATTGATCTTGATTAAGTCTTTTATTGGTTTATTGCAATACATGCATTGTTTAACAGTATTTTTGCAATAATGACATGAAACAAATGAGCTACAAAACGGACAAATGTAACTTGAAACGTGTTTTCTGCAAATAGGGCAATCAGATGGAAATTCCTCAAACGATCTAAGTTGTTGCTTTAGTTCTTCTGATTTTTCACATAATTCTTCATATTCAACTAATTTCTGATAATTAATTGGTTTTTGATTAGAATTAGAGCTAAAAGACGGATATTTCCATTGACTTCTTAATACAGCAACTCTTAAATTTGCAATAGCAATGTCAATTTCGGTAGTATCAAAATTGATAATTTTTCTTTGATTTTGTTGACCAGTTATCTGGTTCTGGAGGAAGTCAGTGAATGTCTGATTGAACAACAATTCAGGAATGAAAGATCTGATGTAGGAAACCAAAGAATTCAGGTGAATTGCTGTAAAACCACTGAATTCTTTACCAATTTCACTAAGAATCTCTTTCTTATCCTTAAACATTTGTTCGTAATCAGGAATTTCATTAATATTATTTTCAATGGTATTTTGTAAACTTCTCAATTTTTCTTTACATTCCAAAATTTTTCCATTTTTGGAACAGTAAAAAGCGGCATGAATGAAAGGTTCGACTTCACAAGCTTTGACATATTTAGCTACATCGATTTCTCCGTTGTTATCAAGGATTTCAAGAGCTTCTTCTATCTTTTTTAGAGAATTTTTACAAAATGGAAGAAAATCAACGAATCTTTGCTTCTTTTCACTGAACATGTACTGAACATCGTTTATCTGCTTTGTCAATTGGTTTAATTTCATTGCCAATTCTGTAATAGCCTCTTGTAAATTTCTAGCATCAGGTTTTTGAATTGTGTTGATTTCTTCCATTGTATTTTGTATCATAGTGAACATAGTTCTGAAATTATCGAACTCTTGCTGCCAATCTGGCGTTTTTAATTTAATATAATTTTCTAAAACGAGAAAACAATTGGATTCATATGGAACACAGCCGTCAATGATAGTATCAATCTTTTTATTATGTAATTCTTGTGCTGCTGTAAGTAAATAAGGATAATTTTCGAGATATATCAAAAATAAAATTAATCTTTCAACGGAATCGTCCATTTTTAACAAATCAGTTAACATTTCTGAGTCATTTGGATGACATCCTTTAAGGAATAAGTAGATGGAAGCATCGTTATCATAGCTAGAAGCTGAATAATCTAAAGCATTATTTCCGTTTGTGTCTGTTTGATTAATATCGGCACCAAACTGTAGTAATAATTGCATTGTTTCTGTTAGATTGTATCTCGCTGCAATGTTTAAAAGAGTTGAAGAAAATAAAACTTTGTTATCGGCTTTTAGCTTTACATCAATGATATCATCAAACTTAAGACCTGAAATCATTGCATCCATCAATGATTTTTCAGTTAAATTGCGTAAAAAGTCAATAACTGCATCTGGTCCGTTCAATTTTTCTTTGAAAGCTTCCGAAATGTCTCTATCTTGCATATTAACTTTGGAATCTTTAATTATATTTGCATAATTTTCATTAATTTCTTGAATATTAATTTTATTGAGGTCATTTTTTGTAATAATACTTGTAATATGCTTCATTTGCAAACTCCTTGCCATTTTATAGGCGTTGGCACCTACGAAAATTAAAAAACATTCTTGAAATTGAATGAAATCAAAATTATTTTGGAAAAAATCAGTTTCAAAATAAAATTGATTGTGAATATTACTAATATTGCGTAATTTCTCATCGTTCGAGTTACAAATAAACTGTTTCGAAGTGAAAATGTTATGATGCTCTTTATCAACTAAAATTATAAAGGATAAATCATTATTCTTTGAGAACAGATCTGATATCATTTTAACCGATTCATTATAATCGGAAACTTCAATAATCTCATTCTTTACAAGATTTTGCATAACATGAAAGGAAAAGGTGACACATAAAAATTATACATCATATAACGAATTTGGAATAAGGGTTTCGTTTTGCTAAAATTGTCACTTTTATAGCATATTTGTTTTTGGATGTTTTGCGAAACCAAAAAAAAACTATGATATACAATGTGTGTGTAAAGAAAATACTTTATTTACTAGTTAAAAAATCATTTGGTATTGATCAAGTTATTTTTTCTGGATAAGATATTATATGGATAATTGGATAGAAAATACAATTATATAATCTTGTACCTGGTTTAATTAAGCTAATTGTCATCAGAAACTTGTAATTTTTATGAATTTCAGATTTTCTTTTCATTACTGCTTTTCTTAATAAGTCATGTTCTTATTTACGTTATAAAGTATGATATTTACAAATATCAAGTTATCATGTTTTTTGAGAAATTATGAGAAACAAACAAAAATGAAAAAGATAGGAATAGCAATGAATAGTGATGTGGGTATAGAAAATGTAAGAGATATGAATGCAAAGCAATCAGTATTTAGGATATTGACCATAGATTTCGAAAAAAAAATGCTGCATATTGAGCGAAAACTATGATTATATTATAAGGCTGTCATTTAAAGCATAATGAAACTATTCCCTTTTCATTTTAATCGAATAAGATAGTAAAGATTTTTGAATTAGCTAGAAACTGATGAGATGTTTTCACAAATCAGATTTTTAATCTCTATAATGCATAATTCACTCAATATCTCAATTTTGATATTGCGAGATATTTTTGCTATCGGTTTCGCAATTTTGACACAATAGCAAGAGGGTTCTATAAGCATTATTATCAACGTAGAATCTGAATATCATATCAGAAAATGTCGCAAATCTGACATTTACCCGACCAAATAGCAAAAATAATTGAATACTTTTCGCAAAAACTTTAAAAATCGATAAAAATATGAAATATAGATATTAAAGAGACTTTTTATATAATATTCATAAAGATTTTCCAAAAATATGATACCGCAAAATTAAAAAAGTGACGTCTTGAGTGGAGTCAAAGGTCGAAATTGCTAGCTAAATGTTTTTTAGCGAAATTGCGTATTGTACGTTTTTTTCGCAAAACGAAACCCTTATTTGGAACTATTATGTATGTCTAATAACACTCATCATTTCATATTTCGTATCAAGGATGATAAGGTTTTTCAATTGGAAAAATATCGAGCTTTCTTTCAAAATTGAAATGGTTTAAATTCTTTACTTGCCCCTTATCAACGTAACATATTTAATACAATGATCAATAAGAATAATTATGTTATTTCTACTTTTGAGTTTTTGCCAAGAGTGCTCAGAATGTTATTAACCGTCGTAACGTCTGAAGTTTATTTTTCGTAAACTTAATTTTTTTTACATTTATGGAGTCTCAATCAAAAAAACCATCAAGCAAATTCTCGAAGAAGAGTAGTGCGAAGAAGGTTGAAACTGAAGAATCGAAAGAGTCTCCTTTAAAAAACAATTTTGATGAATCTAAACCTGAAACAAAGGACACAAATTCAAAGAAAACTAAAGCACCGAAAGAAAAAGGCAGTACTGAAAAGAGCAAAGGAAAGAAATCATCAAAATCTCAAGGGAAAAAGCATCAAAAGAAGAAAGACTCATCGAGTTCTAGCGATGATGAACTTCTTGATGAAGCCGAAAAGGCAGTACTTGATTTAGCAGCAAAAACAAAAATAAACGACGTTAATACAAATAATCAAGATGGTGACAGTGATAATTCTTCCCAAAACTCCGAAAAAGATTCCAAAACTACTAAAGAAAGCAGTAGTAAGCATAGCCCATCTCCAAAATTCAAAGAAAGCCAAGCATCAAAAGATTCTACCTTGAATAACGAAAAAGGAGATGCGGCGTCTAAAAAGTCCTCCAAATCAAAGCGAAAATCTTTATCATCAAAGCACGAAAGCAAAGATTCAACAACAGAAAATAACGCCAAATCCAAATCAAAGCTTCGTAGAAAAGACAGCGATACTGTAGAAGTACAAGTAATGTCTATGCCGTTATTTAAGCTATCAAGCCAAATTCTTAAGGCTACGGATTCGGATAATGCCGTTGAAGTAGAATCAGACAGTTCTGAAGTGTTTGAAGATAACAACAGTACTACAAAGAAAAAGTCAGGCAAGAAAAAGCGAAAATCAATCAGTAAAAGAAAGAAATCTTTAAGTACAATCGAAGAAAAAGACGAAGAACTCTCATTACTAACTAAAAGTCAAAACATTGAAGAAGCCGTAGAGAAATCTCCTAAATCTAGTACTTCAAAAGATGAAAAATCTAAAAATGAAGAAGATGAAGTTAAAACTGAAGCAAAAGTAGAAGAAAACGAAGAGAAACCAAAAGAAGAAAAGAACCCTACACCTAAATCATCCAAATCATCATCAAAATCACCAAAGAAGAAGAAAAATTCGTCATCAAAGAAAAGTGCGAAATCTTCTTTTTCAAAGGTAGAGGATAACAACTCACCATCAAAGGCCGAAGAAACAACTCCGAAGAAGGAAGAAGTTTCCGAGAAATCTGAGAAAGATGTCAAAATACCAGAAAAAATCGAAGAAGTTGCAGAGAAAATTGAAGAGAAGATCGTAAAACAGGAAAAGAAAGAAGAAAAACACACAAAGAACTCTAAATCAGAAAAAATTGAGAAAATTGAAGAAAAAATTTCAGAAAAGTCAGATAGTGATGAAAAAAGCGAAGACAAACCAATCGAAAAAACGAGTCCAGAAAAAACCGAAAAGATTGAAGAAAAGGAGGAAGTTCCCTCTAAAATTGAGGGGGTAACGGCTCCAAACTCCCAAGAAATTCCACCCAAAGCAGAAGAACCGATAAATAACAAGAAAGAAAAGAAAGGAAAAGGCAGGAAGAAGAGCCTTAAGTCCAAGAGGAAGTCCCTGACTGTCCATTCTAATGATGACGAACAAAATAAAGATGATCAAAAGAATCAAGAGCCAATTCCTGAAAAAGTCGAAGAAAAGATAGAGAAAATAGAAGAGAAAGTTCTTGAAGTGAAGAAATCCTCTTCTTCTTCAAGCGATGAAGAAATTAAAGAAAATAAATCAGAAAAAACTTCAGCAGTTAAGTTTGAAACACCAAAGAAGTCATCATCAGACTCATCAAGCTCCAGTTCAGACGAAAAACCAATGGAAAAGCAAGAAATTAAAGAAAATATTACTAAAATCGAAGAAAAAGTTGAAGAAAAACCAGAAGAAGTTAAGAAAGAAGAGATAGTAATCAAAGAAGATAAAGAAAGTTCATCTTCTGATTCCGAATCTAAATCAGAATCCCATTCCATTCAAAACAAGGTAGAAGAGGTCATTTCACCGAAAACTACAAAGAGTGGAAAGAAAGGTACAAAGAAATCCACAAGAAAAGGCAAAAAGTCCAAGAATATCGAGCCAGAAATTCCAAAAGAGGAAGAAAAGCCAAAAGAAGAACCCAAACAGCCAGTTAAAGAGACTTCATCATCTTCGTCTGACTCAGAGGTCCTCCAAAGTCCTCCTTTGCCTGATTCAAAGAAAATTGCGGATTTGATCGTCAACGATATGAATTTGAGCTCTTCATCACCGTCATCTTCAGAGGAAAAACCAATTCCTAAGGAAGAAAAAGAGAATTCGAGTCAGAATTTGGAAGTCAAGGAAATCAACAAATCTGATTCATCATCTGACTCCGAGAAGGCCGAAATTGTTGAAGAAAACAATGAAAAGCCACAAATCCAAGAAATTATTAAAAATAATTCCTCAATTTCTTCAGATTCTGAGAGTTCTTCATCGGAAAAGGTCCAAACAAAGCCTCCGCCAAAGGAAGAATCCAGTTCTTCCAAAGAAGAAAGCTCCAAACAAAATATTTCCAATGATGAGCAGAAAAAGAAGAAACATTCGAAGAAACACCACAAAAACAATGATTCTGCAAACAATTCTACAGATCTCGTTGAGAAAGTTGAAGAAAAAGTTAATAATCAACCAATAATTGCAAAAACACGAGATTTGAATGGCGAAACAACCCAACAAGTAGCCAATACACAAATCACAGAAGAGCCGAAACAAATTTCCAAGGAATTCCTTAATATTGACACATCAGATGTCAAAATCAAAGAATCCAATGGAGCATTCTATCTCACGATCAACTCTGATATAGAACAGACAGAGCAGAAGCCACAACAAGAGCTAACACCGCCAGAAAACCAAGTAAAGAAGGAAAATCCAGAAGAACAACCGAAGAAACAAGAAAAGAACGATGAAAGTGACATGAAGAAATGTCCGGAGTTCTTAAATATCGATACAAGCGATGTAAAAGTCAAAGAATCGAACGGAGCGTTTTATCTGACAATTAATTCAGACGTAGAACCTCCTTCTGTAGATCCTAAGCTTGTAATCGTTCAGCCTGCGAAGAGGGACATCAAGTTGGCCGAAGAAGAGAGCGACGATGATGACAAATTCTTAACTGTTTCATCATCTCCTCCTCCACAGCCAAAGAAGCAGGTAAAGTACTACGGAACATCATCAGATTCTGACTCTGACTATGTTCCACCTCGTAAGACTGCTCCTGCTCCTCCTCTCGTGATTCCAAAGACGAATTATTCAGATGAAGACGATAGTGGGTATAATAATGAGACAACGAGCGAGTTAGAGAGTTTGCATTCACCTAAGATGCCAAGTAATGACGAGAAATCGCCTGTTGGTAAGAATGGAGCGAAGAATTCACCTGGAAGAAGAATTTCATGCGATACTTGGAAGAATTACGATGAAATGATGGACCAGAAGAAGAGTCCTAAGCAAAAGGAAGGCGCTTCTCTTGTTTCATCGCCATCTAAAATTACTAAGTCTTCTCCACAGAAATTCAGGTACATTCCTACATCCAGAGTGAAGAGGTACGGTAAATTCGTAACTGATAAGCATGAAAATGCCGATAAAACTAAGAAAGAGTCGAAATTCTTGCAAGAAACAGAAGACAGCGAGAAATTCATCTCAATTCCAAAGGAGAAAGACACAGAAAACAAGGAAATCCGATTGCTTCCAGTTGTACACCTTTCGCCAGTCAAGAAACACCTTTTATCACCATCGACCAAGTCGAGGTCAATTTCAATTAAACCGCCAAAAGAAATGACGGTTTTTAAGAATAAATTTATTGACAAAGACAATGATAGTGATACGAGTGATGAATTAGATTTGTCATTCCTGGACAAACAAAACGACGAAAACGATTTTGAAGTTGAAAATTCACAGTCTAAGCGAAAGAAAGTCGCAGACAGGCCTCGATCTAAATGGCTGAAGAGGAGTGACTCAGATGACAGTGAAGACGAACGACCAATCAACTACGACAAGATAGAACTTAAACACACATCTCCTAAACTGAAACCTAAGAAAGATAAGAATGAAGAAGGCGGAGAATTGTCCCTTGAAAGCAGAGGAATGCTTGCAATGCTCAAACAGCGATTGGACTGGGGTAACCAGCCGCCAATTAACTATCAAAAATAACTTTTTTATTTTTATATTTTGTATATATATATTTATGTGTAAAAAAATTTGATTTTTTATTAATATTTCCGAAATTTATTTAAAAATTCAATATAATTGAATAGTTTACACGGAACATTTCAAAAACACATCAAAATCAATTTTTTTAATTGAGCTTTATATTATTAATTTCCTATCGATATAGTATCTACACCAATATGATCATTAAAAATGATGTTATCACATGATTTATTATATGCAATTTCACATAGATCTCTAAATTAATATGTTGAATATTGGGGAGAAATTAGTCTTAAAATAATGATTACAATGTAGATGCATACACTACTGCCAACTTACAAAATCTAATCAGCAAATCAAGAAGGAAAAAAGCCGTTTATATGTTAATGCTGTATATGCTTATATTATTGTTTTCGCTTTTTATTAATAAAACATCTCAATTTCATACGACTGACTATTTATCACTCACAATAATCATCTTCAACTCTATGGAGAATAAGTATTCATAATGGTTGTAAATATTAATACACTTTATTTCTACCACAAAATGAAGGATTATTATTTTGTCTGGAAAAGTGACAAAATTATCATTTTCGTCAGACGAATATGATAATTTTTTATTTTCAGGGTCATGCTAAAAAGTTAAATTTATGAGATTTCATTGCAATGATACCTACTTGAATTGTAATGCATCTATTAGGAAATTTTGTTGAAAATAAATTGAATAGTTTGAGTTTATGCAGTTAATAACATAAAATTAATTAATATAAGTCTAGAAATCATTTGATAGAATCTTATGAACAATTTTTGGGACGATATTTTAGTGTCACAAGCCCCAAACCTATTACCGAAATTAATCCTGTTGTAAACAGAAATTCATCAAAAGTGACAGCTCTCAATTTTTTGACATTTGTAAATTCTAAATTGAATGAGAAAAATGAAATAATACTAAGCATAATACAATATTCTAGATTTAATTATAATTAGGAAAAAGTTAGTTTTGAGAGTACTTTTCATAGGCATATAGAATGAAATCTTCTGAAAAATAATATCACATAAACTCATATTATTTTCTAATATATAACTATTTTATATAAAAATCAAATTCAATGATCTTAAAAGCGAAGGATAAACCTCAAAATTTACGAATATAATGAGTGAAAATATAATGCTTATCTATCATAAAACCATATGAAATATTAATTTTTGCTTTACGCCTAATTTTTGACGACAATTAGCAAGAAGAATTGCATGATAAATAAAAACATTTAATCAAAGTCAATTTTATTTTTCATATTCAAATGGACTGAGTGTTAACATTTAACATTTTTTGCTAATTGTCGTCAAAAATTAGGCGTAAAGCAAAAATTGATATTTCATATGGTTTTATGATAGATAAGCATTATATTCCCACTCATTATATTCGTAAATTTTGAGGTTTATCCTTCGCTTTTAAGATCATTGAATTTGATTTTTATATAAAATAGTTATATATTAGAAAATAATATGAGTTTATGTGATATTATTTTTCAGAAGATTTTGTGTTCTTCTTCAAAATTTTATTTTTTTATTAAAAAGAATCTTTACAAAATATACATTTACTTTAATTAATATTTAAAAACGTGCTCTATCAAAAGTTCCAAAAATTCAATATTTTAGCTTTTCTGAGGTGTCACTTTTGATGAATTTCTGTTTACAACAATCCAAACATTTATGATGAAAATAACGCGTTTATTTATAAATCAATTTTTAAAGATTTGTCTGATTATGCAATTAACTTCCAAAGAGCATATGATTATTACATATTATCAGAACAAAACTATTTCTCCGATGGTAACGGTACTATAAGTATTTTAAGTTCTCTTCATTTTGTTAATGACCATTTTTACTCTTTTAATAACTCAGATAGCTTCATATATTGTAGTTGGGGAATAGTACAGTTACTGAAGGTTCTATTTCCTTCTGCAATAATAGTTATGAAGGTTCAATATACCAACACCATGGAAAAATAAATATTACAGCAGTGAATTTTTCAAAGTGTCAAACCAGAGTAGGATCAGCTATTTATTGTAATTGGGTTGACTATGAAAATGTAAATTGTTGTTATATTGATTCATGTCATGCAACAGAATTCTCTGCAGTTTATTTTGAATACTCAAGTGCTAAACTGAAGAGATCTAATATCATAAATAATACTCACACAGATGTTAAATATGGAATAATTCATATGCAAGGTTTTTGTGACCACACTCTTTATATTGAAGATTGTATATTTCAGAACAATTGCCAAAACAACAATGCAACATATTTCTTTACTCAATCCTATTCAGATATTTTTATCTTCCGAACAATATGTGATAAAACAATAAAAGCATGCAAACAACTAGCTCTAGTATATATGTCAGAAATGACTACTTCACCTTTCGAAAATGATTTTTTCATATGTTTAACACCAGAAATACTTATTAAAATCAATAAACAGAAAACAAAATCTGTATTTGATACATTTTTATATGTTCATCTTTTCTATCAAATAATATTTTCATAAAAAAAGTAAAAAGTAATTTTTATTCTTCGACCTTTAAAAACAGAAACTATCTCCATCAGACATTCCGCAGGAATGAATAAGTGTCAATTCGAAAAAATTGATTTTTATGCTTCCTTTCTTCAATACAATGTTGTAAATTAAATGTAACTTCATCATATGCACGTTTAAGTGCTAATGCACCTGGAATGGATCCATATCTTTCAACAATTGATTAAAACACATTTTGAAAAACTTGATAACGCTTATGGTTACTATCACATTCAGCTAATTGTGGTGTAATACCAGGAAGAAGAATTTCATACTATTATTGGAAGGATTACGATGAAATGATGGACCAGAAGAAGAATCCCAAGCAAAAGGAGAGCAAATCTTTTGTTTCTTCGCCATCTAAAATAACTAAGTTTTCTCCACTGAAATTCATTTAATTGATTTTTTTATAAATTTTTTAATTGATTTTTTTTTTTAAAAATTAAATCATTATTTTCTCATCCAATACTTATATTTCATCCATCATCCCATATGATATAATTACCTATTATTAGTAAAGATTATTAGGGAAAAAGAATAAGATTTATATCATTTTCAGGCCCTGAGATGCTAACTAGGTTTCCTGACACCCTATATTATAAAATTTCTGCTGAGGTAATATCGAAACTATATCCATCAATATATATATCAATAGATTGTCAAATCTTCAACTGCATGAATTGACAAGATTATGGTGGTATATAGAATTGTACAGTTTCAAAAATATAAATATGAGAAAACAAACATATTAATATTCTTTATTCAAACATTGACTGTATCTTAGTTAAGGCTTTCTTCAACTCATTGAGTCGTGCACAATTTTTATCAAATTCTTCGTTCTTTTGTTGTAAAATTGCAGAATCTTTTGTGTAATTTTCCTGCATTTCTGTTAGTTGATGTTTGATATCTTCGAGTTCTTTTATGTCATTATTCAAGTTAGATCGAGATTCATCGAGTTGTGATTTTGTATCTCTTTCTGTTTTTGATTCTTCAAAAACTATATTCATCAACTCTGAAAGTTGATTTTTCAAATTCTCATGATTGTCTTTCATCTGTGATATTTGTTCTTCAAAATTATTTTTAGTTTTAAGAGCCTTTTCGTATTCTGATGCTTTCAGATCTTCAAAATGTTTTAAATCTGAAATGTTGATTGTTTTATCACGGACATCGTTGTTAGCCTTCATTGCCTTTTGCTGAACTGAAACAATTTCATCTGTTTTATCTTCAATTTCGCGTTTGATTTCACTTAAAACAAAATCAAGTTTCTTATCAAGATCAGCATTCTTTTTTCGCTTTTCTGCAAGCTTCTCACGCTGCCTTGAAATCTCTGTATTAAATTGTTCTTGTGATGTAGAGCGAGTGAGGTTTTTATGATTTCTTTCTTGAATATAATGTTGTAAATTAGATATAACTTTGTCATATCCACGTTTAACTGCTAATACACCTGGATTGGATCCGTATCTGTCAACAATTGATTGAAATACATTTTGAAAAACTTGATAACGCTTATGATTACTATTGCATTCAGCTAATTGCGATGTAAGACTAGCTTCTAATGATTCAACGTATTGCTTTTGAGTCATTTCTTTAGGATTTAAAATTGGAATTGGAGCAGAATTGTTTACTCTTCTAGGAGATTTCCTATATGCAAACGAGTGACTTATTTTTGCAATATCAGGTATTCTTGTTTGGGTTCGTGAGGAAAATCCAAAATTCATTACAATTTCGTTATTAAAAAATAATCTTTCTAAATCAGCACATTCTAATTTAACATGCCATTATTATAAAATAATACAGAAAAATCAAATCATTACAAATAGTTTTCAATCAGATTCATAATATATCAAAAAATAATGGTAATTTATAAGTGTTTCATGGAACTCATCGCATTCTTATAAATATTTTATAGATTGGTGTCAAAATTAAATATTTATTTTCAAAAATTCGAATTTGTATAATTATAAAATAAAAAATTAATAAAGGCTCGTTGGGTCTAACATGAATGCATTATTTTGGATTTATATAAATAAAAAATATCAATCTAAAATTAAAACATTTAACACCTTTGAAATATATTATTAACATTTACGGATCATGGTTTTAGTATTTCTTCATTCTCTTCTTGTCTACAATTGCCTTGATTTTTAATTGCTTGAACCCAATGGTTACAGGGCCGCCAACAAACGAGTGGAAACCAAAAAGCAATACATATGAGTATGACACAAATAAAGCAAGCAGCACTTGTTAATACAGCTGCAAGATAATTGTTTAACTCAACCATTCAATTCTGGCAAAATGTAACCCTTTCAAAAAATAAAATAGATGTTTAGAGTTCAATAAATGTGTACTTCAATATTTTCAATTTTTGTTTTTATACAAATCAGGACGATAGAATATTTTTTTCACAATTAATTTATATTTAATGTGCTGATAGAAACATATAACATATTTCCAAAAACAACAAATAAAATCCAGAATTCGAATATTTTGAAATTTAATTTTATCAAATAATAGGATATTTGTTATATCGATATATTAGATTTCATAAAAATTCATTTTGATAACGTGTATGAAGTTTCATTACAAAAACTTGAAGAGAGAATTTCTTTCGATCTCGATTTGTCTTATTTATTCGATTTTGTACTATATAGTGTAATAAACAGAAATTCATCAAAAGTGACAGCTCTCAATTTTTTGACATTTGTAAATTCTAAATTGAATGAGAAAAATGAAATAATACTAAGCATAATATAATATTCTAGATTTAATTATAATTAGGAAAAAGTTAGTTTTGAGAGTACTTTTCATAGGCATATAGAATGAAATCTTCTGAAAAATAATATTACATAAACTCATATTATTTTCTAATATATAACTATTTTATATAAAAATCAAATTCAATGATCTTAAAAGCGAAGGATAAACCTCAAAATTTACGAATATAATGAGTGGGAATATAATGAGTGGGAATATAATGCTTATCTATCATAAAACCATATGAAATATCAATTTTTGCTTTACGCTTAATTTTTGACGACAATTAGCAAAAAATGTTAAATGTTAACACTCAGTCCATTTGAATATGAAAAATAAAATTGACTTTGATTAAATGTTTTTATTTATCATGCAATTCTTCTTGCGACCAAAGATTTGAATAAAATTTCAAAAAATAAGATAGCTTAAAAAATAATATACGGTAGTGTTTACTAATAGATGAATAGTATATAAATTCTATTAAAATGGATTTGATCCAAAAAAATATATAAATTTGATCATTAATAAAATCGTTTTAAATTACTTCTTCATTTAAATTATAACAATTATTTTTGGTTTTATATTTTTTTGGATCAAATCCATTTTAATAGAATTTATATACTATTCATCTATTAGTAAACACTACCGTATATTATTTTTTAAGCTATCTTATTTTTTGAAATTTTATTCAAATCTTTGGTCGCAAGAAGAATTGCATGATAAATAAAAACATTTAATCAAAGTCAATTTTATTTTTCATATTCAAATGGACTGAGTGTTAACATTTAACATTTTTTGCTAATTGTCGTCAAAAATTAAGCGTAAAGCAAAAATTGATATTTCATATGGTTTTATGATAGATAAGCATTATATTCCCACTCATTATATTCGTAAATTTTGAGGTTTATCCTTCGCTTTTAAGATCATTGAATTTGATTTTTATATAAAATAGTTATATATTAGAAAATAATATGAGTTTATGTGATATTATTTTTCAGAAGATTTTGTGTTCTTCTTCAAAATTTTATTTTTTTATTAAAAAGAATCTTTACAAAATATACATTTACTTTAATTAATATTTAAAAACGTGCTCTATCAAAAGTTCCAAAAATTCAATATTTTAGCTTTTCTGAGGTGTCACTTTTGATGAATTTCTGTTTACAACAATCCAAACATTTATGTGCTAAGTTTTATGTTTAATGTTGAGTATCAAAAAGAATGGGCGTCTGATATAGCCATCATATATCCCAGAAGCAAATAAAAATTCTGATTTTTTAAGCATAAAAAAATGAAATTTTATTTTTTGCAAAAAACAGGCCACCCAGATGTACGTTTATTTGAGAGGAGGAGGATTAAATTTTTGAAAGCACTAAAATTTGTAAATATTCTAGTTATATAATAATATGTATTATTTTAAAAAATAAAAAATTAAAGCACGTTAAAAATTTTTTTGATGAATTTTTACAAAAGCTACTTAGGATTATGCAAAATATAGTAATTAAACATAAATTTCAAATCAGATTTTACTTATGATAAATATTTTAAATTTCCGAAAATTAAGTTCAGATCGACTCGATACGTTGTAATTACTAAATAAGGTGCCAAAAACCTATTAAACAGTATCAAAACTATCAAGATTGTAATGTTTTTGAAGAAAAATTTATAGAATTATGAACTTCAAACAGATATTATGTAAATAAAAATAATATAATGGATTTGTTTATTCGTATAATAGCAGCAATAAGTCGATTATTCACTTCTACTTCTGAGATTTGAATTTAATTTCGACAGAAAAAGAGATTCAAGAGGAAAATACTAGGGAATACAAACTGCCACCATGACAGGATTATTATAGAGCCAAGTTGTATTTTTTGATATTTTTAGAGTTTTCCTACCTATTTAGGTACCAAGTAATTGCTTAAAAATTAAGGTTCTAAATTCTGAAGTTTACATGATCCTCCCGGGCGCACCCTTAAATATCTTTACAATATGTTAAATCTAAATGAGGAGATACGACATTTTTAAAATTTCATTTTACAGTTTTAGATTTCCATTATTTGATGAGAATTTCCACTCACTTTTCATCAATTTTAGATTCCGATAGAAAAATTCATTAAGTCAAATTTTTGAGAGGTAATCCAAAATTTTATAGTAATGTAAACTATTCAAATACCTTCATATGAAAATCTCTTCTATTCTTAGTTCATTTCTCAGTTGATGATCGAAAACTACATCCTCGACTACTCAGGTCTGAAGATATTCATGGCAACAATGTCCATCATTGGCGTATTCGTGTTCATTGCCTTATACTTCATAAATGCAGGTTACGGAAAATTCGCTAGCAGATCATGGGGACCAGCCATTCCAAACAAAATTGCATGGATATTAATGGAATGCCCAGTTTTCTTCGTTCTTTGCATCCTTTGGTACTTTTCTGAAAGAAGATTCAAGTTAATTTACCTTGCATTCTTCATAATCTTCCAAATCCACTACTTCCAGAGATCATTCATCTTCCCATTCCTCCTTAAAGGTAAATCATACATGCCAATCCTTATCATGCTTATGGGAGCCACATTTAACGTTTGCAACGGTTACATCCAGGGTTGCTGGCTATTTTATGCATCTCCAGAAGGATACTACACAAATGAATGGTTCTGCACACCACAATTCATCATCGGAACCATTATTTTCTTCACAGGAATGTTTATTAACATCCACTCTGACCACGTTATCAGAAACTTACGCAAACCAGGTGATACAAAGCACTACCTTCCAAACAAGGGCATGTACAGATTTGTAACATCTGCAAACTATCTTGGTGAAATCATCGAATGGTTTGGATATTTCATTTTGACATTATCTCCTGCTGCCCTTGTTTTCGTTTGGTTTACATTTGCCAATCTTGTTCCACGTGCACACAAGATTTACGACCGCTATCTCAAGGAATTTGGAAAGCCTGTTCTTGAAAAGAAGCGTGTCTTCCCATTCATCTATTAAAATTGTTAATAAATGTTTAATTATTTAATCTCTAATCCATTATATTTTTTTTCAACCAAGAACTTTTCTTGTGGATTTTGAATTCAGATCTTTAATAACTGTGGGATCGAAGACGAGCAATATCGCATAGATAAACGCATCTTTTCAGTTATTAAAGATATTTTAATTACATTATTATTCAAATTTCGGTATCTTTCAAGTAAATTGAACAAATGGTGTTCATAATACCTCTATTATTCAGAATTCAGCAAGCGATCAGCATCAATCGAGATAACTGTTCAAAAATGGTTTTATTGATTGACATAGATAAAGAAACGAAAATTGGAGATTATTAAAAGGAAAATATGTTTAAAATTTTTTTTTATTTTTGTTTTCAAAAAATCTTTTATATATATAAAAAATCAATTTAATATTTAAGATCAGAACCACCGATGAACTCTCTTATGCAAGAGATGTGAGGAACTTCCTCGCTTGTTATCGGGTAGAACATGTTGAGGAGTGTCAAGATTCTCTTTGCCTCCTTCGTGATCATCTTTGTAATTTCGTCATTTGCGTCCTCAGACTCGTCTGGAATTGTCGCCTCGGAGAGCAAGGCCCTTCCGTGCACTGAGAGGACCGGGAGCTCGTAAACGAGAGACGAGTTGAAGCACATCTGAGCGTTTGCCTGGTAAGGGAAAATGTTCCTTTCTTCGCCCAATCTGACAGATGTCCATCTTCTAATTGTCTGTCTGGCGGATGTGCCTCTGTACTTGTGGTCTCTGATGATTCTCCTGATGAGCCTCAAGTCTGTTGTTGGGAATCTGTGCGTTGCGTCGATGGAAAGTGGAGTTAATGGAGCAACGTAAATTGGAGTAACTAAATCTTGGCCAATGACGTTCAAAAGCTCCGGATTCAATCCATGAATACCTTCAAAAATGGCAAATGTCTTATCGCCGAGCTTCTGCCTTTCAGTTTCGATATCGGATCCAAATCCTGTCTTGAAATCGAACTTTCTGCGTGGAATCTCTTCGCCGTTGAGAAGCTTCTTAACTCTCTCGCCGAAAACTTTAAGATTGAACGCGGTAATGGCCTCATAATCTCGAAGTCCGTCTTCTCCAAACGGAGTTTCCTCTCTGTTTTGAGCGTAATCATCCATCTCAATAACAAGAGACTCGTAGCCTAAAACGCGTAAGTTAATCTGAAGGAGTTTGGCGAATGTTGTCTTATTTGAGGAAGAAGGACCAGCAATTGTAACGATTCTCTTCTTGGGGAAGTTCTCGACAAGTTTACGTGCGATTTCGGCGAGTTTCTTCTTATGAAGACCTTCACAAGTCCACTTAAGATCTTCGATATCGCGAGTGTAAATTTTGTGGTTAAGATCGGCGATCTTTTTGACACCAATGACCTTGGCCCATTCTGTATATTCGGAGAACATGTTATGCTGGGCATCTGGATTTCTCCATTCGATTAATTTTGTGGAATTACCGATAGTTGGCGTACGAAGGACGAAGCCATTTTGGTAAGGATGTAATTCGAATGGTTTATCAGCGGGTATTGTATCGGCAATTGGCTCAAGAATGTAATCGATGAAATCTCCAAGTTTCATGCATGGAATTGTTGTATTTACGATTGTCTTGAGAACGCCAACCTTGTCCATGAGGCCAAGATTGAGATAGTACTTTGTTAATTCTACGACGTTTTTATCGAGGAATTCAATTGGATTTGGTGACTGAATTGTAGCGCGAATTTCATCTTCGAGCTGTTTGATTTTGTCTTCAGCTATTACGTTGCCTGTCTCGTCAATGCAGAAAATACCATCATGAAGTGAGTGGACGATCTCAATATGGCTGCCGAAAAGGCGCTTGTAAGTTGCTGCTGCGATAAAGAGGAGAGCTTCTGCCTCTGCACGTAATTGTGTTCTCGAAACTTTGTCTTTTTTGTCGGATTGAAGTTGTTCTGGCTGATTTGTAGACTTCTTTGACTTTTCTGATGATGTAGAACGTGCTGATGATGATTCTGGCTGCTTTGGAACAGGAATTGATGGATCAACAACATCTCCAACGATAACTTTGCCGAAAGGTATTTCTGCGATGAAAATCCTGCACTTTGTAGCAGCACGGCGACAGTAGAGGTCCGGATCTGATGAGCTGATCTTCTGGAGAAGATCTGCTGTGTCTGGCATTGTAGAAAGGAGTTCTTTGCCATCCTTTGGAACAGCGAGTAAAGAAATCAACGAAAGAGCTGACATACGGACAGCTACTTCCTTTGCTGCGAGCAATCCACTGACTGCATCGAGAATTCCTACCTCAAGAAGGGCGCTCTTGCCATGGTGGCTCTTATCCATGGCAATGTTGCATGCCAACAAGACAGCAGCATCACGTAAGAATGGATTCGAAACTGATTTGACGATAACTTCAAGAAGTGGCTGGGAAGAGATGATTGGGACACGAACTTTTTGTATATTTGTGAGGCGAGAAAGAAGATAAAACATTTCGAGTAGGAATTCTTGCGATGAATCTTTGAATGCTGTTGCTTCGACTAATGCGCTTGGAATCTTGCCTTCATTGAATTGATCAATGGGCCCGACAAATTCAGACATGCGGCGTAAGAGCTTTGCAGCTTCTAAACGTAATGGAACTTCGACATCTGGATGAACAATTTCAACAATGCGAGGAATTTCAGGAACTAACACCATCGAGTGCTCCTTTGTATCACAGAGAACTGTAAGAGCGATCAATGAATGAAGAAGAAGACTGTTTGGTGGCTGATTCAAAAATGGCTTAAGAACGTTGAATGCTTTGTGCTGTATTGCTTCATCTTGACGTCCAACCATGATATTACACAAAAGTCTGAGTGATTTGATTTTGTTTGCCTTTGGTGACATTGGATCACTCAAAATATCCAAAAGATGAGTGATTTCTTGGTGACCATATCCAATAGATGTGTCGTATGGATCGTAATGAACTGTATCAGTATATGGAACTCTGTTTGCAAGGCTATCTGAGTACCAATGCGCTGCAGGAGTTCGTGACATCCGTTTTTAGATAAAAGTGACATCATTATATCACTATCAACAATTGCTGCTACAATCAAGCAAATGACTGTCAATTCCATACAAAAATCATTGAAACAGACTCAAGTCTCATATAGATCATATCAAAAATGCTAATTACTAAAATCTCAAATTTTGATTTCCATTAATTAAATGAATATGAAGCTAATAATTGCATCTCAAAGACTTTGTTAATCGATTTATTATATTTATAGTCTTGCTTTCTTGTTTTATGATATATCCAAAAATATTACCGTATAAATTCACAATATTTCTCAATATTTATGAGATTACGAAATGTTAATAAACGAAATTACGACTATGAAAAAATTAAATTACAACAAAATAATTAATAAAACTAGCGTGGAAATCGCATGTTAATGCATTATATGTAATAAAATTTATTCTAGACAGTTTTCATTTTTTAACAATTCTTTTTCCTTTTCGTTTAAATAGTCATTCTCATTTTGTTGAGGCGGGACGGACATTTATTAGTCCACTCGGAACGCGTTGCCTTATTGCAAAGAAGCAATCTGTTTCGATTCTCGATTTTTCCTCAACAAATGTGAAAACAATATATAATTATGAGCTAAATATAGATGTAAAGGAAGAAGAATACAATGATAAAGCAGTTCCTGTATGGAGAAATGAAAATTCATTCTGTATTTCATTCATAAAAGAACAAATTCATTTTTTCGATATTATAAAACGACAAAAATACTCATTAAATATACATATTCCGATACTCGCAATCATTTTACTCGGAGAAAGATTCGCTATTTTGATGCCTAATCAAAAAATTCACATATTAAACGACAATATGACAATATTATCAAGTTTCGATTGCAATTTACCATTTTCAACCAAGAACATACTAGTTGAGAACCAAATGGGATATCTTTTCGTAAATGATAATGAAAAATTATTTATTTCCATAGCAGAATATCCGATTTCTTTTCAAGAGACGAACTTTAAGAACTATAAACATATCCTTTGTTCACCAGATAACAAGCATTGTGTGATTTCTTATAAAGATGGTTCAATTTTGTTGCATTCTTTTAAAGATCAAACGATGGCTTTAAGAGAAAAAATATACTCTCGTCAAAGAGAAGTTATTTACATGTTCTGGCTGACAAATAATCAAGTTTGCATTGTTTATAAAGATGGTTTGATTGTTATCCACTTTATTGAACTTAATCTATCAGTTTCAAGAACATTTTACGAGATATCTAAATCATACCAAGTATTTTATTCCAGTTTTACCAAAAAATTATACATGATTTACAATAATTCTATCAAATCAATCTCATTTTGCTTTATTCATGACAATTATTGTATAGAATCAGATAAGATCTCAGATGTAAATACAATGGATACTGTTTTTGATATAAATTCCGTACAGAAAATGTTTCCTTTGAGAAATGCATCAAAAAACTACACTTTAGGAAACTTTTTGTGTTACAAATCATCAAATATCTCTGATACAACCTTTGCTGCAGGTGAATTCCTAAACGGATACTATTTTGCAGTTGATGATAAAAATTTAGAATTCAATGTATTCAAAGAAGGTAAATTTGTTATGAAATTTCCAACTTTATTCGTTCCTTCGCAGTTTTCGTCTGGAAAACATAGATTAATAGGTTTTCACGAAAATCTTCTTTTAATTATTGATTTCACCGACCAAATACAAGTTCCAAGAAGAGTAGAGTCCACATGTACGCATTATACCAACGAAAAACTGGACTTTTATGCATCTTTTATGAAATTTCGGAAAATTATTAAAAATGCAGTTTGTGCAAATGACGAAATCTACATCCAGTTCGATAACAACATTGTTGTACATGTTCCTTCCATGAAAACTGTATCCGAAAACGCTATATTGATCTGGCGAGAACCAAATGTTTCAATTTTATTTGTACAAAAGATTTCAAACATTGAATTACACTTTAGCAGTTGTATTTCTAAGATAGAATATAGTGCAATCAATGCATCAAATGGAGATTTGATTCTGGTGTCTCCAGAAGGTACAGAACCATTCATCAAAATCAACTACTGTGTTCCTGTTTTGATCAACCTGATGAAAGAACCAGAAAAAGCTGCGAAATTCATTGAATGTTTTGAATCTACATTTTATTTTAGTAGATTCATAAGAACAGTCTTTTCTTCTATCACGTCATCAGGTAACATTATATCAGCAATCAAAATATTTGATTTTCTCACAAAAAATTTAGTTCAAAAAGTTATTTCTTCAATTTCTCCATCACATCAGACATTATTCATCAGATGTGGAATGAATTTGATAGATTATATTGGCATCCTATCTAATGAAGCGAAAATTGAGATTCTTCTCTATTCAAATCCAAATGATTTTCATGAATTTTATCGAAATCGAAAGAAATTCAATAGTTTGACTAATTATGAATGTTCATCTGCAATAAGAAGAGCGATTGACATTAACCAATGGAGCAGAGCTATCCGAATCTCGCATTTATTGAAAGTTGATATTGCAGGAATCATCAACAGCTCATCAATGCAAAAGACTACTGATATTGGTGAATGTATTTCCCAGTTAGATGTTCAATCACGAGAATGGAAAAAGTATGATGAGTATAATTATCTAACTTACTTGGGATGTGCATTTATTGTTGCTGGATTCGATAACTGGGGAATTTCATCATTCATTGTTGGTAAAAACGAAAACAAAGTTCATTCTGCGCTTGAAAGACTGAACTTTTCCAGAGATGTTGTTCTTAAATACCTTCAAGCAGCAATTTCAAACAATTAATACTTCTATTTGTTTTTTAATTAATGAATTTATTTAGAATAAAGATTATAGAGCTATCTAGTAAATTAATTTTGCACTAACTCCCATTTGACATTCTCTCAATTTTGTTTATAGTATAGATACATCAAAATTTATCAATTTTTAAAAACTTTTCATTTTTATTTATTCTATATTGAATACATCACAAAATTTGATTGGTGACTTGAAAAAGTGAAAAAGAATTTGATATTTTTATGGAACATTAACTGATTTTTTTTATTCAAATGAATCCGGTTTAACAGCTTTAATTAATGAAAATGATTGTGTAAGTTGATCTCTGCAGTTAATAATATAGATTTAAATATTATAAGTCAAGAAATAGTTTGGGCCAAGATTATGAGCAGATATGGGGACAATATTTTAATGTTTCAACCCCAAAACCTATTACTAAAACCAATCCGAACATTTCAGATGTTAGTAAATTATTTATTTACCAATCAATTTTTAAAGATTTGTCAAATTATGCAATTTACTTTTATAAAAAAATGATTATTACATATTGTCAGAACAAAACAAGTTCTTCAATGGTAATGGCACCATATATATTCGAGGAGAATCTTATTTTGTTAGTAATCATTTTTATTCATTTAATATCTCGGGTAGTACTTTCATAGCTTGTAGTGCAGTAAATAGTACAGTTACTGAGGGTTCTATTTCCTCCTATAATAATAGTTATATTGGTTCATTGTTTCAATATGGTGGACTATTAAATATTAATGCAGTGAATTTTTCAAAGTGTCAAACTTCCCAAGCATCAGCTGTTTATTGCCAATTAGTTAAAAATTTAGTAAATGTTAGTTGTTGTTGTATTGACTCATGTCATGCAACATCTTACGCTACAGTTAGCTTTAATGATTTAAGTGCAGAATTAATGAGATCTAATATAATAAATAATTCTCAAACAGGTGTTTATGGAGGAATAATTTATATAAGTGGTTATCGCCAGAGACTTGATATTGAAGATTGTATAATTCAGAACAATTGTCAAATTGGCCAAGGCGCATATTTTAGTACTAATATGCGCGCATATATTTATATCTTCCGAACAATATCTGATAAAACAACAACATTCCAAAGAGGAAGTCCAATATATATGTCAGAAATGACTACTACCCCTTTCGAAAATAATTTCTTCATATGTTTAACACAAGAAATACTTATTAAAAACAAGAAACAGAAAACAAATTCTGTATTTGATCCATTTTCATACGTTCATCTTTTCTATCAAGTAATGCTTTCTAAATAAAGTAAAAATATTTATATATAAATATTAAAGACGATAAGAATCTTGATTTTGACATGTCAAATTTGGCAAAATTAAGAATTAAAATGTTTTTGTTTATTGGGCTTATATATTGTAGATTTGATGAAGAAACATTTTTAAATTGCTCCCATGGGAATATAGTTACTCATTCGTTCACTCCAAAACACAAAAATTTCACAAAACAATTTTCAATTTCTTATAATCCTGAATTGTACACTCACACAGCAATCAAGATTGATTGTACATTATATAAAGGAAGTATCGCATACTTAACTTCAAATAACAAAAATAAAATTCTTCACTTTGAAAATGAAACAATATACATTGGCGAAAACCAAAAAATTATATCACTTACCATCAATATAGAAAATAAAAATGACAATAAAATAAATATAACAGCAGTTAGTTTTAACTCAAAATATCAAAACATGAAAACAGTTTTTTCCACACATTCAGATGACATATTTTCAATCACAAGTAATTCACAAAGCAAGGAAACAGTATTTAACTACGTTAACTTTGAAAACACAAATATTAATATTTTAAAATCAAACATCTTTGTAAGCGCAATTATTCTTCAATCATTTCATACATCACAAATCAATCAGAAATCATCACATCTGAACTCAATGATCACATAGATATTCTTGAATCAAAATCATTTTCACTTTCATTTTCCAGCCAACATCGATTCCATCTTACTCTTGAAACAAAAGATCCAAACAACTCTCAATCTAAATCCAAATCCAAATCAAGAATAATTATTACTAAAAACTCTTCAAAATTTGGAAAAAGAAAATCGTTAAGCTGGGCTTGTTGTTATTGTGGCTGTTCGCGTTACTATCCATTGTTCGGAAGATTTTATTCACAACACCAATATCCCTGTGGTTGGGGAGATTGCTGTGGATTTTGCACACATGGATCATGCACAAACAATGATTGCTGCTGTGCATATTCGAATTGTCCGGATGCTCGTCCAGCTTGCTGTTGCAAGAAATTCAGCATTTGCTTCCAAATGGTTATGCTTATGATAATGTTTTTCTTTGCTACCTTTATAATATGTTTCCAATGTTATATGCTAGCCAATTTATGTATTCCTTGCGATGCTGATGAATCTGACTTCCAAAAGCGTTACAAAACAATGAGTAATAATCCAGAACTAAATCAGAATTTGATCGATCAAAACACAGGTAATAAAATGAATCCTGAAACACCTAATATTCATGCTGACATTACTGGTCAGACACAACCTACAAATCAGATTAATTATATCGATAATCAAAATTATATTTACCAACCACCACCTCAAATGCCAATTAACCAAGAACAAAGATTCATTTACCAGCCTCCTCCTCCAATTGCTCCTTATGCTCCCCCACCGGAACAGCAACAAGACCAGAGACAACAAGAACAACAACAAAAAGACAACGAGGTTTCACCTGATCGCCTAGAAAATCCTTATGTATAAACTATTTTATTTTTATTTTTAATCTTCGGCTATTTAACTTAGTTTCTGTGATAATTCTGATATTAAGCTTGAATGACATACTTTTTGATTATATTCTTTCATAAAGTTTAAGAATAAGTTCAGAGATATGAATTTTAATTTTACTAATTCTTCATATATGAACCAGAACTCAGTTCCAATCTTGACAAGTATCACATTGATCTTATTCCCAACAAATTCTTAATATGTGCTTTACTTTCAAAAATTATTTCGAAAATTCTCTAATATCTAAATGTATTCTCTAAATTAATTCATTTATACTAAAAGTATGCCATATATTTACGAAATAATCTTTGAAATCGAACATTAATCAATTTATCTCAATTTTAATTGAATAAAACTCATTTACGTAAGATTATTGATATTTTGGACTAAAGAATCTTTAAATATTTATATATTCATAGAGTAGATCACAAAACTTTATTTAAATCTTTCAGACAAAGAGAAACGTGATATGCTTGAATTAAGTTTGATAAGAAATTCTTAATTTATAATGGATTCGGGAAAATCCATTATTTAGCTTATAATTCACACTAGAATCTACTACTAAATTTAATGACGACTAAAAAAAAAGCCGGCGTAAATTTTGAAGATGGACAATTTATCTCTTATTTCAAGAGATGATGTTGAAGAACTTTGAAAATTAGTTAATATTGATAATATCAGATACTTATTAAAGCCTATATACCAATTGGATTTAGGTTTCTATACATTAGATAAAGATTATCTAACAATGCTTCATGTCGCTGCTTGCCGTAATTCACTCAAATGTTTCGAATATTTACACATTCAATGTAATATTCCAATTGATATTGAAAGTAGTTCATCTTTCACTCCTTTTCTATTTGCCGTTTAGACTGGCTCTGCTGATGTTGTTGAATACATCCTTCGCTATTATCAAGCCAATTTTGGGCAAGATGGTCTTGAAATGAAATTGTTTTTTGAAGAATACTCAAATCCTAAAGAAAGTAATCCAATAATCAAATTTGTAGCTTTATCAAAGAATCCGAATATATTGGACATTCTTTTTAAATATGGTTATAGCTTTGAAAAATATTCAGACATATGTAAGTTTAAGATCAAAGATGCTTTAAGAGCTGCAATGAAAAATGTGCCAACTTTTGAAATTCTTCTCAAGAAATATTGTGAATCAATTCTAGAAAAAGATTCAAGATTGGTTATAGATGCTTTTAGATGTGCGAGTAACTCTGCACTTCGTTTACTTCTTGATGCAAAGTTTAATCCATCATATATGACAGAAGATCACAGAACACCAATATCTTTGGCATGTGCCATTCGTAATGTTGAAGCAGTCAAAATATTGGCAGAAGTTACTGAAGATGTTGATATTCCACCAGATATCAAGGCACCTGCTGCTGTTAGGGTTGTACAAACTGGCACGCCTGCTGGCACACCTTTTTTGGCCAGCTGGCACGATTTTTTTAAAAAACACATTAAAAAAGTCACTTTTTGCCCCATCTAATGAGATTTTTTTTTACAATTTTTTTCCCCTTATTTTTCAATTTAGATATGATTTTAAGCTCTCCAAATTGAAGTTTACCTGATGTTTCTTAGTTTTTATGATAATAAAATGTTGCAAAGTTGAGTTTGGATTCAATAAATTTAAGAAAATTTTATTTTACAATGAAATTATAAGAAAGGATGTTTTTATCCTATGTCAAAGAGAATACATTTGTAGATCCCGACTTTTGACATGGTTGAAAATTCCAAAAAAAATTCAAAATTTAAAAAATAATATTAAAAAATATAAATTTCATGTTAAAAAATGATTTTTGAATTTTTTTTTGGAAAAATAGAATGTCATATTTTTATGTTTTATTGCTATTTTTTACGAAATCAATAAAATATTTGTTAATTTGGCTGAGATTATAAATAAAATCTTTCTAAATCTTACAATTGATTGCTAAAATCTGTTTTATGTATTAATTGGCATTGAGATTCGTTATAAAAGAATGCGAATTAATTTGTATGAGTAAACGTATTTTGTAAAATTTCAAATTCTCTTCTCTCATTACTTACCTTAGATATCTCAGCTTTTAGCTCTCAGATTTCGCTCATAGAACTCAGGTTTTAGTTATGTACTCATAGATGTATCATTACTGCCCGCAGATCTCTCATTACTACCTTACTAACCAGATCTTAACTCTCCGACCTTACTAACCAGATCTTAACTCTCCGACCTTACTCATCAGATCTTAACTCTCATTACTACCTTACTAACCAGATCTTAACTCTCATTACTACCTTACTAACCAGATCTTAACTCTCCGACCTTACTCATCAGATATCTAATTATTTACATATGATATCTCACATCTCACTCAAGTCTCATTACTTACCCTATCTTTTTAACCTTTTATGATAATTACTGAAATAACTAAATCCTTTTTTTAGTTTAATTCTGATATTAAATTTTTAAAATCTCTTTAATTTTTTGAACTACGCCTTTAATTTGTAATTGCCGATTTCACAGATTTGAACCATTTAATAAAATAACATTATTCAACTTAATCATATCAAACATGGTAGTTTGATTTTCAGATCTACATTTTAAAAACCTCTTTATTATCTTGAGTTATACTTTTATTATATAATACCTGAGTTCATAACTGAAAACTCTTAATTAGAGTACAATATTCAACTTAATCATAACAAGATTTGTTGAATTTCAAATTTGATTTATATCTTCCATCACTTAAAACTCTCACAGCTTACAATATAAGCTAAAAAGTATATTTTCATAGTAATAAAATTAATTATTAAATTTTTTACTTTTTCCTTTCCAAAACTAGAAAAAAAGGAAGGGAAAAGTGAAAAAGAAGAAAGAAAAGAGAAAAAGAAAAAATAATAATGAGCATATTATATAATTGTGGTCATAGGCCGAGTGGCGTGGAAAGGGTGGAGCCCGAAGGGCGACATCCTTTCCACGCCACGAGGCCCGATTTTTGGCCACTTTTTTGATTTTGGCCGCGTGCCAGGAGCTGGCACGCGGCCCGCAAAATTGTGCCAGTTTGTACAACCCTAGCTGCTGTGCACTGGATTTGTATGTCAGGGAGTCCTGAAATTGCAAAAATATTGTGTTCAAAGGGAATTGATGTAAATAGAGTCGATGAACAAGGTCGAATGGGTCCATATTATTTAATTGAAAGCGAAAGTAAAGAAAAAATAGAAGTTTTTAAAATACTCCTCAATCATGGCTTGAAAATAAATTTCCATCTTCCAGGTAAAAATACAATTTTGGGTGGTCAACTTACGTTACTTACATCTTTGTATGATCCCCCAATTGAGCTCATTGAGTTCTTGCTCGATAACGGCGCCGATCCAAATGCACTTATATATACTGGAGTTCGTTCCCCTCTCACATGCATTGAATTTATTAAACAAAAAAATAGATAGAAATAAGATTTCGAAAGAATTTTATGATAAGTATTTTAATTCGTGATATATATCTTTTAAATTTACATTTTCATCCATCGACGTTAGTATTTGTACACTAACCATCATCTAATATGAAGCATATTGAAAACTAATCTTAAACAACAGAATTGAAGGCCATGCCATACATGCATAAGTGCACTCTTAAAATTTTATCTAGTCGTTCTGATTTTAACAAATCATTATTTTTGCTTTATTCTTGGATTCTTATTCTTTTTTTCTATAACACTCTCAAACTTCTTGATTAGTGTTTTAATTTCTGTGTTTCTTTGCGCTTGTTTTCCCCATTTTGAGAGGTCATCAGATACTAGTGAGTACACAGTAAATTTGAAACAAGAACAGTTAACTGTGTATCTTGACAAAATATATCAAATTCAATAAATGAAATTACGCATATTCTCTTCATGAATCGTCTCCAAATCCATGTCGATCAAGAATCCAATCAAAAAAGTATTCACAGTTTAGTTAAAATATCTCCATAGCAAACATTCGATTCTTATCAAAATCATAAAATGATAGATTTTTAAAATAATATGTAACGCAATAAGCTAGTAAGTGTTCTTCACCTATTATTCTCAGCTTCATCAACTTTAAAGAAATTTGATAACAAATTATTATTCAGTTATTATAGTATCATCTCATTGCAATTATATTAATTTCATGTATATACAATATTGAACTAATGCAATCCAACTGACGTTTTGTATGTATGAAAGATAATTATCAAATTATCAAATTAATGGAAAAATGTATATTTTAATTGTACTAAAACAAAAGTAGCTAGTATTTGTATACTAAAACAGATCATAAATCTTTATATATAAATAAATAACAAAAAATAAACAAGACAAATAAATATAATAATAGTGTAATTATGCTCGGAGTTGTCTCCATAAGTAGAACTTATCACACGCAAGTGATAAATTTGGCGATGACTCCAAAAATTCCATGAATTCTCTGAAAGAAGAAGAGTTCTGCATAGATTCCATGGCCATGTGGAAGTAACAGAGTGCTTCGTTACTTGCGGATTTTTCTTGTAGAGCTTTTTCAATGAAAAAGAAAAGCTGTGAACCAGATTGATCGTGTTGATACAAATAGAAGAAGATCATCCATATCTGGTAGAACTGGTCAACTGGGAAGAATGTAAATAGGGACCTGATGACCGCTGAAACAAACTCTTCGAGGTAATCAAAGTCAAATACTCTGGTGTAAACAAGCATTTGAGCAACAAAGAAGGAGAACTTGAGTTCCTCTTCATTGTAGTTGCTGAATAATTGGACAACAAACCTTGTTGGCATCCAATTAAAACGAAATGAAATAAATTTTGAAGATTTTGTACAGAAATCGCTGATTTCGTTCAACAAAGATATATCGCAGCTTGCGACATCCAAGTTTTGGAGGTATTCTGTGATCCTTATCAATCTAAATATGATAATAACTTTATACAGTTGATGGAATAGAGAAGCCATATTAGAAATCTCTTCTCCTTCCAGCCCTGATGCTAGCAGCCACTCTTCTACTGACGAATAGCTCGAAAAATTCTCCAATTGCTTGAAATATCTCATAATAGCGAAAAATTCGCTATTTTGTTTAAAATATGCTAAGCATGACTCATTTTCAATCAGAAAATTCGAAATTTCTACCATCTTTGAATTGTCAAAAGTGACAGGTGTATCTGAAAAAGCCAAAGTTATCAAAAATTTGAATGAATAACTTGTAGTGAAAACCGAGAGCATTTTATCGATACACTGGACAATTTTGATGGATTCCTCGAAAGCCAAGTATTTGACTAAGTGCGTGAGTATCGAAAGTATGAAACAATGGTTATCTGTGTCTTCTGGTTTTAATATATCAGTAAAATCACCAAATGACGAAGTCAAAATGCTGGAAATGTACATGACTATGATGTTTCTGACTTCCATACTGATTTCATTGATGTATTGTGAACCAAAGAACGAATTTACCATTTCACTGAAATATCCTAAGTCATCTATCTGTTGTAAGTACGTAAGTAGGGCTTGGCATCGATCGTGCTCAATTTGGGATAGCTCTTCTGTATGGTTTTCTGTGAGAAAAGTAATATAATAACATTCAAAGCTGAAAATATGGGCGAAACAAGCTGGAGGAAGTGAACTTGCATCAGAAAGTATCGTATCTGCAATATTTAGCCAGAAATTGAAGTTTTCAAACGTTTTCTGTGAATGAACCATCATAAAAATCGTCATTACTGTGCAAAACGTATCAGAAGGGAACGCTTCGGCAACTTCGGATAGAATCTGATTGATTAGAGGCATCTTTGAAACAAAAACTTGCTCAAATGCAGGGTTTTTCGTTGTTTGAGCCATTTTTGAGAGGAAATGGAAGGCGAGAGATGCATAATCTTGGTAGAAATTCCCATTTTGGAGGATTCCAAAGCAATAATCAATGATTTCTTGAGGAATTTCTGCTAATGGTAGGGAAGTAATGGTTTTGAATATTGATGCAGGCATAACTTGGAATCGTTCAAAAATTCCTTCTTCAATTATCCCATAAAACAGTTCTTTCGGTAAATTATATTGTGGATATTCCAAAATTGCGGGAATATGGCACTGCATTATCATAACTCCATATCGTAATAGTATTTTAACAACTTTTCTTGCCATTTTGGCAGCAAGTTCTGGTGCAGTTTCTTTCATATACGAATCATTTAATCTTTCACAGAATCTGATGAGAATTTCTTGGAAAGAGTTGCCTTTTTCGACCATCAACGGGATAGATTTGAAGAACATCTTAAGAAGATTCTGGATTTCTGGGAATCCTTGGTCAAATAAAAGAGGACTTGGCAAAACAACGACCATATTCCAAAAATCAGGTAGTTTTTCATGTAGTTCTTGGTTGATAAGCAAGTAGTGCGCAAACTTCACTGAGAATAAAAGGACTGCCCGAGTAAAATCTGTTGGATTTTCAAATCCTGCATCAAATGACTGCGGAATGCAGAGTGTAAAATCTTCAAGTACTTTAAAGGCAAGAGCAATGTCCGGGAATTCGGTTATTCGCATTGATAATTCGATAAATGAATTTATGATTTCTTCAGGAGGTTCATCATATGGCAAAAAGAACTCACGAAGAGATAGTAAGTGATGAATCGCATAAATATCCGGGACTTGAATTGAAAAATATTGCGTAAGGAAATCCATTCTGATTTTTTCAGCTTCAGCATGATAATACTGCGAAGTAATGTATATACCAGAGAATACCTTTGGTATTTTCTCGAAAAAAATAATAGCATCAGGATGATCGAAAGGTATTTTCTGTAATAAGGAGAAATCATGTAACATCATGCTAGAAAGACAATTTATTGCAGCTATTCTGCTTGCAGCCAGGAAACGTGGGTTATTTCCGTAGAGTGAAGTCAAAATAAAATTAGCAATATCTGGAATTTCATGATTCAATCGAATATGATAGTGAATAATCTCTAAAGCGTAAAATTTTAAAGTTTCATCTGCTATATTTTCACATACATATAAACTTGTTTCAATCGAATTTGGTGATTCTCGCATAATAGAGTATTTTAGTCTAGCTTTGCATTTGATTTCATTGTCCGTGCCATTAACTATTTCTGTAACTAAATACCTGAAGTCACGAACTGCTTCAGGTAGTTCTCCAAGAGTCATATTATTATAAAAATAAGTTTTTTTCCATGATTGACCTCTTATTAAGGCCACATAAAGAGGAAAATAATGATATATACATTATTTTCTAGATGCTTATTAGAATAATAGACGAAACAAGGCATGTAATTAATTTTCTATTGACCTATTTATGGAAAATTTTTATATCATCCCGATTTTTCGATTAATATGTTTATACTCTTTATTTTGGAATATGTAATTTCGATAAATAACATTTCATAAGGTGAAATGTCGAAACATGGCCATATTTTTTCATAAATAGGATTAAAATGTATTGCATTTGCGAAATACCAAAACTACAAAACAATGGCCATAAAAAATTAATTCAAAACGTGCACTTTTGTTTATGTGTTTTGACACTACAGAAAATTTCACAGCATAGAAATTTTTTTTGAACTACAAAATTTTATTCTTACCAATATCTAATTAATTCTCTATACAGAACATATTTAAGTTGGTTAAAAATATTGATATAAAAAAACATTTAATGAGTGAAGAGATTAAAGTGTATTATGACCATTTCGTTCGGTCTGCATCATACCATAGCGATGACATTTGTACATTGGACATAAATGGTCACCAATTTCAAGTTCAGATGCCTCATTTATTATCCTTAAGTTCCAAAGTTTACTCAATTTATCAAACTGATATGACAACACGCTCTTTTTCATTTTCTTGTGAAATTAGATCCAATAAAACGTATGAGTTAATTCGAAATTTACTGACAAAAGGATATTTTTCGTTTGTTGATGATGATTTCATATCATTAGATCTCTACAATGCAGGAAAACAGCTTGGGATTGATGAATTACTAACACCTTACTCACAAAAATTAAAATCAAAAGAATTAACAATTGAAAATGCATTCTACTATTTCAACATCAACAAATATGTTGATAATGGATCTAAAGTGATGGAATTTATTGCATTACACTTTTCTCAATTTGATAAAAACAAAATGTTTTCATTTTTAGCTTCACAAGATATAGATGTAATCGAGCGTCTTCTATCCCATCCTCAGTTAACAGCAGACAGTGAAGATGAGTTTTTGGAATTGATTATTAATCTTTCTAGAAGAAAATTAGATAATTTCAAATTACTTTCTTTTATTTTCCCAGAGTACTGTACAAAGAAATCCATTTCACTGTTCTGTAATTTTGTTGACGAATTTTATACCGAAATGAAAGAATCAAATTATGCTGATATTTTATGGTCTTTTTCCAAAAAGTTTTTCTTAAGATCATATTCAAAAATCAGTGAGAACATTCTAACTAATGATAATTGTACTTTCACATCATCAAGTCTTCAAGAAAAAACAATTTACATTAATAACATTTCTTTGACAGAAGATGATGAAAAAGAATTTTATACAAAAGATATACCTAATTCATGGGTTCAATGCGATCTTCATAACATCAGTGTTGTCCCAACAAGTTACTCAATTATTTCAAGAATGCACTATGATTATGATTTATTACAGTCGTGGAGACTAGAAGGAACAACAGAAGATGGGAAGGTTGTTATCCTAGATGAACATACAAATGATCCATTTAAACAAGGACTTTCAAGAACATTTAACATCAAAACCAGAGAGAAGTTTATCAAATTTAAATTAACACAAACTGGGCGAAGTACGACAGATTACGACTTCTTATTCCTTCAAGCTTTTAATGTTTCTGGAAGAATTTTATTCCGCTAAGAAGTTAGCATTAGTTATTATAACAAACTAACAATTTGACGAAATACAGTATGAATCCTTATTAATTTATACTGTTTTGGTATAATTTGCCAAATTTTATTTTTAAAATTACCATTCTATCCTAGTTTCAATCAGTAAATCACCTTGAAATGGAAATATATGTGTAATGTATAGTATTTTGTTTGTTTACTTATAAATTAGTTTGATTTTACAATTTGATTTCTGATGTTTTACAAATTTATTCACCATATAAGCATATATAGTTATACTTAGTAGAAGATATTATCAAAAATTCTAAAATCTATTAAACGTAAAAAAAAATTTAAGTTTTTACAAAAATTTTCAACTTAAACTTACTCGTTCTCATTCTTAGTTTCTGACTTTTGCTGACGAGGAGGTGGTGGAGGAGGAGCTGCATAATTTTGTTGTGGTGGTGGATATCCTCCCTGTTGAGGTGGATATCCTTGAGGTGGTGGGTAATTTCCTTGTGGTGGGTATCCTCCTTGTTGTGGTGGATATCCTCCCTGTTGAGGTGGCATCTGATAATTCGGATATCCTTGTGGGGGAGGATAAGCTCCCTGTTGTGGTGGAGCGCCGTATGCAAGCTGGAAATCTGAGCCATAAGGTGAAGGTGCAAATGAGTATTGATTGTTGTACTGATTCCTTTGCATTTCAGCACTGTACATTTGTAAGTAGGCTGCATTCTGGTTAGCCATCATACCGTAGTTTAATGATTCAGATGTGTACTCTTCCTGTGAAAATTGTGTATTTGGTTTGTAAGCTGGGATTCTTAAGGATCCGTCGTGAGAAACTTTCCTTTTAACAGTGATCTTCTTGTACTTGGCCAATATGATGAAGAGATTATCAAAGAAAATTGAATATCCGAAAATCATAAACAATCCGTAAAGGAATTTTCCAAAGCCAGAGTTCATGAACTTGACGTATGCGCTTTTGCCGCAGGCTGAGAAGTGATTTGGCACCTTGTAGATCTCTGCTGCAAGTTCAACTTCTGGATCGCCTAACCAAACTGCGGTGGTGTTACCTCTACGACTCATCATAGCCATTGTAGTATTGAGAGCACGCAATTTCTTGAAGTATTCATGCTTTGCCAGATTGAAATAGTTATGGACTTCTTCAGAAACTTCTAATTCTGTTTTAACTTTAACAATTGTGATTCCGCCATCTATGTCTAGATTAAGGTCATCATTACCCTCCCAGGATCCATATTTAAGAGGTTCATTAAGGCAAAAGCCGACTCTGTGATTGGCAAAACCGTTCTTTATACGGATCATTAGAATGGGTGGGTTGCCAGCAATTCTATCACGAAGCTTTGAAACTTTCTCTTCTTTCATTATGCAATGCTTTGGCATCATTTTTAATCTGAGAGCGCAGCAGCATTTGCAAAATTCTTTGAATAAAAGTACTCTGACTAAAAAGAGTCCTTTGGTTTTTCCATCAATTGGAACTGTACTACTCAACAATAATGGCATGACATTTGAGGCAATTAAACCAATGACTCCAAAACCTATTGCGGCGAAATATGGGCCCATACCTTCTAATGCAATATGCAATACACCCCATACAATTAGTGCAAGCAAAACGTTTTGAAGCATGCTTATTATTAAATACCAGAATGGGACATGAACTTTGCGATTCTTGCAATATGCAATGAGCCAAAGTATTATATTAATTACCCATGGAACAACGAAAAGAAGTATGAAACCATATGGAACAGGACCTACGAATGCCCATGTTGCATCTGAGACGCATACATATTCCTTCTCGAAAAAGCCTCTTGTAACATAGTGGTCGCAAGAAGGTGTGTAAGAAGAGTAATACGACATTTTCCTTTTGATTTTTGAAAAAGTGTTAACGAAATGAGGCGGTTTGGATCCAGAAATGCAACGGTTTTATATACCATTCCTTTAAATTAATCCTAGGATTGATTTCGTATTATTGGCAAATTTAATGGACTCTCAATTGGAAAATAAAATTGAATTGCTCAACGTATTTAAATGGTATTCAAAAAATATTGAAGAGAATATGATTTTTTAAAAATATGTACATAATATCCATTAATATTAAACATTTCTTTCTCAGAAATTTATTAAATAATTATCAGATACACACAATATTTTCTATTCAATGTTCTTTTTATACAGCAGTGATTTCATTTTGAAAATCACGTGTGCATTTTTTAATATTTCAAGCATTGTAATAAACAGAAATTCATCAAAAGTGACAGCTCTCAATTTTTTGACATTTGTAAATTCTAAATTGAATGAGAAAAATGAAATAATACTAAGCATAATAAAATATTCTAGATTTAATTATAATTTGGAAAAAGTTAGTTTTGAGAGTACTTTTCATAGGCATATAGAATGAAATCTTCTGAAAAATAATATCACATAAACTCATATTATTTTCTAATATATAACTATTTTATATAAAAATCAAATTCAATGATCTTAAAAGCGAAGGATAAACCTCAAAATTTACGAATATAATGAGTGGGAATATAATGCTTATCTATCATAAAACCATATGAAATATCAATTTTTGCTTTACGCCTAATTTTTGACGACAATTAGCAAAAATGTTAAATGTTAACACTCAGTCCATTTGAATATGAAAAATAAAATTGACTTTGATTAAATGTTTTTATTTATCATGCAATTCTTCTTGCGACCAAAGATTTGAATAAAATTTCAAAAAATAAGATAGCTGAAAAAATAATATACGGTAGTGTTTACTAATAGATGAATAGTATATAAATTCTATTAAAATGGATTTGATCCAAAAAAATATATAAATTTGATCATAAATAAAATCGTTTTAAATTACTTCTTCATTTAAATTATAACAATTATTTTTGGTTTTATATTTTTTTGGATCAAATCCATTTTAATAGAATTTATATACTATTCATCTATTAGTAAACACTACCGTATATTATTTTTTCAGCTATCTTAATTTTTTGAAATTTTATTCAAATCTTTGGTCGCAAGAAGAATTGCATGATAAATAAAAACATTTAATCAAAGTCAATTTATTTTTCATATTCAAATGGACTGAGTGTTAACATTTAACATTTTTTTGCTAATTGTCGTCAAAAATTAGGCGTAAAGCAAAAATTGATATTTCATATGGTTTTATGATAGATAAGCATTATATTCCCACTCATTATATTCGTAAATTTTGAGGTTTATCCTTCGCTTTTAAGATCATTGAATTTGATTTTTATATAAAATAGTTATATATTAGAAAATAATATGAGTTTATGTGATATTATTTTTCAGAAGATTTTGTGTTCTTCTTCAAAATTTTATTTTTTTATTAAAAAGAATCTTTACAAAATATACATTTACTTTAATTAATATTTAAAAACGTGCTCTATCAAAAGTTCCAAAAATTCAATATTTTAGCTTTTCTGAGGTGTCACTTTTGATGAATTTCTGTTTACAACAGCATCGATCATCTTCTTTATAAAATAGACTCAAAATTTTATAACGAAATTTCATTGTTGATAAATTTGAGTAGGTGACAAAAGTGCATACTCTTAAATTAACCTTAAATGTTGATTTTTCGATAGAGTATGTGCCAAAAGTGCTTACTCTTAAACAACCGTCGGATTTCCGGGTGAAATCGTGACACACTTTCGTCTTTCGTAGGCAGTGGTGGTTGTTACAAAAGGTAACTTCGAATGTAGCGTGAAATCTGCAAAAAAAATTCTGAATTTTGAATGGAGAACACAAAAATTGAATAGTTTACGTCAATAAAAAAGAGAAAAATGAAGCCAATGTGTCTCGAACCTAGGACTTAGAGCAGCAATCCCACTGTTTATCACATTACACTACATGCATCTCTCACCTCAGTGAATGAGATCAACTATATGATAACTTTTTCCCCATTATATTCTTGTGGAAAAGTGACAAATAGCAACTTTGACCCTCTCTCTTCCCTCCTTAAAACGAGAAAATTTGTTCGAAATTGTTTATCATTTCGAACAAGTTTTCTCGTTTTTAATAACAAACTAAAGGCTATGAGGCACTGATTATATATTAGTGCCTCACAGCCTTTAGTTTCTAATAGATAGCTGGGAAACTTTCTCCAAATGATAAGTTATTCAGAGAAAGTTTCCCAGCTATCAAGAGGGAATTGTTCCTTATGAGGTATATAGTTATGATGTATACCTCATAAGGAACAATTCCCTCCTTAAAATCGTAGACATTTTTATACTTATTAATCAACCATTCAAAATCATATTCCTCTGAAAAGTTATTTTATTAAAAATTTAGAATTTTAATAAATATAGAGTTTGAATTTCATACAATACCTATATATTTTCAATAATGGGATTTGAAAACCATTCTCAAAAGTTCTCAGAAAACCTTTTTTTCATTAATTTTAAGAAATCTGAGTATTAAATTAAGTGATAAATTCGTTTGACACTACTTTAATTTTTAAATTCAAAAAATTATATGTGCTTCTTAAAATGACTCAAAAAATTTTATTATAAAATAATATATAATATTAAAAATCCCACAACATTTTTTCTTTACATAATCGTACTTCCTCGACGATTAATTTCCACTCAATTTCTATCGTTGACCGAACTTAGCATGCAACATTATCACAAAAGAAGGACCACTTTTATGACTACTGCCAAATCTATAAGCAGAGAATGGCTATTTGAAGCTAAAAGAAGAATAGAAGAAGGTGAATCTTACAAAAGTGTGGGAAAGGAAGTTGAATTGGAAAATGGTAAAATTAAATTGAATGTTGCCGAAAATACAATAAGAAGAGCATTTCAACTTCAAGAAATCGAATTACCAAAAGTTAGTCGCGGCAGAAAACCAAATCCACCAACATTTGAGCAAAAACAATTAATTAATTCTTGTGTTTCACAATATAAAGGAGGAATTTCAAAAACTTATTTATTGATTAAAAGGTTTCAAAATATTGCTCAAAATCCCGATTGTGAGAAAGAAAAAGAAGAAATTGCAAAAGAATTTGAAAATATAGAAGATTTGACAAAAGATCAAATTTTTGACAATTTACAAAAAATAAAGCATCATCAAGTGGAAAAATTTATGATGGAATCAGGTTTATCTTCAAAAAGAGATTACAAACCAGCAGATCCACCTACCAAATATCGTGCCATATCAAAGAATTTGATATGGCACTGCGATATTCATTACCTTCACGGTAATGTTTCTTTTCCATTTTTTGCCATATTGGATGATATGACACGTAAAGTTCTCAAAACTAAATTATTGAAAAACAAGTCTTCCAACTCAACAGCGAAGGTTTTAAGAAAACTTTTAGATGAGTTTATTCCTTACTGCATCTGGACCGATAACGGCGGTGAAAACCGCGGCGAATTCGGCCAGGTTATGCAGGAAAACGGAATAGTTTGGAAGCACACCTTGCCGTATATGCCAAGACAGAACGGCAAGGTGGAGCGCCTGTGGCCAAGCTTAGAAAAGTTTTTGCCAGACGAGTTGGATGATATTCAACAAATCAAGGACTCAGTTCAGCAGTTCATTGAAAAATACAACAATACACCACATTTATCTCTCGATATTAATCCAAAAACGAATAGTAATTACACTCCTAACGAATTATTCGAAGTTTCAAAATTTTGGTACGAGCCAGAAATGCAAAAATGGGAGTTATATATCAAAGACGAATGGGTCTTGGCAAAATTTGAATAATTACATCATTTTAAATGACTACTAAACAATTTTATTTATGATCAAATTTTATATATTTTTTTGGATCAAATCCATTTTAATAGAATTTATATATTATTCATCTATTAGTAAACACTACCGTATATTATTTTTTAAGCTATCTTATTTTTTGAACTTTTATTCAAATCTTTGGTCGCAAGAAGAATTGCATGATAAATAAAAACATTTAATCAAAGTCAATTTTATTTTTCATATTCAAATGGACTGAGTGTTAACATTTAACATTTTTTGCTAATTGTCGTCAAAAATTAAGCGTAAAGCAAAAATTGATATTTCATATGGTTTTATGATAGATAAGCATTATATTCCCACTCATTATATTCGTAAATTTTGAGGTTTATCCTTCGCTTTTAAGATCATTGAATTTGATTTTTATATAAAATAGTTATATATTAGAAAATAATATGAGTTTATGTGATATTATTTTTCAGAAGATTTTGTGTTCTTCTTCAAAATTTTATTTTTTTATTAAAAAGAATCTTTACAAAATATACATTTACTTTAATTAATATTTAAAAACGTGCTCTATCAAAAGTTCCAAAAATTCAATATTTTAGCTTTTCTGAGGTGTCACTTTTTAAAAGCTGTAAGCTGGAAGTAAAAATCTTGTTTTTTTCTGAGTTAGTTGTAGAACTATTGATGCCCGAGTTATAATTGTGATGTAGAAGGATGTCAATGTACTGACTGAAGGATATGAAGTGAATTGAATTTCATTGAATTTCAATTTGATCAAAATTTGTTGAAATTATATGAATGTGTCAATATCTGTATGACTCTCCTTCACTCCTTCCCTATTCTTTCGAGAACGAAGCTAGCTCAGCTTTCGCTGAGCGAATTGACACTTTTGATGCCCTAAACGTACATACTCTCAAATTTATCGAAAAAAATAAAACTACCTAAACTCGTATATTCTTATTTTAAATATGATATTATCCTTATATTCCACACTAAAATTCATTTAAATCAACTTTTAAAAAAGTTCGAATCCTGCGCGTCTCACTTTTTAAATTTTCCAAATGGAAAATTATATTCTCCTAAAGTGAAAACAATTTTCCAAATTGACTTCCTTACGTATATACCTTTAGGTTTAAGTCGTTTACAATTTTTATATGTCAAATTTATGTTTATAAACAACACGAGAACTTTGCAAAATTTCCACAAATCGGAATAACAATATCGCGTTTGCAAAATTTAGTCTTCTTGTCAAACTGATGATTTTTTGCGGATCTCGATTTTTTTTTTCTTCACCGGTGATAAATCTCCATCGATGGAAATACACATATTTTCAAAGTTATAGACAATGATATCACATAGCAGCACTGCAGGGGGAAAACATGTTGAATTATTGGACATATGTATTCATAAGAATAATTTCCTAATGGCAATTGCTTCTTACTTTTATGCATTCTATTTATTTTAAGTATAATTACTTATGTATCATCGTTTGCATTATATGATTCAAATTGTCTTAATGAATTAATTCCTATAAAATTATAATTCCTATAAAATTATATTTTTACAGAATTTTAATAAATAGCATGGTGTGCGATTTAATGTGATTGAAATACAATATACATGTTGGATTTTTGTTCAAATAATTTTCATTTTCATGATTTATCGAAAAATCTGATTAAAATGCAATATAGAATGCTTTCTCAAAAGGGAGAGAATTGTTGATAAAACTATATGTTCTGCGAGAATTAGAATTTTATTTTATTGGAAAAAATAAATTTTATAAAAGTTTCTTATTTCTTTCTCAGAGAAAAATATAGACATCTTAAATATCAATCATTTAATGTCCTGTGAATATTAATTTTATAAATCATATAAAATAATAGTTTATTCAAATAAAACATAATAGATTAGTTCTGACTTATTGTTGTATGCTATTGATATCGGCAATAATTCCTTTTTTAGTTTGATTTTTGTAGCTATCTAAATGGATATCTTGCCAAAATTCTTCTTTATCATATACAGCGATATAATGCTCCTTATTATTAGGATCTTGTCCATATAAATTACTAGAAACTTGATGATTTGTAAAAATTTCCGAATTAACTGGCCAATAAAAGCTTGTGTCTTCACCTAGGTTAGTGCTTATCACATAACACTTTTGTGTGTCATCATGAACTATTGCACATAAAGTTTTATTGGCAATATTGTCTGTTAATCTTAATAGTTTTGTAAGTCGAACTATTATATTAAAAGCATCTGGGTTATAGTCTGAAATATCGAATAGCTGATAAAAATATAAATCTGTTTCAAGATGTTTTTGGTCAAACGTGTTTAAGATCCCTAAAAAAGCAGGTTCTAAGTTCTTATTTCTTGATTTCTGGGATGTTAATTCCTTGTATTTGAATTCGATAAAATCTCGTTTGTCCGAATTTATTGTCCAAATTAATTGGACGAATTTCTGAAATGTATCAATTAAGTCCTTATCAGGCTTTGCTAGTGAATTATACACTATCAATAGCAGTGAAAAGGGATTGTTATTTGGCTGAGACATTAAATATTTTAATTAATTTTCCAACAGATAAAAATTTGACACTTCAAAATATTTTTTTACAAAAATAAAAATCAAACTGTAGAGTTCTGTATGAGATAAATCTTCTCAAAAATGAAATTATATACCTTTCGAAAACTAATCTTTTTGAAAATAGTATTCTTCATTGATAAATTTCATCCAGAAATCTCAATAGTTTAGTAAATTTAAGTAGATTCAAATCATGACTGAAAACATTTCTTCAAATTTCTATAGAAGGTAACAAAAGAGTAGCACTAGGACTTCTAAGTGAAATTTGGAATTTGCCTGGATATATAGAATTTATTCTGAAATTTGCCTGGATATAGGGTTCTTGGAAAAACTGAATACCATCTCATATCAATGAAAAATCAATCTAAAAGCTTTATATGAAAAAAAACAACTTTTTGTTATTCAATGAATAAGATTCTCTGAAAAAATGTACGATTCCATGTCATGTTGTAAGTACACATTAATTTTATTATCTCACAATGTGTAGACACTAGCTTATAAGTTAAAATAACTAGGATATATATAATAAATTAGAGATTATGATTTTGCACAATATATTTTCCATTCGTTATGGAGCTGTGGCATTATATTCATGATTCCACATTGATTATACAATTATTTATTTCAAAATAGCGAATTTTAAAATAAAATTTGAATCGTTATTCAACCTTTTTATTCTAAAATCTATATTTCATTTCCTAAAACTACATTTCTTCTAAAAACATTAAATATTTCAAGTCTCCACGAGCTCTATCCCTATTATTTTTTGTTTGCAATATATTGAAAATCCAATTTTTGCGAGTTTCAGAGATGAAATATACTAAGCATTAATTATAGAAGCATAATGATTTCAAAACGGATTTTTGATATCAAGAGGCGAAATCAGCAAAAAGTGACAACGCATAGGATGGAATCTCGTGAGGGATTGCCATCGGAACAGCAGAACACTAATATTCCAGTTCCAAGGAAGCGAGGGCGTCCAAAAGGCTCGAAAAACTCGAAAAAGAGGGACTCCTTCGATACTTTGCAGTTTTCATTAAATCAACATTACACGGCAGACGCCCCGAGGAAGTCATCTCGTTCTCACGCGACAACCTCTATGGTCGAATATGCCAGTGATGATGAAAATGGAGACTTTAATCCACTAAATCCTGTGCGAAAAGGTATATATATTGAAGATGTTGTTGCAGGTCCGCCACTTGGACAGGGAGAAGCATATATATGCAAAATGCCTTCAAAATCTTATCTTCATTTACAGCAATTAAACAGCTCCGATATTTCAGCAACAAAAGCACAAAATCCGTACAGCAAATATCAAAAATGCGTAAGTAGAATGTTTGAAGTTACGTTTCCCTCTATCAAGGGCTTCACAGAACCAGTAAATAAGTTACTAGACCCCAATGTTTTCATTGCTGAACGAATAGTCACGCATCAATGCGATGAAGAATTAGTTCATGTTGTTGAGCAGCACATTGATATGAGCCATTATCTTCCTGGTCTTCCTATTGATAATTCAACCGATCTACAGGAATTTCTCAGATTTCAGAAGCCTTTACAAAACATCATGGATGCTGATGATCCGTTCGTTGGCCCGGATGGTGCTTTTATACTTGAGCCAAGATTAAATAATGAAATACAGGAAGAAGTCAATGATTCCCAAGAAAATCCCGAATCAGATGATACTCCTCCACCTAAAACAAAGTTCTTGATCAAGTGGAGAGGCTTACCTCTATCACAGGCCACTTGGGAAACTCCGGAAACTTTATTTGCTGGGCCAATCTGTCCAGGCAACTACGATGAGATAAAGGAAATGATCAGGCAGTATTGGCATAGACTTAGACATCAGGATACTGAAAAAGAAATCAAATCTGACGACGCAACAAAAATAATTCCTCCAATTCGAGGTTATCCGCTTTCCAAACAACAACAAACAGCCGTTAAAAAATTACTTACATCGCATTTACACGCGCAATACTTAACTTTAGTTTGTCCAGAAGAATCTGGTCGAACTGTAATTATCTCGACATTTTTACAGACCATGCGTTTCGCATTCCATCACAAAAAACCAGCAATGATTGTCTGCCATCCTCTCGTGCTCCCAATTTGGAAAAATACGCTCAGAATGATGACAAATCTACATTACGCAACTTTACAAGCTTCAGATAGAGACCGATCACTTCACAAACAATACGAAGTGTCCGGAGACTCAGTTTCGAAGTTCGACGTCTTAATCGCGTCGAGTTTCATCGTAGAAGCCGAAGCACAGTTCGTAACAGGCCTTGGATTCGAGACAATCATATTAGATATGAGGAAAGGTATTCCTCCGAGGATTCTCGCGCTGATTGAAGGAGATCATCATATTATTTACATAAATGACGTCGAAATCGAAACAATTCCTCATATCAAAGTCGAACCAACACATTTCAGATATACAGAGCGTCTTATTATGGACGAAAACCTTACAAAACCCGTATTAAATACTTTCATAACAGATTTACTCAAAAACAAACAATCCTCGCAGTCGGTTGAACCCGTCGCTGCCGATTTGTTCCACCTTTCCCTATTAATGATGGACCACGTAACGCTTTCTCCGCAAATGAACGAAATAGCAAACAGAATCTTTCGTTCTAAGCATTCTATTGGCAAAAGACAGTTCTCTGCCCAAGAAAACATCGAATTTCTCGCAGAATATTCATCAAAATTTACAAGATTATTAAATCTTACTCGAGAAAACGGTTTACAGATAATTGTTGCCAATGATTATAGCGTATTACGTATTATTAGACAATTCCTCGGTTACCACGGTATCTTTTCCGTATGGATTAACTCAAATTTGATTGAAGAACAGCCATCTCTTGTTACTGTTCCTACAACAGGCGTAGCGTTGATGATTCGAAGTGAGTATTCAAGTATCCTTGCACAGATGAGGCCAACAAGGGTGATTTTCTATAATATTGCTCCGAATTTGAAAATTGATGTGGAACTTGTTCATTATTTCATGAGAAATGACAGTCCACCAGAGATTGTAAGACTTTTGACAAAGGATTCAATCGAAACTATCCTCTATTCTCAGTTTTTACGCGTTCAAGATCTAGATATCAGTTTGCTTCAGCAATTAGACTACGAGATACTCCTGCGAGCTATTACATTAACATCCAAGCCAGCAAGACAGACTCCAGAAGACCTTCCTTCCGAAATTTCCTTCGAAATCCCATCCGAACAAGCGACCATTTACGATAAAATTGACAGGGTCTTTGATTACGTAAAAAAGTGCAGCAATTATTGGGAGGATATCTTCCCTTCTCCAAGCGGACAGCCACTTAAGCAGTGCGCATGGGCACAGCAAGAGGCACAGCAGCTGTTAGAAGGCATGTTTACAATGAAATCTGGAAATTGGCAACAATTTTCCTCAAATTTCAACTATCCTTTAGAAGAAATCAAAGAAATCGGACATGCAATAACACTTCACCACATGACAAGACTCTTAGAAGAGGATTTCGTCAACTATTCCGTATCAATTGCAGCATTTCAGATTGAATACTTCAATAAACCATACGAAGCACCTGTAGCATCACCTAAAACATACTGGAATGATATTGCAATGCGAGATACGACATATCCAGCCTCCCTTTTCGTAATGAAAGGAATGCAAAAGATTTTTGCCAACGCTACGAGGCTTTTTTCAGTACAACAACGCTGTATCTTTATTAGGGCGTTCATGTACATCAATCCGGAACCAACAATTCCAGCACGATGCCGTTCAATTCAGTTTGATAATCCAGAATACCTCTATAAGATCTTAAACGCGTTCTTGGAAGGTGCCACGACCTCTCCAAACCTCATGCAGAAGATCCCCGGCTTCACACAACAGGATTTCGACACAGTTTTCAAAGCGATTTACCCACAAATCAAATGTGAAGTACTTATGTACGTAACAAGGATGGTAGAAGAAGGTGCTCGTGACACAGACATTACAGAGCTTCGTCCTATTCTTTCATCCATCATTTCCGGACCATTTTATTTTGGATGGACCGACCAAAACATACTAGACATCATCAGAAGCATGTCATTATTCGGCATACCTGTTCTAGAGAACACGAATACTCCAGATTACCCGCTTTTCATGGCAATGTCCGGAATAACCGGCAGATCTCTTGATTCAATCAACACATTCATGGAAACGTTCTACACCATTTTGATTGCAGCCCATTCCTCCAAGGAGATCCTCATTATTCCGGAATCCCTCTCCCTTCTCAAGCCAATGCCCGTAATTGTCAAAGGAAAAGAAGTTTGCCAGCCACTGACGATAGCCTTTGAAATAATCGACCGAACAATTAGGTCCATCGACATGATCGGTTTCGCCAGAAAAACTTCCAAAGAAGGATTCGACAGATTTTGTTCACAGCCGTTTCTTCCTCATGGCTGGGACAAAGAATGTGATGCAGCTCTCTTGGAAGGAATAGTTCAGTACGGTCTGGACGCAAGAGGCCAAATGGCAATTATTCCTTTCAAAAAGCCACGTGTCACTTTTTACGATTGTATGATGAGACGGTCATTGAGTGAATTCAAGGAATTCATGAGCATGGACAATGTTGGTAAGCGCTTGAGTTTCTTGATTCTTAATTCTACGAGGATTCCAAGAAGAATTTCGTTCTGGGATGGTGGAATTAAGCATATTTCATTCAGAATACAGCCAAGGAATGAATGGGAGAGAGACATGAAAGCCCTTGAAGTAGAGTACAACCACGAGTACTTGATCAGACACAAACAGGACTTCCTAGTTGAAAATCCGCAGTTTAGAGAGTACTTGGAAGAGAAAGAAAAAGAAAAGAAGAGAATAAAAGAGGAGAAAAACGTGGAAAAAGTCAAAGTCAATCCAAAGAAGAAGACATCGAAACAGATCTATAGAGGTTTATCGCCACCACCTCAAAAGAAATCTTATAGATCAAACCCGTCTTCAACTGCAACTGAAAATAATTCTGAAACTCCTCAAAAATCTGAAAAAGTGACAGAGGGAACTTCCCTCCCTAGCGATGAAACACAATCATCGGAAAACCCTACACCACATAAGCCCACGTTGAAACTGAAGCTTCCCAAGCAAAACAAAAAGCCACGTATACTAATTAGGACCGAATCTGCCCAAGAAACAACAGAAAAAACTGAAGATAAAACAGAAGAAAGTCCTAAAAAGAGAAGAATCATATTAACAGCCAAGCCAAAGAAGAAGAAACTTAATTTGACAACAAGTAACTTAGAAGTACAGCAACAAACAGAACAAGAAACGAAACAAAAACCAAAGAAAAGCATTGTATATGTAGATGCACAAGATATGCCAAGTACTGACTCTTCTGATGAAGATTCCGAAGAAACGAAACAAAAGAATAAGAAATCCCTCAAAAAGAATAAGAAACACGCAAAAGATTTCTTACAAGAGATGAATAAAAGGGCAAATACGAATCTTAGAGAAAGAAAACCAATAGAATACAACGACATGGATGAGGATGAAGAAATAAAGACTCCACCAAGAATTACGTTGAAGAGAAGAGCTGAAAAGAAATCACAGAGAGGAGAAGATACTCCTTCTGACCAAGATGACGGACAATGGAAGAATTGAGTTTATATTTTTATCTTATTTATTTTTTTTATAGATATTTTTTTATTTAGATGTATTTTAAAATGAATATTTTATTAAATTTGTCAATTTTTTTACAGCGGATAATTCTGAATCATAATTTCTCAATATTGAGACACTATTATGTAATTCTTGATGGAGATCGATAGTTTTACAAAAGCTTTTAAGGCTGCACTTACGCGCATCTGACTTAAATTCAAATTTTTGACAACTGGTGTGAAGCGCCATTAAAAATTAACCTTAAACACTTGAATTGAATGCCCTGTCATAGGGGCGTAAGTGCACCCTTAATCCAGGTCAAACTTTCATGAAAATTATAAATGTCATATTTTTGACTTTACAAGATGTCAAAATTGTAAAGTTGTGAGTGTCAAAAATCTTCAATTTTTCTTCATCTCTTTAGAGTTGGTGAAGATTTTTCTCCATTCGGGATCTTTTTTCTATATATTTGAATCTCTTTTTGTCCAAGTAATATGTAATGACTCAAAGCAAAGAGAAAGATGTGGCCATTATTGAATGGAATTTAACTTTCAAAAGTGACATATCAGTGTAAGAATGGCATTTTATCAACATTATTGGAGAAATCGTAATATTAATATATTTGGATTGAATAAATTTGATATAAAAAATTTGTAAGTGCATTCAAAAATGTCGAAGTTCATCAACGCGTACAGCCGCTATTTTGGTGATAAAAACTTCGATGCGACAAAATTAGGAACATCCGAGTGTCCAATTCCAAAGTTTTCGTCGTCAGATATTTTAAATTTATGCAAATTAACAAGATCTGAACTTTCAAACGACAAATCTTTGCTATCTCTAGCTGGTGACTTTACTATTGTTGGTGACTTGCATGGAAACATAAGAGATCTGATTAGAATATTTGCTTTGGCAGGTTCCCCATTAACCAATAAGTATTTATTCGTAGGAGATTACGTTGATAGAGGAAACTTTTCAATAGAAGTTGTAACACTTCTTCTCGCACTAAAGCATGAGCATCCTGACTCAATTTTCTTATTACGTGGCAATCATGAATTTGAAGAAATGAATGGCATATATGGATTTCGCGAAGAATGCCTTAAAGAATATGGTCTTGATGTTTATGATGCCTGCAATAAATGCTTCGCTTTGATGCCATTTGCGGCCATCTTAAATGGAAAGGTTTTTGTCGTTCATGGAGGCCTCAGTCCAACTCTTCTTGATACATGCCAGATTATGTCAATTCCGAAGCCTGTTATTACATATAAATCAACTCCATACGAACAACTCGTAACAAACATAGTCTGGAGCGATCCAACAACAACTACATCGAACTACGGTCCTTCAACAAGGAAAATGGGCTGCACATTTGGCATAACTGCCCTCAAAAATTTCCTTTCATACAATAAATTACAAGTTCTCATTCGTGGACACCAATGCGTTCAAAATGGCGTCGAGAAATTTGAAAACGATCACCTCTACACTGTTTTCAGCTCTAGTAGTTACTCTAAATCCAGTGCAAACAAATCAGGAATCATCCAAATCATCCAAAAGCACATTAAATGCTTTAATTTCCCTGCGATACCAGTTCTAAAGCGAGAAGATGCTGTTTTCGAGCAGTTGTCCCATGAAACAAGGCCAAGAAAGAACACATTTACTCTCGGAACATCAGTTTCGCCAGTAAAGCCAAATGGAAAGGGTTCTTTATCTCCGGCATCATCACAGACTACTCCTCGCAAGATGCAGCCAAGTTCTTTGCCAATCAAAGAATTTAAATCCCCAAGACCAGAACTTTCTTCGATGTTTATGTCTCCTTCTCAAATAGATTCGCCATCTCCATCTGGAACACCAAGTTTCTCCTTCAAACGAAGCCCCAGAGTCGATGAAACACCGAAGAAAGTTTATCCATTACCAAAATCACCAAGATAAGCATATAATAATCATGAAATTCATATTTTGTAAAAACAATCTATCAATGTTTATTTAAATATTTTATTTATATTTCACCAGCAATCATGCATAACGTTTCAAGTAATTGTATTCAAGAGAATTGGGCATTTCAATGATATTCCATTGAATAGGATTGTATTTTATGCTCATTTCTGTCTGAAATTCAACAAAATTTGTGAAATGTGGACTTTCGGTCGGTTTTTTGTTCAACATATGGCTATCAGGATTGAAACTCTTCCTAAACATGTAGTGTATTTTTGAAAGACTTTATCCAGTGAATTCATGAGCAACTTCGCGAGGATGAATCTAATATAACTCATCACATCTAACAAACTCAAGTACAAAAATTAATTAAAAAAAACGATTATTTTACTCCCTAATGAAAATTTTCTTCGAAAATACCAGAAAACTAAAGAATATCTTAAGTAAGAATATTATTCTTCGGCACCATGTGAAATAAGATTTTCGGCTATTTCTTTACTATTATACCATGCTGCATAATGAAGAGCGGTTTTTCCATCTTTATCTTTTTCATTGATATCTGCACCATGTGAAATAAGAACTTTGGCAGTTTCTTTACTATTTTTCTTTGCTGTATAATGAAGAGCGGTTTTTCCATCTTTATCTTTTTCATTGATATTTGCACCATGTGAAATAAGATTTTCGGCTATTTCTTTACTATTTTCACTTACTGCATAATGAAGAGCGGTTTTTCCAATTTTATTTTTTTCATTGATATTTGCACCATGTGAAATAAGAACTTCGACGGTTTCTTTATTATTGTACAGTGCTGCATAATGAAGAGCGGTTTCTCCATGTTTGTCTTTTTCATTGATATTTGCACCATGTGAAATAAGAACTTCGGCAGTTTCTTTACTATTACGCCTTGCTGCAATATGAAGAGCGGTTTGTTCATATTTATCTTTTTCATTGATATTTGCACCATGTGAAATAAGAAGCTCGGCAGTTTCTTTACTATTATTCTCTGCTGCATAATGAAGAGCGGTTATTCCATCTTTATTTTTTTCATTGATATTTGCACCATGTGAAATAAGAACTTCGGCAGTTTCTTTATTATTGTTTATTGCCGCAATATGAAGAGCGGTTTGTTCATATTTATCTTTTTCATTGATATTTGCACCATGTGAAATAAGAAATTCGGCGGTTTCTTTATTATTATTACTTGCTGCATAATGAAGTGCGGTTTTTCCATTTTTATCCTTTTCATTGATATTTGCACCATGTGAAATAAGAAGCTCGGCAGTTTCTTTACTATTACGCCTTGCTGCAATATGAAGAGCGGTTTGTTCATATTCATCTTTTTCATTGATATTTGCACCACGTGAAATAAGAAGCTCGGCTATTTCTTTACTATTGAACATTGCTGCAATATAAAGAGATGTAAATCCATTTTTATCCTTTTCATTGATATTTGCACCATGTGAAATAAGAACTTCGACAGTTTCTTTATTATTACCCCATGCTGCATTATGAAGAGCGGTTTTTCCATCTTCATCTTTTACATTGATATTTGCACAATGTAAACGGAAGTATTCGAAAAGAGATGGAATATTAAATATAGGTGTATAAACAAAGCATTTGTTTATATCATTAGTTTGATCGAAATAAACTAAAAATGCATCAAGATTATGACAAAATACACATGAATTTAAGTTGATTCTTATATTGTATTCATTCATCAAGAATGTAACAAAATCAATGTTGTGTGAAATAATTGCATATTCCATGCATGCTTTATTTGGTATCTGATATTTCAAACATTCACTCATGATCTCTGCATTTCTTCCTAAAAATGAAAATTGAAGACATATTTGAGTTATTTCTGAGCTGAATTTTGATATTAACAACTTGAAACAATCAACTGCTCCATGGTAACAACATAATTCAAGTAATGAATATCCAAAATAATAAACTGGATATAAATTGCTTTTAAGTTTTTGATTTTTATCAAATTCATCTCTTTCAGTGAAGTATATGAATCTTTCAAGGTCATTATACATAATTGCTCTGTAAATTGTATCTTCTGTAAGAATTTCAAGATTATCTGATTTAATTTTTTCAAAATCGGCAGATTTGTCTAATTTAATTCCATATTCTTTATAAAACAAGAAGTTTGGAATAGTTGAAACTCTGTTGACCTCTGTGACATGGTAATCATCAGATATAAGTTTGGCAAGAAATAAATATGACTTTGTATAGCGAATATTATACGGAATGATACCTAAAATGTCTCGCATAATTATTTGGGGAGGATATTTCTGTGAATCAATCAATTCTGTTTTGATCATTTTGTAAATTGACTTTAATTCTTCTTCGTTTTCCGTTTTTAGCTGATACAATGCAAGATATGAATCGATGTAGTATTTGTAAGTACTTCGTAATTTGTTGTATTCTTTTGAATGAACGTCATGGTCCGACATTATTAATTTTTAAAAAAGACACATTTACGTTTTACCATATGAAATGCCCTTAAATTCATTAGAAGAAAAAAAATACTATGTTACATATGTAGAAAACAATGACCATTTGGTATAATTTATTGTCAATCATTCCAAATCAATTGATTTTTTGAATGTAGATAAAGGGATATATTTAATTAATAGATTGATCTGTATTTTCTAAGATCTATTAAATTTAATGGCTAAATCTTTTGCAATTCTTCGCCTGAGGAGCTCCAAAGCTCACAATCTCTGCAAAATGGAACTTTGAAATTCCTGAATCTGTATCTACAGAGGCCTTTTACCATTTGGACCTCTGCTGATCAGAAGATTATGGTAGCCATTCTGTTCTTCAGGAGCTCTAGTGTTCCCATTTCCACTAGAAAAAGAACTATTTGTTTCATTTCTCATGAAATTCATCTTCAAAAATATCAGAAATAGAAAGAATGGCGTCTTATATAAGAACACATGTTTTTGAACCATGTGTACGAAGATGGTCGGGCTGCTTCTTCACTACTATTAAATTCTGCAAGTTTAAATGATGAATATCAGTATTTATCTTTTAAATTGATATTTGCATCATGCTAAAGAAGAAATTCGGTTATTTCTTTTTTATTATGACGAATTGCAAATTGAAGAGCTGTATATCCATATCATTTGATGATTCAGATTCAAAAAGTATAAGATATGCCAACGAGTGCATTAAAAAGCAGTAAATTGTATATAAGCATTATATAATAGAGCGAATAAAAGTCTAGATATAAGGTTTTCCCAATTGTTTCAACAAATCGACAAATAAAACACTGAATCAAGGGAATGTTCTAGATGATTTTTGATGCTTTATCAAGAAATATGAAGATGTTGAGTTGAACGAATAAAAATCATATTTGAGAAGGCAGCCGACCACACAATTGAGAAAGTGTAACACCCTAATTGTTACAAAATCTTTTTTATATTCAACCCATCAGAATTTTATAATGACAGAGAAAGTTGTCTGCTTTGATGGCGAAGGCGTTATTTGGTATGGCGGATATCCAGTCGAAGGTGCAAATGAAATTATCGGCGATATCAGAAAGCTTGGATATAGAGCAGTCTGTGTTACAAATAATGCTTCTAAATCTGTCCAACAATACTTAGAGCGTTTCCAAAAGAGTGGCTATACAAACTTCAATGAAGAAGATGTTATCACTTCTGCTCGTTCTGTCGGCATTTATCTTGTCAAGGCAAGATTCAACAAACCAGGCCGTAAAGTATTCGTTATTGGAACAGCAGGCTTCGTTAGTCAGCTCAGATCTTACAATTTGAACATTGTTATCGCTGCAGACTATGATGGTCTCGATATTCATTCAATGGATATTGATCCAGAAGTTTGTGCAGTTGTTGTAGGCTCATCAGAAGAATTCTCATACAGGCATCTTACAATTGCATCAAGATATGTTATTGAAAACGATGCTCTCCTTATCAGTGCAAATCCAGACGATAATTATCCATATAACCATGATGTATTAGTTCCAGCAGCACACGCTCTTGCAGAATGCATTGCTGCAGCTACAAATCATACAACACTCGCCCTCGGAAAGCCACAAAAGTCAATGTTCGAAGCAATTCCTGGATCAGACAAAATTGACAGAGCCCATAGCTGGATTATCGGTGATAGACTCGCTACTGATGTCAAATTCGCTAAAACAGCCGGACTTAGATCAATTTTAGTTTTGACGGGTGTTACAAAGAAAGAAGATACAATTAACTTACCAGATGGCATTAAGCCAGACTTCATCTGTGCAGATCTTAAGGAATGTTACGAAGTTATCAAAGCGAATACATAAAAAAATTATTTTTATTTGATAATCAACCAATCATACTACTATTTTTCCTAATTATCTGTGAACAAAGAAATAAATATTGTTTTATTTGATTATTTCAACTAGATGGGCAATACTTTATGAAATAAAAGTCTCAAAAGCTCATCTTGGTGAATTTTATGAAATAAACTATATTGTATTGTCGCATTTATTAGTAACACAAATAAAAACAATAATATTGTTAAGTTTTTGATTCATTTTCCAGAGAAGCTTTCAATTGATTAATTTTGGCTTGCATAATTTCATTATCTGCTTTAAGACGTGCTTTTTCAGCTGCTAATTGCTTTTTAAGTGCCATTTCAATCCCGTATTGAACTACTTTATTTGATGATAGCTTTAAATCCATTATTGCTAGCTCGAGATATTTGTCGTTTCCATTAGATTCGGGTTTTGGGAAATAAACTTGATGTTTTTCTGCTTGAATTTGATCTAATGCGCGTTTTAAAACAGGGTTTCCTACAGTATATTGATAATGCCTAAATTCATCGGTGTCTACGGCTGCTGCAAGTCGTGTAGAGAATGGCCCTCCGAAAGTTTTTTGAAAATCTTGATTCATCTTAACTTTACATGTCAAAAAAATCGCACATTTGCTACTCTTTTAAAATGTACTCGCAAGAAGGATTCGCTCGATGAATTTCCAAATAAATTGCGGATATAATATCAGTATAGACATGGTACATCATCCATGAGTTTGCATGGAATTCTATTACAGATTTATGGAATTATAAATCATTCTTTTCTTGAAGCTTTTTTTGTATTGTCACATTTTTATACAACAAAAAAAAGACAAATTTTTTTTAGATTTTGAAGATTTTCATCTGAAATGGAAGACCAAGAAATAATTCAGATGATAAATATTGTTCTTTCAAGTGGTATAGGGATAAATCCTACCGCATTGAATGAATATCATCAGCGTTCGCACGATTTACAGAATAATATCTTCGGAATTCAATGGTCATTACGCTACTTGACTGGACAAATCTCATACAAGCCATCTTTATACGCTCTTTTGATCATTAAAGATTGGATAATCAATCGTTGGGACGAATTAATCCAAAATATTCCGGATTTTCAGCAGCAATTATATCATATTATTTTCGAATCATCGAATAAATTCTTAAATATGCAGCAAACTCTCCTCTATACCCTTTATAAAGTTCAAACTTTATTAGCCATCAAAATTTATCCTTTGACATTTCCTGAATTCTTCCAAAAACTCTTCGAAATGAATCAAGATATGCTATTTTCATTCTTAGATGTATTGTTTTCCACTCTAAAGGAAAATCAAGGAGATCAAGCTACAATTTTATCGGCAATGGAAGAAGATGGATCGAATCAGCATCTTCTAATGATCATCTTAGATAGTATTATTGCAGGAAGAAAGCAATCTTTTGGTATTCTCGTTGATTTATTAACTTGGGTAAATCCAGGACAAATTATTGGGCATCCTGCCATTGATACCATATTAAATTCGATCATGGAGGATGACCAACACATTGAAACTATAAATAGTATTGCAGATGATGAAATTACGAAATCTTATTCAATCCAACAAGAATCTCCACGCGAAAAGGCTCTCAAAATCTTAGATGGTCTTCTAGGTGCACCAATGAGCCCTGATGAATACATGTCTTTCATTATTTCCAAAGAAATTATTCCAAGATTACAAAATATAGAAACAGAAGATGAAAACATTCTTTCTTTAGTCGCATGCATATATTCAACCATAGGAAAGCATGTAATTGACATTTACATGAATGGACAAAAAGATCAGAACTATTTAGTTTTTCTTAACGAGTGTTTCAACTTAAGTATGGATTATTTAATGTCTCCAAATGAATTTATTGCTGAAAATATTATAAATTTCGCAAAACTTTATATAAATAAGTTTATTGATCCGAATTCAATGCTAGAAATCGTCCATAAGTGTTTCCAACGCTATGCATTGTATTTCTCTGTTCCTTCCTTCGAGCTCAGTGACTTCGCTGAGACATTATTGAGTATAATTACGAAAAATTTAAATAATCAACACTTATTTGAGCTCGCAAAAGCAATTGATACCTCAGACTTGCTTTCTATTGGTGCGTTCTTTAGTGTGGCCCAACACATGAGGCTTAACGCTGAAATAGAAAACACTTTAATTGATTCATTTTCCGAAATCCTTACTAATATCAGTCCACCAGCCGAATACCCTGAATATTTGGCATTAACACAATACGTTGAGTTCGTTGCCAAGAAGAAATCAAGGCCAATTCAACAAGATTGTTTCAATGTCATAGCAATCCATGCAACGAACACGGAAAGTCCCATAGAATATGAACCGAAATTCTCTTCACTTCTCAAATCACTGACCATGAAAGGAGCTATCGTTAGCCAAGAAGTTCCTGTTGGTTTAATTTTGACCGGCAACCAACAATATGCGGCTACTGCTGTCAGATTGATTAAGTATGTCAAGCAACAGAACCAACTAGAGGCTTTTAATCTCTGTAGATCTGCTTTGCAGGACGAATTCCATTTATTGTGTCTTCCGTTTATAGAACAACTCCAACCGTCCAAGGATATCGTATTCAAACAGAGTTGTCTTGAGCTTATTGAGTTCTTTATGTCGACAATTATGGATGGAGAATTTGAAGGAAATAAAGATGCATATTTGGCAAGAGCAATTGCTTCAATGTGGAATGTTCTTGAACAAGACTGCCTTCAAGTCTTCGTCCAGCTATTGGAATTCGCTCAAGGACTCGAAAGTATGGCACAATTGTGTTTAATTGGGTCACAGTTAACGGAGAAAGCAGAAAATAATGAATGGATTGCCCAGTTATTCAACAGTTCTCAGGAATATATTAACGAAATCCTCAATGAAGAGATTGATTGGTCAGAATGTAACGAATTCGCAAAACAGTCGAGACAATTCATGAAATACTACTTCAAGTTCGTTACAAAGGCCATGAAATTGGCTCCAAATGAGATAATTCCTGAAACAATTAAATTTGTAATTTTGATTATTGAGAATTTGATCAATATTTCGGAGATTTCAATGGATGCACTAACATTTGTATACTCCATTGATGATGAATACCTCAGCTCTCCTGATATTTACAGTAATATTCAAGACGTTATCAGATCTTTGATTTTATGCTCAAAATCACTGAACATTTCTCAAACAAACGCTTCTTGGAGAAGAGTTATGCGAGAAGGAATGAAGATAATGGCAAGAATTTACGCAGGAGACCCGAATTCGGCCACAAACATCGTTCAGAGATCTCTTTCAGAGCTGGGATTCGATGGAAATTATATAAACCAGCTAACTGACCAGTGGAGAGCTATGATGGAGCGTGGTCCATCGCAAATTGACGCTGAAGTCGGATCATTTTATACTAATATTGTTTCTGTTTTGTCTAATTAGATTTGTTTTGATAGAGAATAAAAAGTATCGTTTACATATCATTAATTTATTAATAATTACCAAAATTCATAATGAAAAATTGATTTAATTTTGGAAATTTTGAGATTGTTTGATATACAATAAAAAATACAATTTATATAATGTTGTTTTTTTTTAATAATTGGCAAGAAATTGATAAAATTTTCACTCAAATTTTTGATTTTGGATAATTTGTTGATAAAATTATTATTTAATTCTAATTTATTTAAAGATCTTTTGTTTTAAAAATTGGAAATTTTCCAAATTAGGGATGCGACGGTTTTACGCCATGACCGTTTAAAAATAGAATAATACGCCATTTTTGAGGCCGAATGGCGGGTACGAAGTAGCCGCCATTCGGCCGAATAACAAAACAATACAAAATTATCGCCGTCCTTTTTTTTTCTTTCTTTCTTTCTCTTTTTTTTTTCTCTCTCTCTCTCTCTTTCTTTTCTCTTTCCTCTTTTTACTCCTCTTTCTCTTTTCATCATTAAACGTAGAAAGATATATTAATATTATTTTAAAATTAAAAAAAAATAAAGAAAGTATAATAAGTAATTATTTAGTTATCGATATATATATGTAAAGTGATAATCTGAGGATAATCTGAGGAGGAGTCTGAGGATTAGACCGAGGAGTAGTTTGAGGAGTTTGATGATAATCTGAGGAGTTTGAGGAGTAGTCTGAGGAGTAGTTTGAGGAGTAGTCTGAGGAGTAGTCTGAGGTGTTTGAGGATAATCTGAGGAGTTTGAGGATAATCTGAGGAGTTGTCTGAGGAGTAGTTTCAGGAGTTGTCTGAGGATAATTTGAGGAGTTTGAGGAGTAGTCTGAGGAGTTTGATGATAATCTGAGGAGTTTGAGGATAATCTGAGGAGTTTGAGGATAATCTGAGGAGGAGTCTGAGGATTAGACCGAGGAGTAGTTTGAGGAGTTTGATGATAATCTGAGGAGTTTGAGGAGTAGTCTGAGGAGTAGTTTGAGGAGTAGTCTGAGGAGTAGTCTGAGGTGTTTGAGGATAATCTGAGGAGTTGTCTGAGGAGTAGTTTCAGGAGTAGTCTGAGGAGTAGTCTGAGGTGTTTGAGGATAATCTGAGGAGTTTGAGGATAATCTGAGGAGTTGTCTGAGGAGTAGTTTCAGGAGTTGTCTGAGGATAATTTGAGGAGTTTGAGGAGTAGTCTGAGGAGTTTGATGATAATCTGAGGAGTTTGAGGATAATCTGAGGAGTTTGAGGATAATCTGAGGAGGAGTCTGAGGATTAGACCGAGGAGTAGTTTGAGGAGTTTGATGATAATCTGAGGAGTTTGAGGAGTAGTCTGAGGAGTAGTTTGAGGAGTAGTCTGAGGAGTAGTCTGAGGAGTTTGAGGATAATCTGAGGAGTTGTCTGAGGAGTAGTTTCAGGAGTTGTCTGAGGATAATTTGAGGAGTTTGAGGAGTAGTCTGAGGAGTTTGATGATAATCTGAGGAGTTTGAGGATAATCTGAGGAGTTTGAGGATAATCTGAGGAGGAGTCTGAGGATTAGACCGAGGAGTAGTTTGAGGAGTTTGATGATAATCTGAGGAGTTTGAGGATAATCTGAGGAGGAGTCTGAGGATTAGACCGAGGAGTAGTTTGAGGAGTAGTCTGAGGGGTTTGAGGATAATCTGAGGAGGAGTCTGAGGATTAGACTGAGGAGTTTGAGGAGTAGTCTGAGGATAATCTGAGGAGTTTGAGGATAATCTGAGCATAATCTGAGGAGGAGTCTGAGGATTAGACCGAGGAGTAGTTTGAGGATAATCTGAGGAGGAGTCTGAGGATTAGACTGAGGAGTAGTTTGAGGATAATCTGAGGAGTAGTTTCAGGAGTAGTCTGAGGACTAGTCTCAGGACTAGTCTGATGAGGAGGACTCTAAGGAGTAGTCTGAAGAGTAGTCTCAGGAGGAAGATCTGAGGAGGAGTCTTATGAGGAAAATCTGAGGAGTAGTCTGATGAGGAGGGGTCTAAGGAGTAGTCTGAGGATGATCTGAGGATAACCTGATGACTAGTCTAGGAGTGGTCTAATAAAAATGTAAAATATTTTCAAAGAAAAAATTCTATGAATTTTATATTTTAATTCTTAGCATTATACTGAATAAAATAAACATAAATATCAAAATTTGAAATTGAACACGCCAAAAAATTGATAATCTACATTCAATATTTTGTAAGTGGCGTACTTTTTGAATACTCGCCATACGCCTTGGAGTTCTCAATTTTGAATTCGCCTTTATTTGGGCGACCTCAGAAAAATACGCCATTAAGAAAATATTGTATGAGATTTTAAATTTGAACACGCTCTACCTTAAGGAATTAAATTTATTAAGATATATTTATATATAATAAACGATTACTTAAAAAAAAGTATTTCATCGCTTATGTAAGTTTCAAAAAAATCACGAAAATAAAAAAATCAAGATTAAAATTTTATTTTTAATTTTTGAATTTCTCAAATGGCGAAATTTTTGGGCGAACAAAAAAAATGTACGCCTGGTCAAATGGCGTGTTTAACGCATCCCTATTCCAAATTTTTGCTGAAAAATCAATTTTAATAATAAAATTCAAAATTTTTGTGTTCATTTTTGAGAGAGGGTCAAAGTTGCTATTTGTCACTTTTCCACAAGAATATAATGGGGAAAAAGTTATCATATAGTTGATCTCATTCACTGAGGTGAGAGATGCATGTAGTGTAATTTGATAAACAGTGTGATTGCTGCTCTAAGTCCTAGGTTCAAGACACATTGGCTTCATTTTTCTCTTTTTTATTGACGTAAACTATTCAATTTTTGTGTTCTCCATTCAAATTTCAGAATTTTTTTTGCAGATTTCACGCTACATTCGAAGTTACCTTTTGTAACAACCACCACTGCCTACGAAAGACGAAAGTGTGTCACGATTTCACCCGGAAATCCGACGGTTGTTTAAGAGTATGCACTTTTGTCACCTACTCGTTCATTTTTTATTTTTTTCATTTTTTTGGATGCGTTCCTTTGGAAGAGAAATCTATGAAGATGATTCTTTTCCAGGATCTTTTTGGAATATGCTTCCAGAAGAGGACAGAGACGCATTCCTCGTCATGAGAGATAATTTTTATGAAGGATTCAAAGGAGAAAATTATCAAGATATACTAGAAGAGATTTACAAATACAACTTTCGAAATCCTGAGTTCGTAGAAGAGCGATCTATTGTTTCTGGCCTTGCTTTTTGTGGGCCTTATCTTTTAATTAACTATCGACAATTCAAAAAGGTTATCTGCCGTTACAAATGCTCTATTCACAATGGGTTATCTGCGTTGGGCTACAAATTAGAAACAAATGATGCGAAAAAAATTACAGTAATTACGGCAGCTATACAATCAGTGATTGACGATCCTGTTTTAGCAGAAAGATGGGATATGTACGGATATTATAGCGGCACTGGCTCTGTATTTTTGACAAATTGTTCCGATCTTAATTTACCATTAATTGAACTACGAGACGAGAAAGAAACTACAAATTCACACACATTTGGGAATTTGCCAATAGTTAAAGCACCTCCCCCACCAGAATCTCCATTACCTCCATACAAATTTACAATCGCTGAAAATATTCTAAACGAGGAAGAAGATCATATAGAATTCCAACAAAATACGATGAGTAATCCTATTATTTCACCATTAGACGAAGACAATTTTGATCCTTTAGTTTTTGATAATTCATCGTTCGAGAATCAGAAAGATATGTATGATATAGGTAATATGTTCCTTACATTTTAATTGTAAGACAATATATATACATGTCAAAGCCCATACATCTGTTTGTTTGTAAAAAATTAACTTTTATTTATCATGATCATTTGGAAACTGAAAAATAACCTTTCTGTATGCTTTCTACATCAATCATGGATTGATTAACGTTTAAATTAGTTTTACTAAAATAAATTTTGACAAATTATCTAAAATCATAATGTTAGCATTCATCAATCTGACATTTATGCATATTTTGCCACAAGTTAATTATAGTTATGTGTTATCAAATAAGAATAGCATTAATAAAATTTCCTTGAAATTATTTTTATCGATTATCATAATTTATATTGCAATATTTGTTTCAATTAACAATTGCACTACGTTTACATAAGTAGTGATAAAAATTCATGAAGTTCAGATGATGTTGAGACATCTTGAATCGATTATAGGAAACTTTTCTTAATTATTTCTCATTATCTCACATCACTAATCCGAGATATACCTCATTTTTGAAATGATGCCATAGTGAAGAATATTTTTACGACGATAAAAAAGTTATTCGTGAAATGAGTAAAAAGCTTATCTCATTCATGATCGATCCAAATCTGGACCGGTTATGGACAGCAATAGGTTTTACGAAAGTTGAGAAGGCAGCAGAAGCAAAAAAATTGGAACTTGCGCTTATTGAAGCATATCAAAAATTTATTGCCGAAACAAACATAAATTGCGAAGATTTACGAGGGGAACTTCGAAATGCTATTTTTGAATATCAGCATGTTCAACAGATCTTTGGTGATGAAGGAGCAATTCCTTCATTGAGTCCAAAATACTCACTACGCGATCAAATTAACTACATGAACGATGTAACAGAAGAGTTAAAAATGAAATACGATTCAAGAGTTAAAGAATTCGACGAAATTGCATCGAAACTTTCAGAACAATACAAAATTCTAAAGATAAACGAAGAAGATCGAGGGGAATTTGCAGAGGTTGGTACATCAGATTTGACCTTGAGTAGATTAGAAAGATTTAAACAGACAAACAAAAAATTAGATGCAGAAATACAACAAAGAACTAAATTATTTGAGTCACTAGTTCAACAAATCACAGAGACTAGCGAATACATACAAGAAACTATACCAGATAAATTCCAGACTATTATAGAAAACAAAAATATTGATAACGATTCGATATCTAAACTTACAGAATGTTTAAACTCACTCCAAGAACTGCAGGAGACTAATAAAGAGCAGTTGGATAATTTATGGAAGCGAATTTCCTATCTTTACGAAGTTTTAGATTTCGATACGAAATCACGGCGTTCTAAGCCCCAAAATCCATCTGTTCAAGAGATAGATAGTCTTCTAAATGAAATAGAATCACTCCAGAAGCAAATAGAAGATAGTTTACCCACATTAGTTAAAAGTCTTCAGAGAGATATAAAAAAGGTATGCGACGACCTTCGAATTTCACCGGCAAACTACATAAGATTTACAGGGGATAACGAAGATCTTGAATCCAGAGCGATTTTCCTACGCAGACAACTAAATGATCTGAAACAGAGACAAATTAAGGCCCAACCGATTATTTCGCTTATCAGTGAGATAGAGTCGGCCAATGCTTCTCTGAAGAACGACCCAACGAAGTCGTACATGTCGAGGGAAAGAGGTGCAGCAAGAAAAAGAGTCGAAGAAGAGAAACAAAGAAAAATAGCAGTGGAAACGATACCGAAACTGGAACAGAAACTGTTGAAATTACTGGCGCAGTTCAAGGAAGAGAATAAATACGATTTTCAGTTCGAAGGAGTCGATTTGACAAATTTGGGCCATGAAAATGACAGTCAAGTTGCGCCCGTAAATTTATCATCTTTCCCAGAAAATGGAACATCACAAATTAGTCGAAGAACTGGAAAACAGACACTTGGAAAGACTCTTTTGTTGCAGAAACTGAACTCTGAGAAGAATGAAACAAAGAATATGAAGCAGACAACGAGGAGAAGACCTCTATACTAAGATTTTATATTTTTGTGTGTTGTTTTAAATGTTGAATTTTATATATTTAAGTGATCATATGTATTTATCTTATATATTCAAAAAGATGGTATCTAAACATCTGAAGATGTAACTCTCAATAGCAATCTAAACTCATATAGATGGTACGGACTGAATAAAAGCAATAATGTATGATTTTGCATTTGAAGCCTTAAAAATTTAATGATGTAAATTTCCTTTGTTTCATAGAGAGAGATTGGCTTTCATTCATGGTAAGGATGTCAATTTGGAAGAAAAGTGAGAAAATTCCTAAAATGCTAAAAATGAATTTTCCAAACGTGCTTTTTTATCTCATTTTTTTGATTTTGAAAAAAATTGGGAGAGAAGAACTCTTCGTTTTTGAATTTTATCACGATGGTTTTAAAGTATATTAGACACATGTATTGGTATTACTATTTTTGTATATTTTGAGAGAAAATCCCTAAAAAGTGAGAAAATCTAAGACGGTTTGAGAAAATATATAAACTATTGAAAATTTGAATTAAACTTCTAATTTGGAAAAAAGAAATTTGGAAAGAAGAAAATTCAAAAATCGAGATTTAGACTCAGCATCAAATGGAGAACAAAATGTTTCTTCATATGAAGGAAAAAAATTTTCTTGTGAAGAAATAGAGTTTTTAAAATTTTATTGTATGTAATGAAATAAACAAATATTAAAATTATTTTTTGATAACAAGAAAATTCCCAATAGAAAATATTTGAGAGAAAGAAAAAAAGAAAATTGAAAAATATTACTCTCCTTTATATTTCATGAGATTTTAAATTTATTCTCATAAAATTGACAATTTTATACGTTTAGATGAAAATAAGTGATTTTGGTTGAAATAGAAATTATTATTTGCTTACAGCTATCAAATAGATTTTTGCTATTTTGATTAAAATTTGTTAATCAAATTAATAAATTTTTTCTAAATATCTTAAATATCTGGATCACTCACATATACAATGAATTGAACGATAAAAATAATACAAACTCAACTAAGTTTCCTGTCTTTCAACTAAAAAAAATTATGCAAATTAAATTAAATTGTTTATTCAAATATAAAACAAAGATGAAGTAATTACAGTTATCATAAACTTTATGAATAACTCTGTAATTGGTTCAGATTTTCGTAAAAATATTTTTATTAAAATCGATAAGAATACGTTTACCTACTATCACAACATATCGATAAACAAGAGTAGAGTGATTTTTATCATCGAAACTTTTTAAAAGCTGTAAGCTGGAAGGAAAAATCTTGTTTTTTCTGAGTTAGTTGTAGAACTATTGATGCACGAGTTATCATTGTGATGTAGAAGGATGTCAATGTACTGACTAAAGGATATGAAGTGAATTGAATTTCATTGAATTTCAATTTGATCAAAATTTGTTGAAATGATATGAATGTGTCAACATCTGTATCACTCTCTTTCACTTCTTCCCTATTTTTTCGAGAACGAAGCTAGCTCAGCTTTCGCTGAGCGAATTGACACTTTTGATGCCCTAAACGTACATGCTCTCAAATTTATCGAAAAAAATTATACCACCTAAACTAGTATATTCTTATTTTAAATATGATATTATCCTTAGAATCCACACTAGAATATATTTAAATCAACTTTTAAAAAAGTTCGAATCCTGCGCGTCTCACTTTTTAAATTTTCCAAAAGGAAAATTATATTCTCCTAAAATGAAAACAATTTTCCGAATTGACATCCTTATTCATGGTAAATATGTTCTTTATATACATTAGTCTATAGGTATATTATTTATTTAGACTATTTCATATTGTGCTTTTGAGATGTCGAGATATATAGACATAAACTACTCTATAAATTTAGTGCGCTCTCAAAAATTGAGAAGGTACACAAGAAGCCTGCTGCCAATATTTTGGCTTAATTTCTTAAATAATGAATGTACACATGAAGTTTATCATAATGACATATGCTTGATTTGCTTTCTTTTTCTTTTTGGTTATAAATCCTAGATTCTATTGATACTTATATCATTTATTTTTGCATGTTGACCTCCCCAGTCGTACACACAAGGATATGATGCTGTGCAACTAATTTCTTTTGATAACTTTGACTATTTGAGATATATTCGGGCACAATAAACTGATTTGTTCATAAATATGTTTCATTGATAGTATGTCATATTTCATATAGAATAACTTCACTCTTAGAATTGGATAGGTTTTTATTGTTTTTTTCAATGGCTTACACGAAATTTTCTAAAATTCGTTGTTGATTTTCTTTTATTCATCATTTAAATATAGATCATGTCAATTCCTCCTCTAAGAAAGGTGCAAAAGCCACGAGTAACAGTATCGTTACGGCGTGGCAAGGAGGAAACAACTCCTCGCCGTGCAAAAACAGCGATAAGTGATCTACCAATCGAAGAGATGATAGTACGACCAAAAACAACAACAGGAACTCGTCCAGTATCATCATATAACATCAATGCATTTGTTAGATCATCAAGATTATTCGAATCAAAAATGAAAACAATAAAAAAGCCGCCAAAGCAAATTGAAGAATCCAAAAGGAACATGGTTACAAGCCCAAAGGAGTGGGTATCAGATTACGTTCGATCCAAGCTTGCAAACAGTGCCGCTTTGAAAATTCAAAGATGTTGGCGCAATTATTCAGTGAGGAAACAATGGGGAGGCCTATTTCATCGAAGAATATGGTCTAGAAAAGACGCTTTACTCAGAATTTTTGTCGCTTGGCGCGGATATACAACAAAGAAATTCAATGTCATCGTTGATTGCTACAACAGGTTTTCTAGATTCCAACTCGAAAAGAAATGGCTCAGTACAGAACAAAATATCGCCCCATTCAACGTCTTTTACCTTACAGATAACTATTTCATTCCAAATCTCGTTACACCACGTCAATACACCTTTATTGCTCGTGTCTTTGCTCATCCAGAGAGTCGATTCGTCCTCAAACTGTGGAAATTCGCAGCCCACACTCAAAAAGTTTTTCGAGAAAAATCATTATACTTTTTCTTCACGGTTAAGAAGCGCCAGCACTTCGGCTTCATTTTCTCGGCCTTCCATCTGTGGCATCTCTTCACAGTCTGGAAGCGAAAATCCAAGAAAGACCCAGAATTTTACCATCTCGAACAAAGTGAAGTGATAATTGATTGGAATGTCCGAGAGAAATTTCTGAAGAAAACAAAGGCCTTGAACCATACAGCAGACAACACGTTCAAGAAGAACCTGAAGAAGAAAGCTCTCATAGCAGTTCACCAGAGATTGGTCGAGAAACGCCAATTATCTCTTGATTATGACTCATCCGGACAATTTTACTTGCACCACTTGATGGAACAGTGCAGAAAAGCCTGGGTACACTTTGTATTGAAGCAGAGAGCAAGGAGGCAAGAATTACTAAGACTACAGAAGATTTGGTACACAACAAGTTATAATATGGCCTTGGAAAAAACAAACAAAAATGTCCTCTCAAATTTTCATCAGAAATTTTTCACATCACAAGTCTTTCGCGGTTGGCAGAAAGAAAGTCGCTTAGAAACATTCAAAACGCTTATAAATGCGTTCTCCATGCAGAAAAAGCCAAGTTTAGCGAGACAATTCGTATTAAAATTATATGGTCTCGATAGTTTGGTATTTTTCGAAAGAGTATGGAAGGAATGGATCGCTTATACACACAAACGTCGTAATTGGCATAAGTTTGTCAGTATTTGCAATCAAGATACAGGAGATCTTGAATTAAAACAGATTTGCTACTACGGAATCAAGAAACACGTTGATCACCAGACATTCAAGAGAATTGTACACGCAAATAACACACAGATCTATGACCTTGCGTTAGTTTCTCTCGAAGGAATTTACAAAAATTTGGAATCCATGAACCAAAAAAGTGACACCTCTCAAATCGACCAAGAAAAAAGTGACATCACATCAGAAAAAATACCAAAAGAAAAAAAATCGAAAAATGATAATTCCCAAGAAGAAAATCCAAAAGAAGAAAAAATTCCAAAAGAAAAAATTTTGAAAAGTAACACTTTTACAAAAATTTTATTAGTTGCATTAGATTCGATTAAGAATGGCGACAAAGCAAAAGTTATTAAGCTTTTCAAGACAGAAGAGAAGCAACAAACATCAAATGACGTCAAAGTTCATTATAGTTTCAATGAAATTCTTCATATTAACAACAATAACTGTAAACAGCTTTACAATTTGATGAGATACAGAATTGCAAGAGACAGTGTTTTAATCAGTGGATTAGCAACGCATACAGCAGCAATTGAACTGAGAAAAATCCTGCCTTTCTTTGTTACTTACAATTCTGATGATTTCATGAAATTCCCAAACATAAAGACACCGAATCTCAACTTGAATGTGTCCGATGACGTGATTCCAAGTCTGAAAGAACACAAGAGAAGTTTGGAGATGAAGAAAGGTCAAATTTCCTTCGAAATTCTTTCAATTCTCAGCCAAGGAAAGACTGAATTCAAGAGCAAGATGAGACCTCCAATTGTCATTTACGGAGATTCCAATTCTTTGTTTGATAATTCTGTTGAAAACTTCTCAAGTGATAATGTTCCTGCAAATGATTCTAAAGCGAATTTGACTCCGCAAATCATCACGAATCCTTCTGCAGCGCAAGCCAACCAGAAATCAAAAGAAATCAGAGCTTCTTTGACTAGTTTCACTCGTCCAAACCTTGGTGATTTCACTCCTCCTCACAAGAACTTGTTTTTAACTGTTCTTAAAGATACTCTTGGAAATAGAACTCCTTCTCAAAGTTTGTTATCGAATTCGATGCTTGAATTCGCTCCTTCTTTTTCTTCAGAAGTTCTTTCTTCGAAATTAGAACACAGTGAAGCATATTCTGGTCTCAGAAGATTCTTTACTAATTCAGCACAAATTAGATTGGACATGAAAACTTCTGATACGCAACAAGCAGAAGAATTAATGACAAAAACACAGATAAGAACAATGAGAAGAAATATAAATGCGTTTTACGCAGGAATGTTTGGAATTGATGCTTCTAAAAATGTTCCAATGGATATAAAACCTCCACAATGGTTAAAGAACATCGCAGAAGCAATAATTGCTTGTCATTATGAACTGAGAAAGTTCCAAAGTGTTTATTCTTTTTGTGGTGAAATTCCTTTTCCAAGGAAATTCTTGGTTGATGACCCTGCAAATGTCGAATTGAGATCAATAATTTATGTCGCTGTTACAAAGAAGTTCCCGAGATTGGCAAAGACAGAAAACGCTATAAAAAGAGATGACAATCAGGACATGACAAGAACTGATTTGTACGTCGCAATGTTAGCTCTTCCTTACATATTTAAGGCTGAATACGTAGCAGACTTTTTGAAGGATGAAATTAAGATTGATCAGATGAAACATGAAACTGAATGATATTTTGTTTTATATTTATTTTTGTTTGAAATATTAAATTATTTTTTGTATTGTTTATTTAAGATCATATAATGGACATTTGTGAAGTAATATTGATGAAGGAAATGTCCATTATATTAATATTCACTAACTTAGGATAACATTTTTAAATTAAAAAAAAAAGGAAGAACATAGTCTTCAATTCAGGTGTTTATGGTTAATTTTCAATGACACTTCATGCTTGTTGTAAAAATTAAGAACAGAAAGCTTCTATTTTGATTTCATTCATTTTATTAAGAGGGTATATCATTTAATTAGTTTATCTGGTTGAAAAGTGCCAATAAAGAGTAAAATAAAAAATCATGATAATTTGATGTAACATCACTTTTTTAAAAATGATATGATTTAATATTTTTAAATAGGTATAAAAAGAGAATGAAATAATAGGTAATTTACCTAATGAACTATGGATTAAATACTATGGATCAAAATATGAGGAATATAAAACTGAACGAAGCAATCAATTTTTCTTATTCTTTGCATCTTTTATTGATCAAAATAAGCGTGCAGTTTCATTAGATTCGCTAGATGGAGCTCAGTTTCTGCAATGTTTATGCACATTCAAAAATGTTTCAAACGATGATGAATTATGGAGGAGCAGTATTTTACTATGGATCTTCTTGCAGCATAGTTCAATATCGAGTTTGTTGTGAAAGTTGTAAACTTACTTCTCCTAATTATAATGGACATTATTGTCACTGTGAAATTGATCCATATTCTGAATCAATGAATTATATTTTTGAGAGCTCAATATTTTCGACTGGTGAATTAGGAAATGGGCATGGAATCATAAGCCTCCGATTTGGCTTAATATCAATGGCTTATAATAATATAAGCCAATGCAATTCAAACTATTTCTCTGGATATATAATTGATACCCCAAAAAAACCACAAATGTCACTTTTCGACATTTCAAGGGAATACAGCAACTGGTTATGGTATCATTCGACAGGATTATGGCAAAAATGATATCATTTATAAATGCAATATATTAAGTAATAAAATGAATGATAACATGTTTGGATTATTCTATTTTTCATCAATGACAGGAACCTTTTCAGATTGTGCCATTTTGAATAACATTTGTAGTCCCTTATTTTGTTGTTTTTTAGGCGAAATGATTGTTAAAAATTGTAATATTGATAATGCTACAATATGTAAATCTAATGGTTACAGTTCTGTTAATACAAATGATATGGAAACAATTTCTTTTGTTAATTCTCTAGATCATGCAAAATATGAAAAATGCATTTTAGACTTAAATTTCTTTTATAATAATTTATTCAAGAATAAAGATGGTAAATATAACTGTTCTAAATATCCTAATCAGTACTTAAGATGTATTATTTATAGAAAATCTGTAGAACTATTTATCCCTATATTGTTTTCTAAAAAATAATTTTCATAAATTTAAGAAAACATACAATGTATTTATGGAAAAGAGCATATGATTAGAAACACAACACTATATAAGGGAAATTCGATATTGTGTATAAAGATAGTTTAAAATATGTTTAACATACAATAATATTTAAAATCCTTCTGGCATCTTTGATAAGAAAGATGAATAGATCAACTGCACTTTGTTATCATCATTGATAGTCCTTGAAAGTGATTTGGCGAGTTTGAAATCTTCTGTGTAATTGAATCCAGCAAGAAGATCTAAACACGTTACAACAGCATATTGAGAAGCTTGCGATTCCTCATTTGTTGCATAATTTATGAGTTCTTTGATGAAGTTATTGCTTTCTAGATTGACAGCAATTGAATTATCAACATTGGAATTAGCAATCAATTGAATAATAGTTGATATTGATTGCAATCTCCTATCTTTCAATACTCTTACAAAGAGCTGGTCTATACCTTTTGTCTGCAAGATTTGGTGTGCGTATCCATGCCTCTCAGATAAAACAGTAAGGATATGAATAGCTCCGATCGCATCAAACTTGTCAGAAATAAGCAAATCCAATTTTTGAAAAACATTTTTGGCTGTTTCTGGATTATCACAGCAATTAGCAATTGCTAAAATTGCAGAATACTTATTGATGCATAAGTTGAAAAGCATTGTTACAACATTATTAGATAACAAAGTACTGTTTGTTTCTCTGAGATACAAAAGAGCAGCTTTCATTGTATCAGGATTCTCAAGATGCTTAATCAAGAGATCTTCACTAGGAGAAATATCATCTGTATTATGCAAGCAGTTGTATAATGCATTAACTCTTCTAATATCTCCTGATTTTAACAACTGAGATAAAATATCTTTGTATCTTTCTAAATAGCTTCCATTGAGTGTTGTGAAGATATTTGAAAGATATTTTATGGATTTACCACTGTCTTGTTTCTCAATGATTGTTGGGATTGATTGGAAGAGAAGATTAATTATTTCATTTTTGTCTTTAGCTCCCTTATCTGATAATAAAATTGATGAAATTAATTGGACAACTTTTGACATAAATAAAGGATTTCTTCCAATAATTAATCTCAATTGATCAACAGACAGGATATTCGGATACAAAGGAATAACATATTCGCATAATAAAGAGAAACTGATGAAAATATCCGGTTCTCCTAATGGAATGTGTTGTAAAATATCTGCCGAAACGAATTCATGAACTGCTTTTGTATCTTTTGCGCAAATTTGTGCGCAAGCATCAATGACTTTTGAGATAACAGTGAATGGAGGATTCTTAAGAAGCACATTTTGAACTTTTGTGAAAAATGATTGATATTTATCAGGAGTAATTCTCGTGACAATGTTGTTCAATGTTATATCGAATGTTTCTCTCTTGAATTTCCTTATGAGCTCGATTAAGTCATCAATTGTTTCTTCTGAGTGGTCAACCTTTTCTAAGATATCTGGTAACTTTTCCCGCTTTGAGTTTTCTTCTTCAATCTCGATAATCTGAATGAATTTTGAAAAAGCTTCTTCATCAGTCCCAGCAAACATGATCTTCTTCTCTTTGAAGAGTTTGTAGATTTGCTGGAAGTTTGGACGCTCATTTGGTGTTTGATACCAGCATAATTTCATGAGATCTGATAAAGGTGTTGGTGTCCCTTTGGGAATAAATGGTCTTTCTCCAAGACGTGTAACTTCAGTCATGATTTGCATTGCATTCTTTCCTCTGAAAGGAGTTTGTTCGGTAAGAAGCTCCCATAAAATAATTGCAAAAGCATGAACGTCAACTTTGTAGTTGTACTCTTTGGATTCAAATAGTTCTGGAGCCATCCAATGAGGAGTACCAATTTGGTTTGTTTGGACAGTATCTTCATTCTTGAATCTTGAAATTCCGAAATCGCATATCTTTGGATATAGATTTTGATCGAGTAGAATATTAAGTGATTTTAAGTCTCGATGCATGATGCCCATTTTATGTAAGCACATCATGCCATGAGCAATTCCAGTGGCTATTATTGTTTTATTAGTAGGTGTAAGCTGAGGAGCTCCATTTTTATGGTGCAATGCATCAAAGAGAGAACCATTTTCTATATAGTCTGTAACAATAATGTAGGGATGAGTAGTGGAAAAGCCATTTAAATGGAGTAAAAACATAGAATTACATTTTGCTAAGATTCTTGTTTCTCGACAGTATAATTTTAATTGGCGGCCTTCAAGCTTTGTTAGAAATAATTCTTTGATGGCAACTTTTTTTCCGGTTTTCTGATCGATTGCGATATCAACTTTTCCATATCCACCCTTTCCGATGCTTTTTGTCTTTGCATAGTCATCAATTTTGACAATATATTTAGAGAGTTCCTGTTCTAGAAGCTCGAAATTATCCATCATGTACGTTTAGAGTTTTTGATTTTATTTTTTATTGAAAATTTGAATAGCTTACATTGATTCCCAAAGGAAGCAGAGGAAGATAAAATATGAAAGAGGATTTAGATATTCAAAAAAAAAAAAAAAAAAAAAAAAAAAGGTAGTGGGGCTTCCAGGGGCTGCGCCCCTTCTAGCCCCGAAGATGTTTAGTATAAATGAAGTTTTTATTCGGAAAATTGTTAGTCTTCTGGTGTGAATTCGGAGGACTCTTCTTCTTCCTCCTCCTCTTCTTCCTCTTCTTCGTCATCGTCGGCGTAGTGGAGGAGGACGTAGTTCATCCAAATTCTGTATGGACGTCCTGATTTGGATTTAAATGAGATGGACATATTTTGTGTGAGTGTTATTTCAGTTTCGATAAAGAGTTGGTGTGCTGGTTTGAATATATGTTCGACGTAGGAGAATTTGTGCAACTCATCTTCTCCCAATTCTGTATTGATACAGACTTCGATGAAGTCACCACTGAGAATGTCTTCACCTGTGGGCATATCCACAACAATTAAATGAACGACACAATAGTTGTGAAATTCATTAGTAGGAAATACTGTTGCAGGCGTATTATATGAGGGGAAAAATGTTTTTTCTTCCCCAAATTCATCTGCTACTTCATCTTCATCGTATCCGTTGTTAAAAGCTTTAAATTCATGTACAATTTGAGCAAATTGTTGACGGAGATTTGGTGGCATACGTAAGCAAGCTTGTAACAATGTCCTACCTTCCACACACTCAGCAAATATGGGAAGGTAGGAACATATAATGTCCGTCAATTGGTCCTGGTTGGGGACCAATTGACAGAGTTTTGTGTATGCCGTTATTGTTTCTTTAACGGTATTTGTGTAGATACGGTTATATGGAGTATTTCCCTGGTTGTTAAGGGAAAAATACTCATCCGATTGTAATTTCAATCTTGACCTCAACTCTTTGTTCGGTATTCTTTGGTCTATTCTTAGAGCTGTATTTGTTCGTGCGGGCTGTGGTTTTAAAACATTCGTGTCAAGTTTTAATTGCTTCGAATTGGATGTCGATTTGAATTGGGAGTCTTTTGAGTTCTCCTGAGCTTGGTTCTGTATTAAAGACTGAATAGCAGTGTCAGCTTCTTGTTTTTCGAGATAGTATTCTATTGAATTGGGCTTCACTGTTCGAGACGCGTACATTAGACAAAAATGAACTGTTTTTTTTCGGACTACTCATAGAAAAGTTTAAAATAAACCGTTTTCGTCAACGGTAACCCCCTCTATTTTTTTATTTTATTTAATAGTTACCGTTGGCAAACCGTTCCATCTCAAATATTGAATGAACTATAAACGTTTTTTGTTTTCTATATATACTTTTTTGTCCAACGGTAAAACTTTTTACACAACGGTTTTTGAGAGTCGTCGCCGTTGACTTTTTTGTAGAGCACTCAAAATAGTATAACTTTGTCCGGACAAATAAGGGTCTATCGTCGCTACAGGAAAAGTTACAGGCGTTCCAAGGAAGTATACTTTGAGAAGCCTTTTCCCCATTATAGAATGAGATAGGACGGTTATTTTACAAAACTGACAACACTTTGACCGAGTAGTTTTTTGTGCTGAACAAAAGTGTCATATAAACATCTGTCAAAAGCCGCTTTTTAACTTCACTTAAAATGCCACGTAAGCTACGTAAGAATATACGTAAGAGGAAGAGAGCATTGAAACATCCAATAGTAAAACTGACACCACAACAACAGTTGCAACAACAAATGATGAATGACCCCACTATGTTGCAACAAATGTCAAGCAATCCTATGCTTTTAAACCGAGTTGTTGGTGCACAGAGTGGAGGTTTAAGAGCGGCATTTTAGCGAAAATGGCAGGCTATGGTGGAGCTGCAGACGGAACAGCCTATAACCCTCAAAGTCAAATGAATTTGAGTTCACTCAAAAATCAAATAAGACAATGAAAAGTCAAACATAGACATACAGAAGCAAATAAGTGAAAACGAAAAGAAACTAGAATATGACAGACACACAAAGAAACTCAATGAGTTAACGTAGAGAAAAAGAAGAAAGAAGAACAACTGAAAGAACTAAGTACAGAGGAATATGCGAAAAAAGTGTCAGAAAAAGCAGCAGAAGTAGCAAAAATGGAACAAGATGTCATAAATTTGAAAAACCATACTACTCAATATAAAATACTGAAAGATGAAGAGATAAAACAAAAAGCCCTGAAGACATAATATATAGCGATGAGTATAAAAAGGAAGTTGAAGCAAATGTAAAGGCAGAAAAACTTTTACAGTTGCAAAACCAAACCGTACAGTATGAAAACTTAGCACAAGAAAGTAAAAATAACGACGCGGCTATGCAAAAGGCAATGAAAAGCGCAGAATATATAAAAGCTAACAATGACTGGTTAGATGCCCAAGCCAACGCTAAAGCAGCCCAACTCATAGGGTCAATAAGGACAAAAATACAAGCGGATGAAGATAGTTCAAATGAAGCTTTAACAAATGCTGACTTTAAGAACGCTTTCGAAGCTCTTCATAGTAAGGTGAAACAAGTGAACGACTTCTCATCTGGAAAGAAACTGAAGTCTGAAGGTTTCGACAAAGAGTTAAAAGAAGTAGCACAAAATATGACGAAAATAACAGATGCAGCAACGAGACAGGCAGTTCAAAGTGCCTATGACGCCGTTAGAGCAACTGTTGTGAAAAGTCAAGAAAAAGAGTTACAACAGACCAAAACAGACCTAGTAAATGCTTTCTTAAGAACGAAAAGTCAGGTAGGACATTATGCTGCAGATGGAACATATGTGCCAGCTGGTGGAACTTATATACCACCAAACCCTCCAAGAGAAGCACCTGCACCAGGACTACCTAGAACATTTACATCGTCACATGGACACAGACACAGGCATGCACCAAAACCAACACAACAACCAACAGTTCAAAACACTGCACCACAACCAACAGTTCAAAACACTGCACCACAACCAACAGTTCAAAAACACTGCACCACAACCAACAGTTCAAAACACTGCACAGCAACAACCACAAACAGAGCAAGGACATAAAAGAAGTAGAGAACAAGGAAACCAAGAATTCTTAAAAATGCTTAAGGAAAATTATGGTTACCCAGATACTCTTGACTTTAGTGACAGATATAAAGAAGCTATTAGAAAGTTCAAGGAAGGAAATACTGACCCGAACCTATTTAGCTTTATGGTTCAGCACCAAATGGGATATAATTTCAAACCTGGAAAATACAAGCTCGCTAAGGATATGATTTAATAGCATATCATCCAAATGACATGGATGAATTTACTCCAAGATATTTGGTGTCAGAGATAAATGATAATTCAACTATCTTCATGAAACGCGTAAAAAATAGAGACGGAACGAAAGAAGAAAGGGTTATGAATGCGGATGGCTTAAATAGGGAACTTGTTAAAAACGGTCTCGGAATATATGAAATGCCACCAGATGAGGTACAAGAAACTCCACAGGAAGAAGTTCAGATACAACCAGACATGGAAGAAATAGTTCAGCAACAACAGCTAGAAGAGCCTGAAGGAAACGAACAAGTCCCTCCTTTGGAAACTAACTTCACAGAACTAGATGAAGATTTGGAACAGCCGAAAAATCTTGACCCTCAACAAGAGTATGCGGAGAATATGGAATATTTCCAAGAGTCTAAAAAAAATTCGGCTGACATAGTAGAAGAATATCGAAAAATGTTTGCCGACATACAAAAGACTCCAACATCAGATGAAAATATCCAGCATAGAATGGAAGAACTGAAAAAAAATGTACACAAATACAACAACCCTTTTTACTTACGAGCATTTAACGTTCAATCTTCGGATGAACTCGGTGAAAATAAAAGGTTAAATTTCAAGAAAACATATAGAAATGAAACATTGTTTAAAGTTCATTCAGAACCTAACCAAGATGGAAACAAACCTACTTTTGTTTCTGCAGACGATGGAACTACAATGAGATGGGGTCATAAAGCTAATCCGGATAGGTGGTTCATAAACTTACAACCACAATTCCAAGAAGTTGTAGACGCAATGGAAGTCAATGGTGAACCAGATATAGCTATATTTTCAGCGCGGCTTTAATGCCATTGAAAGATATGAAAGATGCAGATATTTTGGACCAGTATGAAATGAACATGGCTGATGGAAATATAACACCTGACGTTCTAGAACATTTATCTCAAAGAACTACACAGAACCATAAAGATGGTATATTTGGTGAAGAGTTTAGAAAGAAAGTTAGGAGAGAGAAGGAAGAGAACCTATTGTACATGACCTTGCAAATGAAAGTTTACAAAATGTCATTAAAAACTTACTTTGCAGACAATGAACTGAAGGGATGAATATTTAAGAAAACTCAAATGGACAGTACCAAATGAAATGTTAGTATTGAAAAACATGTTCCTTGACAAAATAAAACCAACTACAGAAATAAACGACGCAAGACTGAAAGATTGGGTAAAAGCTTTCCCATTCACAAAAGATATAGTTGGTAACATGGAAAGAAAACCAGAATGGCTACAAAAACATATATTTGGAAACGAGCTTATTCCATATGGACAGGCACTGTTTGAAGAGCTTGAACCGGAAACTCAGGAAAGAGTCATGCAAACAATACGCGAAGACTCAAATACAAACTATGACAAAATCTTTCTAGGATATAGGTTACCTGAGATGGGCGACCAGAGCCCAAAGGCAAAAAGGACATGGGAAATTTACAACATACTAGGTGAACATGAGGCAAAGATGCAACAACTTGAAGCAGAGGGCAAGTTACCAAAGCGACACCAAAGAAGAAGAGTAGAACAAAGTAAAGTAGTGAAGAAGTAACTTCATCTAGTGAAAGTAGTGGCAATGAAGGAAAAAGAAGAGTTAAAAACTCAGTCAGGAAGAAAGTAAAGCTTGGTCCACGTGGGTTCTATTATGACACATAAACCCAACTATTCTATATTTTACCCATAT